GTGCGAAAATATAAAAAAAAAAGTGTGAAAAAAGTTGATTGACAGCATGATTTGGAGTTGAAATAGACCTATTTGTTTACATAGTAAGACTTTCTGACTTTAACACATTCTGAAATCATCATCTCAACATGAGAACATGCAGGTCTATAAATCCACAATTTTGGCTTCATACTTAACTCAGGGAAAATAACACTATATTCAGTAGATACAGCAGTACATATCAATCACGTCTCGAAAAGTATCTGTCTGTCTTTCACCTCTCTAATCTTTCACTTGTGAAGCTGTGTTTCTGTTTCCAATTTATCTTACATTTTCTTGAGCCTGCGCCAATACTAATCGCATTCAGAGAGCCTAGAGGAATTTCACGGAGCAGAGCAGAATGGGGTCCGTAATCACTGCTGAAATCTGTTCCTGAAAAACCTGTCAAATTACACCAAGAATGATATCCTATTACGGTGAATTTTATAGATTGGCACACAAAAACACATACAAACATCCTGCTGAATCGATAAGGCCATGGGAATCTGTATCTCAAGCATTAAGTGGGCTCACACTGTGGATTGGATACATCACTGAATGATTTCAGGATGTTTTTCCCTGCAGTCTACAGTTGATGATTAGACAAAAAAGGCACTTCGATAATTATATATAATGACAGATTTTATGCAGCATTTTTAATCTGCACTGTTAACACTTTCATCAGCAGGAAACTCAACTGTAAACACAAGTTTTCTAAGTTGTAATTAAAATCAAAGCTGTGTCTCAATTTTTATTTATATGCACCATTCTAAGCATTAATTTTAGTTCAAATAGTTCAAATGCCAGGAGTATGCACTTGATTAACAGAACAACAAAACTAGTGTGGATGTTTTTTTTGTAATTGTAAAGGAATTTCTGAGTTAAACTTTTATACATGGCAATGCACTAAGTTTGTATGGAAGTCCATTCAGAAATCACACTGTTATACAGTAAAAAAAAAGCTGTAGTCACTGAAAAATTAAGTGTGAAGCTTTTAATAAATATAATTGAGATAAACATTACCTGACAAAAGTCTTATTCAAGTTTCAAGTTCAAGTTCCTATTCAAGTTTTAGGAAAAATAAATAATAACTTGACCTCTAGTTGAGGATTTGGAATCAGAAGTGACTTATATGAAAAAAATATGATCATACCTTGATTTTTAATTATTTAATTAGGACAGTGATGTCTGACTTAGCTTAGACAAAAGTCTTGTCACAAAATGTCTGGTGACTAGACTGGCCAATCCTGGAGCACTTTGACCTCCTTCGCTTTCAGGAACGTTGATGTGGAGGCTGAAGTATGAGAAGGAGCGCTACCCTGCTCAAGTTTGCCCTTTCCTGTGGTTTGTAATGTAATTGGCAGCACAAATGTCCTGATACCTCAGGTTGTTGATGTTGCCATCCACTCTGCATATCCCTCGTATGTGCCCTTACTGAATGTAACCCCAAACCATGATTTTTCCTTTACCAAGCTTGACTGATTTCTGAGAGAGTCTTGGGTCCATGCGGGTTCCAATAGGTCTTCTGCAGTATTTATGATGATTGGGATGCAGTTCAACAGATGATTCATCAAAAATCCATAAAAAATCATCAAAATCGACCTTCTGCCAAATTTCCAAATCATCAACTAGAAGTCAAGTTATTATTTGTTGCTCTTACAACTGGGATTGACGACAAGACTTTTGTCAGGTAGTGTAAAGAGTTTTATTAACTTAAGGTATAATCACACTTTAATGTGCTGCTTAAAAATAAATCAAGACAGAGTTTTTTTACAAAGCAAACTAAACATACTACACTATACTAATTTGAATAAGTTTATTTTTATTATTAAAACAAATCATAATATGGAAGCAAATGACCATTTGAAAATGTGGCTGCAGAGTGAACAGGCTTTCCTTTAAAGTAGCTTAAAGTTTTTAGAGAGTAGCTGTTTTTGACTTTTCTGAAACTAATATTCATAATGAAGTAATATGACCTTAAGATAAGATTATGGTTCAAGACCCCTGTAACAAGTCTAATGAACATTTATTCTGGGTACTTTAAGTGCTTTTTAATTTCACACTTCAAAATGTCAAGCATTTAGTAAGGTTGCTTTCTAGGAAAGACTTCCTGTACAAATATAGAGTGCTCATTAGCACAAGAAACCTATTACAGACGAAAACAAACTAGCTTACTATAAATAGTACTGTTTGATTAAATGAGTTAAGTCACAGTTTGCACCTGAAAGCTTTGAGGTTGATTCCTTCAAAGTTCCTGCTGAGCGATTCGGGCATATTAGCATGTATGGAAGTTGGTTTTACTGCCTTAATAGCTACAATGCTTTAATCATGATTCTGACAACATTTACAGAAAAGGGACATCTGATATTTGAGTTGAAACTACATAAATTGTGCAAAATAAGACAAAGCAACATGTCAATCTGACAAAGGTCCATAATTTGTCCCATAAGCTCATTTGTCCTATTTTGACTAGTATCCCATTATAAATTGTGAAAATATCTCATCAATAAAAGCTTAAAGATCAAGTAGAATTCTCTGTTGGCTGTCGTGACTTCAGCTAATCGGTTTTGACCAATGCTAACAATTCTTTTTCACGAGTTCAACATTCAGCTGTGCAAGAAAACATACAATCTGACGTGAATGACGTCATCTTTCACTACTGACCAATGGTATTGTTCTTAAACAGAGAAACTGTTATACAAGTAGCTTTCATTCAAAATCTTTGACCTTATTCTTGAAACAAAAAAAACCCCGTTATGTTAGGCACCAAAAGTGGCCCATATTAAAATGAATTTGAATACTAATTTGGCTATTGTTATGCATAAATTTTCAAATGTACCTTCTTACAAGAGAGGCTTGAAAAATCACGATGCTCTACATTATTTATTATGTATTCAAATGGCCAAATTCTGACTGAGTAAAGTAAAATGTGCAGGCCAGGTTGTTATTTGCATAATAAATGACAATAGACTATAGTTTTTAATTTAAAACCTCAACTGAATAATATTTTCTAATGATACTGTATGTGATGTTATAAATTTGCATTTTAAAATTAATTATTTATTCATATTTCTTTATTCTAAATCTTAGGAAATGTCTTTGCTACATCAATAAGTGTGGTGATGACCATCTGACAAGCTAATCCAGCTAAAAAATAGTGCTTAAAATATCACTAAAATGCCGTATTTAGATCTAATAATCTAATAATTTAATAGTCAATTTTTGAGAGAAAATAACCACCACTTTTACCAGGCTGACTACGGGCCTGCTGCTGACTAAACATTTACCTGTAGCTTTGTCCAATAGCTGAAAATCGAGAACGGCAGTTCACCCTAAGAAATTACCACATCCTTAACCAATACTTTTAGCCCCAACACTCACAATTGTGTTTGATACTGATAGCGCTGCAAAACAACACATGCAGAACACATTTAATATGATTCATACAAGTGTTTCGTCTTTCATTTTACATATCAGTGCCTAAAGCGCCCTCTGTCGGTCATCGTATTTGTATGCATGACTGCCGTTGATGAGTAGCCACCTACATAGTAGGCAGCCACACAACAATCCAATAACTGTTGAAAAATCTTGCTATTTAAACGATACACTAAAGCCTCTAAATTCAAGTGAAGACATTTTCAGAAACTTATTAGTGATAGTACACTTCAGCAGTAATTTACAAATTATTATTACCTATTATTTCTGAATAGCTCATAATACTTAGAGCAGCAATGAGAAAAGTAAATATTGAAGTAAATAACTGTTCTGTTTGTTTTTCTACTGTCTCTGCACTTAGAGCCAGGATTTTCAGTCACACACTGACCCCCGAATAGGATAATTCTCGTGATTATCCCCCATCCTAAAATGGAAAGGGCACTTAAATATACCTATATAGATGTGTTTTTAAAGAATTAATTTATACTTTAATAAAGGTGCATCTATATTATATCAATGATTACATCTCTATTATATCAATGGGTTTTCCTCTTCCTTGCTAATTAATCATTTCAATAAACAATGCATCTATTACAGTATTTATGTTTGTTAACATCAGTTAATGAAATAATGTTGTTCATTCTTATTTAAGGTTAACTCTCAGTACATTAATAAATGCTAACAGGGATGAAATTGGATTTTATTATTGAATTGGTAAATGCTGCGTATGTATTGTCCATTTTTAGTTCTTACTAAATACATTAACCAATAAAAGCTTATTGTAAAATGTGGCTTATTATTTCACAAGAATTTCGATATTTTAATCATTTTTTTTATTTAGTTTATTTATACTATATATATACTATATAGTGAACATTTGCTTATTTGGAACATGAACAAATGCCCAATTCACTATATATCTGCATAAGCAACTCCTGTAATCTTACATGTCCATTAGGCTATATTTTTTCAAATTATTGCACTGATAGAGAAAATGGGCATTTCAGTGTTAGGTAAAGCTCAATAATGTTGAGCAAATATATGTTCTTTAGTGAGTTTCACAACTGTTACTGTTTTCTGATATGTAAAGCCCTGTGAAACAGAAGGCCAGGATCAAACATCTCCCTAATCCTATAAAAAAAAAAAAATGCAAAAAATCATTAATGGAATGTATTTAAAAATATATATTCAGTTTATATAGAATCAGACAATTGCCAGTAATTGTGTTCGAGATATTGGAAAAAGCAAAAGATATAGATTAAACAATAAACATTTTTTTCACAGCCTTCTTTGCTCCTATTTAACAAGAGTGCCATTGATAGGCTATAGGCTAGGGGAGGGGATGGCAATGGTAATCAACACAAAAAGAAAGAAAGGAAACGAATTCTAGACTTGGCATGAGGTCAGTGCACATTTTATTCACTTACTCAAGCACTGTGTCTGTCGTTTATAAATGTGTATTTGGAAAAAAACGTAATACGACGCTCTGACTATACATAAACAATGTTGCACTCCACTGTAAACATTGATCTCGCTGCGCCCTCTACCGGTGAGACCCGGACAAGCGCTGTTCGCCGTGGTGATCAGCTGTGCGAGTCTGCGGCTGGTGCTTGGTGCGTCCGCCGTAACTTCAAAATGCAGGCTCAGGAGACCAGAAAGCAGGAAACCAGCATGGTTGAGTGAGGATGAGACTTCCCAGCTCTGTCCTTGTGTCGGTCTCTTTGTTTACGGCCGAGACGACAGCGGCTCTGTATCTGAGCTCCACGTACCGCTCCGCAGGCGATCAGATTTGGCAGGGTTTCACGCTCCTCTTCACGCTGGTGCCATCAGTGCTGGTGCAGCTCACACTCATCTTTATTCACAGAGACCTGAGCAGAGACAGACCTCTAGTGCTGCTGCTTCATATCTTACAACTAGGTCCAATAATAAGGTAAGCGGCTAATATGCTACTGTCTTCTACTTCTACAATATCATTATGGAAGGGAGTTATCCATCCATCATCCATCTATCCTCCATATAATGGATTGTCGTAGATATAAACAGTGTCCATTGTGAGCGAATAGCACATAACAAAGGGCTTTATTTTTTCTTTTTCCCTCGCATGCGTTAGATAAACATGTGCTGTATCTGTTGATGAATATTATTGATGTGTGACGTTTAATTTACTGGTCGATTAGATGGTGGGTTTTGCCAGAGGTTTCGGGGTTCATTATTGCCTCGCGTCTGCGGATCTTTCTATAAAATGGGGGCATTTTCATTTTTGAAGATAAGGTGTTCTTAAAATAAGGTGTTAATCTGTCAGGTGTAACATTCCACCAGACAATGAATAAATAAATAAACGAAAAAATATATGTATATACAGTTAAATAAATATACAACATACAGTTATCATGCATCAGTTGTTTACTGTAAAGAGTAATAGTGGCAGTACTGTAAAGGCAGGAGGGATTTCACATGGATGATGTCACTTTTATATTTAGTAAACAGTAATAGGGTTGATACATAACAACATTATAGGAACCAAAAGTTGTTGGTAGCGAGAAAACAATACTGTATGTGTATATGTAAATGTGTCTGTCTGTCTGTCTGTCTGTCTTGTCTGTCTCTCTGTATATATATATATATATATATATTAACAAACAATATTATATTTGTGCACATACATTAGATTAGTAAGTACTGAAGCCAAATCTGGAGCTTATCTAACAAAATAACTTACAATAACAGTCCAAAAACTAATACAGCCAAATTTATATGTTATAGAAAAATATTTAAATACAAATAAAAAAATAAAAAAATAAAAATTGAAAAATTGTTGAAATTCTGTATAGTATTTTCTTTGTCAATATTTTGCTTGAATTTAATTGTATTATCTTTTTAATTTATAAAGATGTTTGGTGACTAAAATATAATTTTAATAAATATATTTGTTTATCAAATCTGTTTTGTTTAAATAAACCAAAATACATTGCCTATATTTAACGAGAAATGGATATATATATATATATATATATATATATTTTTTTTTTTTTTTTTTTTTTAAATGGGTTATATATACATTTACATACACTCACATCTATGGAAATTGTAACACATAATGAAACTGAAAAATGGAAACTTTTCAAAATGTAAAATAAAAATTTGTAGATTTATTTAAAAATCAGTAGATTTTTTTTTTTTGCATTTGTATTAATATTTCAGAACAGTTAAAGAGATAGTTTGCCCAAAATTGAAAATATATAAAATATTTACTTTTTTCTGTCGAACACAAAGGAAGATATTTTGAAGAAAGCTGAAAACCAGTAACCACTGACATCCATAGTAGGAAACAAAATACTACTGAAGTCAAAGGTTTCAGGCTTTCAGCTGTCTTCAAAATAGCTTCCTTTGTGTTCAATAGAAGAAAGAAACTCAGACAGGTTTGACAGAATTTTTTGGCTGAACCCTCCCTTTAAGAAATCATTGGTTTAATAACCCTGATTTAAAAATGCATGATTATACCTGAGAAATTACTTTGGCCCAGAAAAAAACTTAAATTGTCACCTTATTACAATCCTAAAAAAGTGCACTCTAAACCATTATTTGTTTTCCATGCCACAAGGCATTTATGAATAATTTGTGTCCTCAAATGTTCTAAAATTATTGTTATTGCTGTTATCGACAGCTTCCATTCCTGGCCTCAAAGTGAACTGTTCCAGCTCTATCAGTCCTTGCATTTCTTTATTGACCGTATGCATAATTGAAGCATTAATGCTGCGTTCTCTAATAGAACAGTTTAGCAATGTGACCTATGCCAGCTTATTCAGATAAAGCTCCAGCCCAGTGTGATTCATGCATAATTCAGATGTTTATTTCATTGAGTTTGTGTGAATGGCCGGTGAAAGCTCTCTTGGCCTTCTTTTAACACACTCTCGTCCATCACATTATCATCAAGGTTGCCAACGCACTAATACTGTAAAATGGCAAGGCTGTCGTCAAGGTTTGGGATAGCAAATGCTTGTTAAAAATGTGGCACCTCTGCTTGTCCTGTGAGGGCTGGCGTCTGCATTTTAAATGAATGAGATGGACAGATCGCTCACTGAGACCTTACAAAAGCTGTTCTCGGGTGAGCTGGAATAATGCAGGTCTCACTGGATTGAGAGCAGTTCGCTGAGCACCCATGCATGGTCTGTTGCAACAAGGAGGATGGATATCATTGACATTCAACAATTATTGGACACTACAGGGAAACTAGCGAGCCCTACTAAAATGACAGCTTTTCAGGGTCGGAATGTTTATTGATGGACACTATTAAACACTGTTAACAATTTTTGTAAATTATTGTGTAAATGATTACAGTATTTAACTGTAATATAAGTTGTATTTTATAGTTATGCATTACTGAATGCCTGTAAAGCTTTATTAAAACTAGTTTTGCTGCAATTTATTTACAGTAAGTTACTGGCGAACTGCTGCCAGTAAGTTACTGTAGATACTACAGGAACTTGTAAACAGTGAACATAATGGCAAATCAGTGCTAAAATAAATAAATAAATAATTATATATTTGAATGCATATTTGATTTAAAAGTATTGTATTTAATTTTTAAAAACTATTTAATTTTTACATTTATTTTTGTTAGTATTAAAAAAATGATTAATTAATTCATTTTCTTTTCAGCTTAGTCCCTTTATTAATTAGGGGTCACCACAGCAGAATGAACCACCTACTTATTCAGCATACGTTTAAGCAGAGGATGCCTTTCCAGCTGCAACCCTACACTGAGAAACACCCACACACTCTTCTATTTACACACATACACTACAGCCAATTTAGCATATTCAATTCACCTGTACCGCATGTCTTTGGACTGTGGGGGAAAGCGGGCATTCGAAGAAAACCCACACAAACACGGGGAGAACAAGCAAACTCGAACCAGTGACCTTCTTGCTGTGAGCTGATTGTGATACCCACTGCGCCACTATGACACCGTAATAAAAATTATTAAGATAAAATATGTTGCTACCGTCAAATAACCAAAAATATTTAAAGAATGTATAAAAGAACTTAAAAAGAACATATTTAATTTTATTACTGTTTTTAAATTCAATTTAAGTCAATATACTGTAAATATTGTTACTTATTCTATTTAATTAAAATTTATATAACTTTTTATTTTATGATATGATTTTTATTATAACCATCATTAAAAAACTGTAGAACTGTTTTATTTTAGGATTTTTTAATAGTAAAAAAATGAACAACTATTGCTACCTTCAACTATATTTTGAAAAGGTATAGAACTATTCTAGCCATCATATTTTGTGTTTTCATTCATTCATTCATTCAATTTCCTTTAGCTTAGTTCCTTATTTATCAGGGGTCACCACAGCGTAATGAACTGCCAACTATTCCAGCATATGTTTTATACAGCAAATGCCCTTCCAGTCACTACCCAGTACTAGGAAACACCCATACAGACTTATTCACACTCATAGAGTATACTATGGCCAAATTTTCATTCATTAATTTTGCTTCGGCTTAGTCCCTTTATTTATTAGGGGTCGAAACAGATAAGGGTCGATACAGTGAATGAACCGCCAACTTATCCCACATATGTTTATTGCAGTGGATGCTCTTCCAGCTACAACCCAGTGCTGAGTAACACCCAAATACTCTCACGTGCACACTCATACACTATGGCCAATTTAGTTTATTCAATTCACCTACTGTATAGCACATGTCTTTTGACTGTGGGGGAAACCCACCTGAACACAGGGAGAACATGCAAACTCCACACAGAAACACCAACTGACCCAGCTGGGACTCGAACCAGCGACCTTCTTGCTGGTGACAGTGCTAACCACTGAGCCACCATGCCAGCCATTTTGTGTCCTATAAAGTTTCAATTAATTTGAGAAGGCATGAAACCACTTAATTATTCAAATTAATAATATCTGCAATTTCCTTTGACTATAATAAATATATACAAAACAAATATTCCATATTAAGACACGTGTATGAACAAGGAACATGTATTTTTGAAATCTTTGGCACAAAAAATGTATTTCAAATAACTAAAGCCAGATTTATTCCTTTATACTGTAGGTGCCTGGATGCCTTCTGTATCTATGGCAGTGCAGGAAAGGTGGAGGAGCCGTATGTCACCATCACCCGTAAAAAGCAGATTCCTCGCGAAGGACAGACGGAGGAGGTGGAGCAAGAAGTGGGACAGGCAGAGGGGAAGTTAGTGACCCACAGAGCCGCTTTCGCCAGGACTTCTGTCATACAGGCCTTCCTGGGCTCTGCACCCCAACTCACACTACAGCTCTACATCTGTGTGCTCCAGAGAAAACTTTCTATCGGCCGAGGTAAGAAAATCACACACAATGAGCTACAGGGCAGCATAATATATTATTTCAGCATGAACTGTGCAACACCGCAAGTGTAAATAGTGGTTAGCACTTTACAATAAGGTTGCATTAGTTAATGTATTTACTTACATGAACAAACAATGAACAATACATTTATAGCAGAATTTGTTCATGTTAGTGAAAATACAGTTGTTAATTGTTTGTTCATGTTAACTCAGTGGATGTGTACTGCATTAGAAAATGTTTAACTACAATTATTAAATGCTGCACAAGTATTGTTGATTATTAGTTTATGTTAGCAAATACATTAACTAATGAAACCTTATTGTAAACCACAATTCAGAGTTTACAATAATTGAATTGAAGTTTATCATTTGCATGTGTTCATTAAGCAAATTTAAAGCATTTGGATGCAAGAACTTATAATTATTGTATTGCAAAGACATGCAATTAACATCAGTAGACATTTGTCACTTTTCCAGCTTTTCCAGTTTAAATTTCCTAATTAGGGATGAAAAAGAAACACAAATGTCTTCAAGACAGTAACAAAACAACTTATCCCTTCGCATTATCAACATATCCCTTTGCATCTAAAGGAAATTTGGAAGCAATATTTACTGTAAAAATCCATCAAGCACTATAGCAAAAAGACATTAGGTTGAATGGGAGTAATGTACTCAATCCTTTTGGACCACAACAATTGTATCTTTTTTGGTTATGCACACAGTATGTAATTTTCTAATGAAGATATTTTAAAAAACATCAATTCAATATTGCGTTTGTGGTGGATTAGGTTTATACCAGTATCTAATAGCTTTTTTACTTAAAGCAAGGGTGACTATTTTAGTTTTTCCTTTCCAAGAAATCCATTGACTGCTTAGCCAAATATAGTACTTCAAAGCTGAAATCAATTAAAGTATTTAAGAGCTTTTGTTAAATGTTATGCATAATGTTTGTAATTTTAACAAAAAAATATTTATACAATGAAAATATCATGTTATCTTACATTTGATTATACTACAGGGCTATAAAAGATAAAGATAAAAAGATATGAACTATTTTTGTCATTGTAGTGATTCAACAAAATGTAATTTGTAGCTCTCAGAGACCAAATACAAGAGTGAAAAAAATAATAAAAAAATTTAACAATACTAAAGTATAATAAATATAATAACACCATCCTGGTTTAAAATGTTTGGTGCAGTAAATTGTATAGAAAAAAAGTATATGTTGAATGCTTGATTCTGATAGGATAATGGGTGTTCTAAGGTGTGCCATTATTTTCAGATAAACGCACAGTTGAAGTAGTCACAGGCAGGTTTTGACAAAGTTCTATCTATTGCTATAGTATTTATCGGTATTCATTCATCTTTGTTAATGTGGGTAGCACGTTCGCTTCAGAGCAAGAAGGTTGCTGTTTCGAGCCTCAGCAGGGTTATTTGGGATTTCTGTGTGGAGTTTGCATGTTCTCCCCGCATTTGCATGGGCTTCCTCCGGGTGCTTCGGTTTCCCCCACAAGTCCAAAGACTTGGTATAGGTGAATTGGGTAAGCTAAAGTCCATAGTGTATGTGTGTGAATGAGTGTGTGTGAATGTTTCCCAGTCATGGGTTGCAGTTGGAAGGGCATCCGCTGCATAAAACATATGCTGGATAAGTTGGCAGTTCATTCTGCTGTGACAACCCCAAATTAATAAATGGACTAAGCTGAAAAGAAAATGAATGAATGATTGATTATTTTAACTTGTTGTGAATTTACTAATGTTAACTACCACAACTTTGGATTTTAATAATGCATAAGTTAATGTTGTACAATTATGAATAAATAGTTTACAAGATCATTTATACTTAGTTAATGTTAGTAAATACGTTAATTAACATTAGCTAATGGAGAATTATTCTAAAGTGGATTTGTACAAAACTGATCCTACACACAGCAGATTGAGGACAAAACTGACTAATTGCTTTAAATACAACATCTGAACAATGTAGATGTTGTAACCATAGTGTAACATAATAATTAATTCCAGCCCATTAAATTATAGGAAAATAATGCACACCCGGGATGTAAAGGCCACAATGCGAATCACCATCTCATGTGTCATTCTGTACTTAAGCATTGCTTTGTAATTTTCCTCTATTATATTTATCTATGCTTGTCATTTGTTTATTATATATTAAGCAGATATACACACCAGAAAAAAAAACACCAAGTCTAATCTAAAGTTACTAATTCTTTTAATCATCTGGTCAACTTGTATTCATATATAAACAAAAAAGAAAATATCCAAATGTATGTATTTTACAAAATCATGCATCCCTATAATGAACAAAACATTAAGTTCATTCTGATGCTCATATAAAGTGCTTTAGGAGACAGACTGGTGGATAAAGGCTCTTAGAGAAAACAAAAGCTTAGTGCTGTAGTGTAATTTGGTTTATAGAGTGCATTAGTGCCTGTTCACTTGTTCAGTGCTGCTGGTTCAGGAAGTATTTTGTTATTAATTTTTTCAATAGGGGTTTAAAACAATCTTTTTTATTAACCATGAAACAAAGAGGTGAATCGTCACTTTAAAATCTTTAATTTGATGCAATGAAGCATATAAAAATTGGACAATACCACAAAGATACATGACTATCTCAACATAGGCTCATTCTGAAAACGGAGCCCTATATACATTTCTGTAGATCGCAAACTATGTAGCCAGAAGTATGTTAGCTTTGTAGCTTTCCCGCTGTTACCAATTTGTCCTGTTAGCTCGACATGTTTATCGGAAGACTTGAGATGTAGAGAGGAGTTGACCACGATGACGGAACTCGAGTCCAGCAAAAACTATTCTAGAAAGTGGGTAAGACAAAAACAAAAGCCAAAAAATAAAATAAACAAGTAAATAACAGGGTGAGAATGCAGTAAATTATGAAAACGTGGTAAAAATCAGGTGAGGAGTTTTCTTTTTCTGGATTGCTTTTGAAAACTGTCAGTTTGGTTTAGGAAAGGGGATTACTGGGTCAACCAAAGCTTTTGAAAACGCTAGTGGTTGGTTTTAGGGAAGGAGGGGGGTGGGTCAGTCCATCAGTCAGTCAGTCAGTCAGTCAACAGCTGCCTCTGGTAAATTTACCCGATAACAACAGATGTGAATGGCACTCGCGCAAGAAATTTGAGATCTGAAAAAGTATACAGAGCGACCTCTGGTGGATTTATAAAAACAAAAACTGCAAAATAAAACGTAGCTTCTGGGACTTATTTGGCGCTCTTCAGAAATGTACATAGTGGTACTTTTTAGGCATGAGCCTGGTTTGGACTATCTACTTGGCAGCTTAAGTACAGTCTCCCGAAGCACAGTGAATGACACAGTGAAATTACAAATTATGCAGAAATAAAAATATTAAAGTAGTTGCTTGTATCTAGAAACAATGGCTGCATCTGAAATTGCACATTGTCTTGGGCAGGTAATTAGATTGAATGAAGAAATACTTTACGACCACTAAAAATTACATTGTATTAATGTGAACAATATGAACATAATTAACATGTTGTCATCCTAATAATTAAAAAAAAATTAGCATACTGCTTTTCTAACATACTGGTTTTACTATATAGTAGCCAATTATGCAATTAAAGTCAAATTATATACTATACAAATATAAGCATTTAGAGAGCACAGACATGATTTTATCATTCACAGTGCATCATGGCAGTGGGTGAAGCTTAAAAGCTATTTTGGCGCACTTTGTGACTGGTGGAATGTTCTGTACAGCATCATTGGTAGTTTTTCTGCACATATTCAACTAATAAACATGATTGTTTTTTTTAATAAGTTGAAGAAAAGGAATCGATTTAAACTAGCACAAAACATTTTTAAAACAAAACTATAAATGAACTTTCTAAATCATCTTCAAAGTTTCTAGAGCGTGACTAAGACTCATGCTTTGTTTTCATTCAGTTGTCTTGCTTGGAGAAGTACGGCTCTCAAAGTGGAGCATTGCAGGCTTATGAGCTTATAAGTTCCTCTGTTAATGAGTTTTGTCATTGCCTGCATTCTCCACCACATCTGTAAAGTGTTAAATGTCAAAGAGCAATTAGTTTTTATGTAATTGAGGGATGTCACATTTCCAGCCAATAACTGTGGTTGTTTAAGCATATTCTCCATGTTTTCTCCGTTCAGTAATCTTTCTGGAAGTCCTGTAAACATGGGAAGTGCTTCTCATGTTGCTCATCTAAATTTATCAGGCTCTCGTCAGTGGCACATTCTACACATATGGTTGAGTTACGACTTGAGTCTCTAAAATGATTTCTGCGTCTCTACTTATCTGGGCCTCTCGTTATCTTGTGGACACACTCTGTTTCTGAGAACAAGAGCTAAAATAGATGGCATGTTCTCAGACAATATGAGTCGAGCTCAACAGACAAATGATGTGGAAGCTGAAGCACAGATACAATAATTTCATTAAATACTCTGAAGCGTTTCACAACATAAAAAAGTCACTGACAGTAACTAATAAACATGTGCTGTCAATGTGAAGTGGGACCACAGTACATTGCATTTCATTTTAACCATTAAAGTTTTTAGGATTTTATTATCAGTGTTAATTTTTCAAACCTGTAATAAACCAATATATAATTTTTTTTTTACATAATATAAATGTAAACAAGCTTATATAATCTATGAGGCAGCACATACTGCCAAGTGCCAATATATAGTGTGTACAATAATATTAATATATAATTATTATTATTATCATTACTATTATTAACCCTCTATCTGTCACCTTTCCAAGGATGGGACATTTTTTAGTCATCAAAAAATTAATAAATATAAAACTAAAGTTATACTATGAAACTATAATAACAATATGCTTATATCTCATTTTCAAGTGTGAACTTAAATATTTGGGTGACAGTTGTAAGATTGGCTTACAACAAACCTATGCTGCTGTTCTGATCCAATAATCAAAAACAGAACGCAGTTAAAGGATGGTGTTTAAATCAATTATTTATCTCACTCCATTATAATTAATCTGACTTCATTAAAGTTGTTTAACATGTTTAAATATACAGACAATATAATGGAACATACTAACAAACAGGGGTGCGTTTCTGAAAACCATCGTTATCCAACTAAGGTCGCAAGTTGTGTCTTTACAAACAGCTTGTTGATTTGGCATTTCCCAGATCCATCGTTCCAATGAACATTTACAAACTGAGTCGCCAACGTATATGCTTGCAGCTATAGAGCTGTTGTTAGAAACATAGTTTTTGGTTGTGTTCTATTCTCAGTTATCCCCCTGTGCCCTATTCCTTTAGAACATTCTAACATTTAAACTTAGAATGATTCAAGAAAAAACATAAGTCATCTCTCTTAGGTGTAATATGCTTTCCAAGTATTTTTTTTTACAGTTTAGTTTTAGCGATCTTCATATTGACAATTGCAATCTCTTCTTGATGCACTTTGAAAACATTAATGTCATTTTGAATGCAGCCGTGGTTCGTGACGAAAGCTATAGGTGACCTATTATTTAAATGTGGAATTTACTTTACATCTCCAAAGCTTGTGAAAACAATAATATATAGCATTCATTAATGGTTTTAATTTATAGTAGGTTATTTATTAAGAAATGTGTCTGTACTGTTTATGACATGGGCCTTAACGTTTCTGCAGTGGTTTGCAAGTGACAAATTGTCAAATTAGACTGTTACAAAAAATAAATCAACATAAAAAAACAAACAAGATCCTACATAATAATATTAATAAAAATAATAATTATTATTATTATTAAGTAGTATTTTTTTAATTTCCTAATAAATTGCTTACTGTAAATTACAACCATTAACGATTTATATGATTTATATATGAGATTAGAATACATGTTAGCTAAGTGGTTGTATGTTTTAGAATAGAATATGGAATATTCTCAATAATATTTGTAAAGGGAAACATTGGCCCTAAATGTGCTGTTTATATACGTTTTAATTAATTTGGAAAACGATATAAAATTTATATATATATATAAAAATTTTTTAAGTGTGTGTGCATGTGCTTGTAAAACAATAAAATTTGCTCAAGAAATTATGGGTTTTTCTTTAAATAAGTTGTTAGTCCACCCTGTTTAGAGCATCAGTATGGACATTTTACGTAATAAATAACATGGTTCATAACCTCCTAATTCCTGCAGCACGAGAACTTTATAATTGTTTATGAGCATCAAAAGTGGCTGATCTGTTCGGCGAAATATTTGACTGCGTGTCACCGCATCTCAAACGACTAAAACTATATAACTAGAGAAATCTCCACTGTGCTAAGCGAGAGTGCTTACTGAACAGCGCATCATCAATGATGTAATCGTTCCCAGGCCAGAATGTAATGTGAGTGCGGGCCGTCGGGGGATATGGGAGGGGGGCAAGCGTGCTTCGGCCTGGTTCAAGGCAACTATAGTGTGAGTATGCCCTTACTGTAGCTGTAGCAAATGCAATGCTGTGCAACAAAGACAGTGAAACTGCCTTTGTTAGAATATGAGGCTACCCACTGGGAGATGCAGGGTTAAAGCCATTCACCCACATCAACAGTTACCTTTTCTCTTTATAACCTGAGCAAATCATTGTCAAACATGAGCAAGTACCAACCCCCAAAACCAGCCAAACATGAAAGCAAAGTTGAGAACATAAAGTGGGGGAGAAGTACATTAACATACTCTCCTCTCCAATCATACCCTCCTCAGGCCATGACTAAACATTAGTAAATAGATTGTACATTAAAATATATCAATGTCTCTGATGGGTGTATCATTACAACTTTGAAGTCATGAACTGCCAAATTACATCTAACATGGTAAAGTTAAATCAAGGAAGATCACAAGAAGATTCATTATGTATGCTGAAAAGCACATGGTGACTGTAAGACAAATGGCAGAGAAGTGTATTGGAGCTGTGAAGAATTTGCCACCACACCAGGAGGACTCATCCTGTGCTTGAAATGTCCCAGCAGTCCTTCATTAGCATAGAAGGAATAATATATACTATTTTCTCAGCTTACACGCACTCATATATGTCGAATATGTTTGCTGCTTGTTCAAACAACTTGTGAGCTGAAGCAACACAATTCTTGAGATGTTTTTGGCACAGCCTTATTGTTTAATGTTCAATCAACTTGAAATGGGAAAACCATTAGGTTAAATTAATCCATTTGAGTTAGGACAACGTAAAAAGATTGTGTGGAACCCAGCAATTTTTACAGTGCAGTTAAGAGTTTAATAATAATATTAGTATTTGTCATATTCATTATGGGACTTTAGCAGTTCAAAAATTATTTGAAAGCAAAAACTGTTTATTTTTTAAAGCAAAAAATGCTATTATTATTAATTAAAATAATATAAAAAGTAGATTATATTACACCAAACCAGTCTTTTTTGCACTGAATGAGAGCAGCTGAAAGCACTATTTGGTTTAATGCCATTTTTTTTCTCCACACCATCAACTATCATTGCACTGAATATTAGGAAGGATTTATAGACTGCGCCTTGCTGATTTTTTGTCATCTGCTCTGCGTGAGGAATGTGTTTGAAGCCTTGCAGTCTGTCCTTGAAAGCAGCATTGCAGATGGAAGATGATAATGGACAGTGAATCAGTCTGACCCTGTTACCCACGAGGCACAGACTAATGAAACGGTGACTGACTTTAGATCAGATGGAAGGCTGAAAGAGGCCATATGTTTGCACGGCTGGTGGATTCAGGCCTTCAGGGTGTCTGCTTTTGTTGTCTTTTATTACTGAACAACAATAGTAAACAAAACAGTAAATTATGTAACGATATGGCAACATAGCCATTATGTTATCTGGAGGACCAAACTAACTCAAATGAAAAATAAATAATGCAGTGATATGAAAATAAACAAAGGAATAAATGATTGGGTAAAACTAATAAAACTATTTTTGGTAGCACTTTATTCTGATGGTCCATTGAGTATTAGACTGTCTGCCTAATATCTGCTGATACTGCTCCTTCAGCAGACATTTAACAGACATTTTAAGAACAGTACATATACTATAAGAAGTACATGTCAACTTACACTAATCCTAACCGCAACCTAACAGTCTACTTATAATCTAATGACAATGAATTGTAATATAAATTTAACAAACGGACCATCAAAATAAAGCGTGACTATTTTTTCATTTATATTTTCAGTATTCCTTCTGTATTTTTAATGTTCTTTTATGTTATTTTTATGTTATTTTTTGTATGCTTTTTTATGTTTTTCATATTTTAATATTTAAAGTTATTGATAATTATATAAAAAATTTGATTCATATTTAATGCTACATTTATTCAGTTATAAAATGTAGTCTTGCATTTGTGTATTACTTTTCTCCTTATTTAATTAATTTCAGCACTATATTAAATTCTTTGTTTAATATTTCATTGATGATTTTATTAAAATTTCTTTATTTATTTGATATCTATTTATTTACATTTTATTCCAACATTTATTAATATATACTTTCAGCCCAAATAATAATTATTATTGAATTAAACTAAAATTGAATATTCTTTTACATTTTGATTTTTTTCTATATTTCTTTAAATTTGTATTATATAAGTGATGATTTAATTAATTTTATTTTTGGATGCATTTATTTTTATATTTATTTATTTCTAAAATTATTACATCTAATAGAAGCCTTTCTTTTTTATTTAGCCGCTCATTAACCGAATATTAACCATTACCTAATAAATATATGATTGACGTGTCTATTTTGTGTCTTACACATTAAATATGCATATTGCATTTTAAAATAGTGATTTATAGCATAGAACAGCAAAGAACATCTTAACAATAGAACATCGTCAAATCTTGATGCTCCTGTAGTGTTTCCAATGGCATAGAAAAAATTATAAACTAACAAAAAAGAATAACTTCAATAGTCATTTAAATACCTTTACTCAAATAATCTGCACTACGAAACTTTTTGAAATTATTTTTGAATCTTTGTTCTGTGAAATTAGCTAAAAAAAAAAAAAAAACCATTTTATTTTTTTTCATTGTTTTTTCACTTTATCAGGCTCTACCTTAACATAGAACAGTGCGTCTCAAACTTATTTTGCCAGATCGGGTCACAAATAATAGTTTTTAACCCTTGAATACTATTAATGGGTTAAAAATGCATCCTTTCGGTTAATGGATAAACGGTTATTAAGAGCATCTCTAGTTTGCGTATTACTTTTTTTATTTATAATTTTCTTTATTTATTTTATAATTTTTTTATTTGCTTTCTAAATTTGTTTATTTTTATTTTTGTGTATGCAACATAAAAATGACACAAAGTCTAAAAAATCACTGACTGATTTAATCCAATTATTCATTTTAGTTCCTGGATTTTTTGTTCCCTCCATGCAGTAAACTGTTTAAACTCAACACTGATCTAATCTCAGTTCATTTTAGCCACAAACTTTGTATAATATTCACCATGATCATGTTTCACTCGTTTCTCTCCCGCAGGCACACTGATGGTCATCTCCCTTCTCTCTATTGTATACGGAGCCTTACGTTGCAATATTCTCGCCATAAAGATACGCTACGATGACTACGAAGTCTCCGTGCGTCCACTGGCATACATGTGCGTGTTCCTGTGGCGTGGGTTTGAGATTGCCACCCGTGTGGCCGTCCTGGTCCTCTTCAGCTCCGTGCTGAAGGTATGGGTGTTTCCGGTGGTGTTGGCCAACTTCATCCTCTTCTTTCTTCACCCGTGGGCCCTTTTCTGGAGCAGCCGATCTCCATTTCCAGAGAACATTGAAAAAACATTGACCCGAGTGGGAACCACCATCGTCCTCTGCATGCTGACCTTTCTATATGCTGGCATTAATGTGTTCTGCTGGTCCGCCGTGCAGCTCAAATTGGATGACCCGGATCTGATCGACAAGGGTCAAGCTTGGAGGAGGTTAGCTGTGTATTATTCACTTCGTTTTGTTGAAAACACAGGTCTGACTTTGATGTGGTACATCCACCAGACTGAGTTCTACAATTGGGTGGATGCGCCGGTGTTAGAAGTAATGTTGTTGTTGGGTTACGGCACAGCGGTGTTCTTTATGTTGCTTTTTTACCAGTTCTGCCACCCTTGTAGGCAACTGTTTTCCTCCAGTCCGGCTCAGGGCTTTTGGGAGTGTTGCGGATCTCTCTGTATGCTCCGTGGGACTCTTTCGCAGCCTGGTTCCATGAGGAGCAAGCCACCGGGGAAGGAGACCGGAGATGATCCGGTCTGTGTTACCAAAGGAGACATGACACAGAGTCTGTGCGGTGCCGTGTGAGGAAAGCACAACTTAAAAGGAGAGTTCAGCACAAACATGGACATTGTCTTTCTTTTGTTCAACACCAAAAGATGTTATGAACAATGTTGGAAATTGGTTGCCGAAATTGCGAAAAACAATTACTATGGAAATCAATGACTGTTTCCAACTTGCTTCAAAATATCTTCTTTTGTGATTGAAACAAGTAGATGGTGAGAATATGATGACAGTTTTCATTTATTTTGGGTGAATTATCCCTTTTAAAGTAAGGGACAGCTAAACTTGTAATATATTGTTAATGATCAAAATATAAGTTAAGATATTTTTGAGCAAACCTTGTAGGTTGCAGACACTCTACACTGAAAAAAATGAATTAGATTTAGTAATTCTTTAAGGTTAGTGGTTGTAAACTATTTATATGGGCTGAATTTAAGCAAAGTAATTTACTAATGTTCAACTTAATTTGTTTGCTTAAATTCAGCCCATATAAATTGTTTGCAACCATTTACCTTAAAAAAAATGAGTAAATCCAATGAAACGTTTTTATTTTTCAGTGATCAGAAATGAAGTAATGCTATTTTGGATCAGCATGAAGGTGAGTAAATCTTGACAGAATTATATTTGTGGATGAACCATCTCTTTAAACACATTGTCATGAAGTGCCCTTTAAGGAATGAAAGGAAGAATTAAAAATAAAAAGTTGAATTTCTGCCTTTGGTACTTACTGCAGGAATGTAAGAGGCAGTGTTTGTTTGTACCTTTTTCTCTTGTTTGGTGAGGCAAATGAGCCAGCATGGTCCACTGAAATGCATGTGAAAATCCCTGTCGAGATGAACCCGCTGCTTTGGTCGTGTGACGTGGAAGCGCTTTGTTTGTTTCCCATTTGGTGTTGGTTTGATTAATGTTACAGCGTCTAAGCTCTCTGTGTCTGCATTATTTAAAGCCGATTATTGAAAAGATTGTATTTGCAAAGTTTATAAGCTTTTGTTGCCACTTTAAGGGCATTGCTTTCTGAAAACTGTTTGACAACCTCTCAGGTTTGTTAATACTTTTAATCTTATTTGTCTTGTTTTCTATTTGTCTATATTAGTCTTAATCTGTTCATATAATGTAAGAATGTGAAATTAGTTCTGACTTGTCATATGATAATAATAACTTATGGCCTAAATTCAAGGGATTACTTGAAAATGCTTTCAAAATTGACAGATAATGAGAATTACTGCCGGGTAGCCAAAGCCTTCAAAATTCCTCAAAGAGTTATTAGTTAAGTGATTGTTTTTCCTTTCTTTTGTTTACACTCCTACTTTGCATTGGTCTTATGTAAGGACCTCTTTTGCACATTATTCTTATTTTTTTCTACAAACAGCACAAATGTCACTCATGTCATACAGGGCAGTAGATGATTACGTCCTTTGCTGCCCCCCTGTGGGGAGTTTAATAGTGATGAGGGTCTGGAAACTCCTTTAAAACATGTCCATAATCACTGTATAGAGCACATCACTGCTTTTGATATGAGGAACTGTCAGCAAAACCATAATAAAAAATAAAGGAGAATGTTATTTTGTCCATGATAGTGAACGGTTTATTGTTTTACTATCTATCTATCTATCTATCTATCTATCTATCTATCTATCTATCTATCTATCTATCTATCTTATATGAAACACACACTTAATTTTCATTTATTTATGCTTATTCTATATGTGGTGGTTCAATTTTCACATTTTTTGCTGTTTAACCAGAGAAAGACAGAACTGAAGACATTTTTGCTTTTTCTGTGGAATGATTTTAAGATAATGAGCTAAAAACTAGACAAAACAAATCAGAACAAAAAATAAAGTAAATAGATGGAATGAGCAGATTTCCTTGTGGCCCAAATTATAACCCATTTTAAACCCCATTTCTACATGAAAATTAACCAATTCAGCTAACAAGAACAAGAAGTTGTGTTAATTAAATTAACTATGGTTTTGCTTTACTAACAATAGTTTATCCAAGTACAGATAAAACTAATGTGTTTTTTGCAGCATATTTTATAGCATTGTGCAAATTCTATATATGGGCCAAGGTATAACTCATTTAGAGTTATACATGCATGTTCAAAAAAGTGGCTGTAACAAAAGCAGAAGAGTTCTTTAAATCATATAACGCTTGTAAATAGACTAAACAGGGTTAACTCAACAACAGAAGGAGAAGTGAGAGTTCACATGGCCATCCTCTTTAGCCAGAGGAACTTTGCTAGATTGATTCAAATTTGTGACATTTCCTGATTCAATGCCGAGTCCTCTTTCTGTCTTGTGGCTCACTTTCTCTCGATCTCATCTCCTGATCTTCTCTTTCAACTCTGCTCAACATCATGGGAAACTTTGCTGCAAATGAAGGACTATCCGTTTTTGTTATCGTAAGCTATCGGGATTATGATTTTTTTACAACTAGTCTTTTTTTTTATTATTACTTTTGCGTTTTGTTATCAAATTATAAATTTCAAACATTATATTTCTGTTTTACGCTTCTTTTGTTTGTGTATTTCAGCTGGTATGGCTCGGGATCAATGTGTTTCTCTTTGTATATTTTTACATGGCCTTTTTGATTGACAAATACTACTATACTAGAGTCATTCTTGGGGTAAGTGTCAAATAATGTATACATTTTCAATATTTATTGTATTAATAGATGTATTTTTGTATTCTATTCGTAGTATTTACTGCACCCTTTAGGATTTGTAACTGTTTGTATCTTACATGCTATTATATAGTGTTAATGCAATTATAAGGCCAATATTTTAATTGCCTAATGGAAATTAGCAAATTTAGCAACGATAATTGAATAATTAATCAAATAAATAATTAATTCAATTAACCATGGTTTTGTTTCACTAATAAATTAAAATATTATTTTTGGTACAGCTATACATACACAATGTTGTATTCTTATTTTAATATTTAGCATTAACAATCAAAAATTACATTTTGGTTGTAAATGTGATGCCGTAATTATTTTGACTGACCATTTCTTAAAATGCAGCGTTTAAGTTAAAACCTAAAAATAAATTTATCTCGATTTAAATAAAAAAATACATATTTATATCTCAAAAAATGTCCTGCAGTTCTTATTTAACCAACATTTTAGCATATTTTTTATATTTTCCTCTACACACAATTTTTAGTACTTGTCTTGCGTGAAATTGTTGAATAAAGCTGGAAAATAGGAGCTGGAAATAGGAAATGAAAGTCCCACCTGTGTTTTTCTGTCCTCCTCAGCATGCTCTCTCGTGGGCCAGAGCTCCAGCTGCATGTCTCAACTTTAACTGCATGTTGATCCTGCTGCCGGTCTGCAGAAATCTGCTCTCGTTTCTCCGAGGATCTATACAGGTTTGTCTACTTGGGCTGTATCCGAAATTGACATTCATTCACTATTCCTTACTTGAGTCCACTAATATAGTTCACTTCAAGGTAGTAATGAAAAGAAGTGAGTGAATTCGAGCACTCAGGCGAAGGGATGCCGTTGTAAGTGCTTTGCTAGTTGATAAATCAGACAAATGAGATTTTCTTAGTCAGACCCTGTGATAATTGTATCTGTCAGTGAGCTGTCTAGTAATAAAACAACGTTTTTTTCTGCCATAATACTCATACAAATGTTAAATTAACAATTTTGAAACGTCCACCGATATAATTCGGCTGTGGTCGCCATCTTGTGGTCATATGCGTATAATTTGGCGCGCAAATTCTTCCTTTGGGGCAAGATGTTGAGTCCATGCATAGTGTGACCCTGACAAATCCGACAGGATTGCGATTATAAATTATAATGTCAGTTTTTTGAAAAAGTAAGATATATATGCACAAGGATAAACTTTTTGTTTATGTTCTGCTATGATTATTTGATTGAGATCGAATATGCTACATTTGAAAGTCTCGAATCTGAGTGTTCAAAATTGTAAACATTGAATAGACGTTGTCTAAATTAAGCATATACTAATCAAAAATAAAGTTTTGATATATGGAAGAAAATGGATAAAAAGTATGGTATAATCTTTAATCTATTAATTTTTGGCATAAAAGTAAAACGGAGTGGGTGATGCAGTGGGTAGTGCTGTCGCCTCTCAGCAAGAAGGTCGCTGGTTCGATCCTTGACTCAGTTGGCGTTTCTGTGTGGAGTTTGCATGTTCTCCCTGCGTTTGCGTGGGTTTCCTCCGGGTGCTCCGGTTTCCCCCACACAGTCCAAAGACATGCGGTACAGGTGTCAGGTGAATTGGGTAGTCTAAATTGTCCGTAGTGTATGAGTATAAATGAATGTGTGCGTGGATGTTTCCCAGAGATGGGTTGCGGCTGGAAGAGCATCCGTTGCGTAAAAATATGCTGGATAAGTTGGTGGTTTATTCCGCTGTGGCGACCCCTGATTAATAAAGGGACTAAGCCAGGGCCGGATTAACCAATGGGCATTATGGGCACAGGCCCAGGGGCCCGTTCGCACTAGGGGCCCCTGCGAGGGGGGAGAAAAAAAAGGACAATTTCGGAGTGTCTTTTTTTCGCTAATTGCAAATAGCGCGTCTAGTTGGAATAAGCTTTTCAGGGTTTACGCCCGTCGATGCTTGATTGATAGAGACAAGAAGAGTGAAGAGCCATTTAACATTACAGCCGCAGTGGCGCACTTGTAAAGCGCACAGGTTCATCTTTTGGCGCGATAAATTATAAACTCGGTTCGAATCCACCATCAGCTGAACTCGTGCTACTTTTTTTCTCCCCATTACATATCAGATTGGAAATATATTTATTTTTATCAGGAAGAAAACATTTTTTAAAAATAATGTAAATGTGATTTAAAGTCACAAGTGTCTCGTGGGTATTAAATAATGTTTAGCCTTATTGTAGGTTCCTCCCTCTCTGCAAAAACTATATTGCTCAGACAACTGTATTTCCTCTGAGCAAAAAAATCGCGATAACACATTAATATTATTATTATATTTAAACTGCCTTTTTTTCTTTAACTAAACAGAATGCTGTATTTGGTCAAGCGCTGAAACGTCAGTTTTGTAATAACCCGCACTAAACTGAGCGGACTGTAGTGTAACGTTATATCTGTCATAGATCAAAAATGAGTGGACAAGTGTATTTAGCAAACGCGAGAGAAAGAGGAGAGGAGGCATCTTCATTGAGGCATTTTTCATACACACCATTTTTAAACAGACCTATGATAAGGAGAATGAGGGTACAGAAGACATTATGGTAACTTTAAATGATGAGAAGCTAGCATTAACCAGGCGGAGGAGGTTAACGGCAGCGCGGACTGGATTCATCGTGTGAGAGACAGACAGAAAAGGAGAGAGAGAGGGAGAGAGAGAGAGAGAGAAAGGCCCAGAAGAGGAGAGAGACGGGAGAGAAGAGGTATAGTGTCTGTGATTTCGGATACTTTTAGGTTTATAATCAAGTCTTCTTCACGAGAAGAGTAGAGAAAATACAGGGAGAGAAGGAGAGACACAGTAAATCAGTGTTTGTATTATGAAAGACTCAGATTGATAGAACTCAGATTCATAGAACTGGATTGGAGAAGCATTGTGCGTTATATGCCATGGCAATAATATGCTTTATAAGTTTGTAAAAGCAATACATTAAAATACCCTTAAATATATATATATATATATATGTATATATATATATATAGTTTTATTAATATTTTTATTCAATGCTTTGAAAAATAAGTTAAATCTTTGTAGACTATAAATACATATGTACTATATAGCATTTATTTAAATTTGTGGGCAACAAATTATAGATTAATTTTATTAAAAAATTATTACATTATTCTTATTTTTTAAATTCAACTATAGGGGTGGTAGGGGGCCTTACAAGACAATGTGCCCAGGGGCCCCTGAGTTTTTAATCCGGGCCTGGACTAAGCCGACAAGAAAATGAATGAATGAATGAAAAGTAAAACGGATAAATTTGACTTACTACCTAGGTATGGTGGTGCGTGGTCTAAGGGATGCATAGCCTATAATAGAAATGCTTTTTCTATATGTTTATGGTTAAGTCGTGTGGTTGTTAAACTTGTAATTGGTGTATTGTGGGACTGATTGAGTGCATCCGCTATGGTTACACAGCTGGTATGGGGCAATTTTGAATGCAATCATAATGAAAAGGGAATCTGAATCTCCTCATTAATGTGTTTACAGTGCTGCAGCCGCACTGCAGCTCGACAGCTTGACAGAAACATCACTTTCCACAAATTGGTGGCCTACATGATTGCCTTCCACACAGGTACTGTGAAAAAGTCTTAAGTCTATCTTTAAATCCTCTACCAAACCTATTTTCAAATCTTTTTTAATGCCCTCAAAACCTAGAATTTAAAGTACAAAATAAATAAACACAAATAATAGCAACAGGGATGTAGCGGATATTTAAGAATTGCAGCTGAATGAGATCCAAAATTTACGTTAATTTTATTATTAATCACCTGTTTCTAAATAAGCTCTAACAGTGAGGAGGACGTAGGCCTATCCCCCTTGTCCTCCGGTGGCTAAGAATCCTGAATAATAATAATAGTAATCATAAATAAATAAAATGTTTAAAAATAAAGTTTTTAAAAGTTTAATTAGGATTTATTTAATATTTTTATTTAATTTTAATGTCTGCTTTTGTTAGTTTTAGGTTTGTTTTATTTAGTTAGTTCTAGTCATTTTTATGTTTTTGTATTGTTTATTATTTGTCATTGTTGTTTTTAAATGTCTAATTAGTTGACTAAAATTGTTAAGTAAATTAAATATATGCAAAATGATAAAAAAAATAAGTCTACTTAAAAATTCCAAGTCACAATAGGTTTACACACTTTTTAAAGTAAAGTCAGTTTGTTTGTTAGTGTTTAGTTTTTATACATTTATTTTAAAAATTAAAACTTTAATATAGCAGTTAAATAATTTTTAAAAATCATTGGTAAATGTCTTGCATACATTATATTACATTATATTAACATATATCTTATTCTCCCAGCCGTCCACATCATAGCCCACCTGTTTAACTTTGAGAGATTCATGGACTCTCAGCTGATGATCAACAGCAGTCACCTGCCGTATGTGCTCTCTCAGATTGGCAACAATGACAACAGATCCTACCTGAACCCCATCAGGAGCAATGACACGGTGAGTTCTGCAAGATTTTAGCTCATTTCAAAATCACTCAATCTCAGCATTAACAGAAGTTCCTGTTGAAATGGAGATTCCAATCCTGTTCGTTATGCAACAATACTCCAGCTGATTTCAGTTCAGCCCTGCAGCATTTACTCCCACTTCCGCCCACAGTTACATCATTCTGTTGTGAAAAAGATTCTGTCGCAATGATGAGCCACAATAGTGCATTAAATAGAGAAGCCCATGATCATCATACAGTAACTAAAACATTAATAGTGCCATGTTGCTATGTCAACGTTCATATCCCATGACCGTTATAAAAAGATGTATTCATACAACAAGGATAGTAAGTTCACCAAAAAATGTAAAAACTCATACCATTAAAAGACCATTTTTAAGTAAAACATTTAGGAAGATTTTGAGCTAAACTGTTATCCCTGAATCAAAAAATATTCTGTATATAGACAAATCTTAATTGTTATCAGCTCGTAGTGTGCATTCCTCAATTGTACATGCAAATTGTACAGTGCATGCTGGATACCACTGTATTGTGAATAAAAATAATATCCAAGAACTGCATCTTTGCAGTAGGCCTTCTCGATTAATCTAAATGAAATTAAAATCATGATTTAGCAAATGCTTTAATTGTTATGAACATCTTGTCAGGTGCGCACAGCTCTGTGATCAGTAGTAAATCTCATCCAAAAGCTAGAGGGCACTCTTGCGTGGAAATTGAATTAACCCAAGAAGTCAAACAGAGGATCAAGAAATTGCATATTACATTCTTTTAAATAGAAGAAGTTTTTATATTTTTCAATAATAATTATGAATTTGGGGTGGCACGGTTGCTCAGTGGTTAGCACTGTCGCCTCACATTAAGAACATCCCTGCTTAGAGTCGCGGCTGGGCCAGTTGGCAATTCTGTGTGGAGATTGCATGTTCTCCCTGTGTTTATGTGGGTTCTCTCCGGGTGCTCAAGTTTATCCCCACAATCCAAAGGCATGCGGTATAGGGTAATTGAATAAACTAAATTGGCCGTAGTGAATGAGTGTGTATAGGTGTTTCCCAGTAATGGGTTGCAGCTAGAGGGGCATCGGCTGTGGCGACCTACGATAAATCAGAGACTGAGCCAAAGGGAAATAAATAAATAATTTGTTTACTGTGTTGCTTTTGACAACAGGAGAAATCATTTCAAAAGTTTAAAGGATTGTGCTTTTATAACCTCAGAGTTTGACTATATTTTCAGTCTGTGCTATTTTGTATATATTGAATTATCTTTATTCTTTTTTTGTGGAAATACTAACATACTTTACCATATGAACACATTATATTGAGACTGCTATTTAGTATCCTAACAATTTTGTACATTTTATTCATCAGTATTAGTCAATTATTAGAAGGGGGTAATTTTGCATTGTAGTTTAATAACAAAATGTGTGTCACATGGTTAAACCACCTGATTTACAATTACATTAAACAGACATTTATTTCTATAGTGCTTTTAACAATGTGGCCAAAGCAGCTTAACATAGATTAAAAAAGAGAATAAAAAGTCATAGCAATATTTAATATTGTGGAGAATTCAAGCAAATCAGGCAGGCAGGAGTATAGTGTATAATGCTGGTATATTTCTAGTAAAATTAAAACTAATTTAGTACAGTTTAATACAAATGTCACCACTGAAGGATGATCAACTGAAGAGCAGCTCCACCAAATCATTAGTTTCTTTAATTCACAGCTTTCGTCTCCTTTGTGTAGTGCATTTTATTATCATTTATTATCATTGTTTTGTATTTTCCAGAACCCGACCATAGTGATGTTTACGACAGTAGCAGGATTGACGGGTGTCGTGATCACCCTCGCCCTCATCCTCATCATCACCTCCTCCATGGAGGTCATCCGAAGGTCCTACTTTGAGGTCTTCTGGTTCACGCATCACCTGTTTATCGTCTTTTTCATTGGATTGGTGCTTCATGGAATCGGGTGAGGGTTTGCTTCTATTCATATATATTTTTTGCAAATTGATACCCCAAAAAAGTACATTTTATTTGACAGCAGAATCAATTACTGGTTATTTTAAATAAGCAAACGCAATGAAATATTTAAAAAAACATTCTATTTCAGATGTTTTAGACATATGCAGCATATACAGATTATTAAGGAAGAACACTGAAGTATATTATAAAACTACCTTTAAAAAAAGGGTAATAATTTTATTCAGAAAGAAAACATTTAATTTGTCAAAGGTGACAGCAAAGGCATTTAAAAAAAAATTCTAAAAAAGTTCAGTTTGAGATAAATGATGTTCTGTTAAAGTTTGTTTCCACAAAATATTAAACATTTTAACATTTTGCATAAATAAAATACACACTTAAATATACATAAAATATTAATTCATATATTAATATAAAGTGTAAAAAAAAAAAATATATATATATATATATATATATATATATATATATATTTTTTTTTTTTTCAAAATAGTCATTCTAAAATAAAATAAGCATCATTAAATATAGAAAACACTTATTTAAAAACGTAATGACAGTTATTTCCATTTGTTATGTATTTAGAATGCATCACTTAGCACTGTCGCCTCACAGTAGATCTGCGCGGTACTAAATTTTGAATCCCGCTCCCGCCAGGTTTTAGCCCGAACCCGACCGCTCCCTCTTATATTCAGCATTTGTTGTCCCACTGCCCGACCCGCCCCGGTTTCTACCCGCCGCACCCGATCCCGCTAAAGAGCAGGGGGAGAACAAAATCGAAATCCACCCTGCTATGCAGAGTCCAGACAGCTGTCTGTATAAACTCACACACAGGCAAAGCTCTCTCTCTCTCATTCGCGCACACACACACACCTCTCATTAGTGCACGCACACACACATACACACACACACATACACACACACACACAACGAACAAACAAGCTAAACACAGCATCGCGCTGTTTCAGTCACACATAACGTTACATACGCGTGCTCGCTCGCTCTGGAGTCGGGAGCGATATTGCTAGACGGCCCGCTCCTGTCCCAAATTAAACCTGTTATCGACCGCTCTCGCGCTTTATTCGGAAATTTATACCTCACAGCAATTCAGACCTCTACCTCACAGCAAGAAGGTCCCTGGTTCTAGTCCCAGTTGGGCCAATTGCCATTTGTGTGTGGAGTTTCCATGTTCACCCCGTTTGTGTAAATGCAAAAGTGTATGGGAATTTCCCAGTACTAGGTTGCGGCTGGAAGGGCATCTGATGCTTAAAACATATGCCGGAATAGTTAGCGGTTCATTCCGCTATTGCAACCCTTGATAAATAAGGGACTAAGCTAAAGGAAACTGAATGAATGTATTTAGAATAAAAGAATGTAACCTTTGCTACATGGCTTTTAAAGAACATTTAAGAAATATTACCAATCACAAATGTTCAGTTCTCATTCCAGTTAAAGCTTTAAAACATTTCTGTCAAAAATGCAGATATTTAGATGACTGAATTTCAGTCTAGCTGGAGTCTAGCCTAAAGTGTCAAATGTAATTTAAGCACAGACTCCAGCACATTTTTACTGTTTTTGACAGGTGTCACTCACAGTGATTGGCACTCACCCCTCGCTCCAGTCCACTGTCAATTCCACAATTCCTGTTTAAACTTTACACCAATAAGGAGAAGATTGAAAGCACTCACTCATTTTTGACAGTTTTAAGATTACAAAGGCAGGTTTTCCAGCAGTCTCTGTTCAATATCTTGACGCGTCTCATTCACTTCATTCTAAGAAGGCAAAAAACAATGGCTGAATAATTATCATGCATTATTAATTATTCGTGTGTGTGTGTGTGTGTGTGTTTTTGTGTGTATAGGCGTATTGTTCGAGGCCAGACTGATGCAGATCTACACGTTCATGACCCAACTATATGTCACAGCAAGTTTGAGAAGTGGGGCCAAAATGGCACCGACTGCCCAGTACCCATCTTTGCAGGAAACCCACCAAAGGTGAATCATAATAATAGAATCTCAAATGCGTCTTGCTCAATTTGACAAATAAATATTGCATTTTAACAAATACATCCCCTTACAGACATGGAAGTGGGTGGTTGGCCCCATGTTCCTGTATGTCTGTGAGAGACTGGTGCGCTTCTACCGCTCGCAGCAAAAAGTGGTCATTACTAAGGTTAGTGAAACAAGTAAGGCTGTAATGGTACACAAGAGTTATGGATTAGTATGTTTTCATTTAGCAAGGGGGAAAAGCAAAGTACTGTAGTTTATATGAACTGTGGTTTACAAAATGTGGCCCTGTCTTTAACTCTTTCTATAGGGCAAAATCCCATACAACGATACGCACTGTATATATTAGGGCTTGCACAACTTGCGGTTTCTGCTAATCAGTTTCTTTTCAAAACAATACTGGAGTTACTCGACTACCCATGGTTCGAGCTACTAGTTAAAAAGACAGAAAGAAATCCTTTTCAATACACATTTAATTAGTTCATAGACGAATCCATTAATTTCATAGGACTAACATAAATTGTTAAAACATTATAATACTTTTTTAAGTTACAGAGTAATATAAAAATAAAAAGCTGCACGCAACATTGTCATTTAACATTTGCATCATAAGCTTGCTGTATATGCAAAGCAAACTTGTGTTTATCCTGTAATACTTTAAGTTTAAGTTATTAAAGTAACTTTATTATTTAACATGTTTTCAGCAGTATTAAGAACTAAGTGAAACTTAATTACTTAAACCAGTTCAGAAAGACAAAAACAGTTCTCGTCAGCAATACAGCTGACCCACAAAAAATAAATAGCCTAAATTAATAAATATTGCATAAATAAAAAGTTGAAATTGAAAATACCTAAATGAAATATTTATAATACAAAAGAAAAAAGCTGTAGGCTAATTATTGCATTTTAATTATACATTTAATTAAGGCTATATAAAGTAAAAGTAGCCACACCCGAAACCTAAAATGCGTTTTGAAAACTCATATTCATAACACAGTATTCATAAAACGAATTAAAAGGTTAATAAAATTGTTTTGACCTAGACTAAATCTCATTCAATCATTTAATTTCTGCTACATTTCAACACTTACTAAAATAACAAAATGAATGAATATATACTTAAGATTATGCAAACGACCATGTGTGCACAAGTAATAGTCTGTTATACAATAAGTAGTCTGATTTAAAAAAATAACTGTAATATTTAAGTTTCCAGCAGTGATAACAAGAATGAAAATTATTTTGGTTCAGAAAAGAAATAGTTTAACAAGCGACAATAGCCTATACAGCCAAACAGAAAATAAATAATAAATAAACTATTTATAAATAAATTATTTAAATAAATAAAAAATATTAAAATAATAAATAAAATATGCTTAGACACAGTAAACTAACAAATGACTGCATGATATTTTAACATGCAGATATAATGTATGAGAAAACGTATTTTTATATTTAAAAGTCATAAAAATAAACAGCAATGCAACTACGAATAAAGAGCCCATCTTGCAATTTAATCATTTTATATTTACCCAGGTTTTCGACAGAAATTATGAATAGAATCTTACTTCATCCGACTTTATACAGAACACAAGTCATCCCTGCTCTCATCCTCTAGTCACAGACAGTCTTTGGTCAAGCTCATGGATCTTGCATTTAGAAATACAAGCACATCCATGTGAGAGGGATGCAGGCTTGCTCTTTGCCTTGTTACTGTGTTGCCGGCCAAAGAAAATTTCTTTCACTTTGTGTGCTGGTGTCAGGTATAGCAAGAAATAATTTCACTAGCTTGGATAGTAGAGGAAACCGATGTTCATTACATAACTACAGTTCAAGAGGATTCCCTGTGCTGTTAACGTTGATATTGATAAATAATCTTGAATTTAATCCTCAGTTGTTGTTGGAAGCTTTAACCTTGCATCATGGTGTTTGTTGGATACGTTTGTCGTTTTGATGTCATTTATGCTAAATGCCATACAATCATTTTTATGTGATCATATTTCTTACATCATTTAAAACTTTAGTGCAAATGTTGGATTAAAATGCAGAAATAAATAGTATTATTAAAATATAAACCATTTTTAAAATAACTGATAACAGGTCCAACATTAAAGTATTAATAACAAATATAGCTAAATAAAATGCAAAATGTTAACATTGTTTGTACTTTCAAGACTGCAAGTTTCTCACAATGCTGTTATTCATGTTTGTGTCTGCATCCCCACAATAGCGTATAAAATTGGTTCATAAAAATTATGAAAAAGTATTACTATAAGCAAAGTATTTTCTGACACCATGAAAAACACAGTGAAGCATAATATGAAACAACAGACTTATTCTTTCCATGCATCATATATTTAGTCAAATCTCACAGCCCTAATATATTGTAATCAGTGTCGTGACAAATAATATATGGTTCTTTGCCCACTAAAGGCGATTTTTGCAAGCCCTTTTACTCACTCTAGATTTCAAACTCGGTATAAATAACCAGAGTTTCCTACCTCAGTTATCTTCATCTTGAAGAATCCCGCCTTCTACCACTACTCCTCCTCCCTTTTCCTTGATAGTGCAGCACGGCAGCCCAGTGGTTAGCACTGTTGTCTCTCCGGTTTCCTCCCACAGTCCAAAAACTTGCGACATAGGTGAATTGACCAAACCAAATCAGCACAATAGATCAATTAGCTTAATAATAGATTAATTAGCTTTTAATCAGCAGTATATCTCTCTCAGTTATCGAGACCTACCTAAGGTCAAATTCCTCTCTCTCCCTGCAAACGAGAGGGAGCCATGGGCCCGAGGGTCTTATAAACTCAGGGCTCTCTCCGGGGACAGCATGCCAAACATGCTTAATAATCAATCATCAGCTAAGTGTGAACTCTTGAAACAGTATTTTGTCTCTCTTGCATACTAAAATAAAACAAAAAACTTTAACAAAGATTTTCTGTATGACTACATACAAAAAATATGCTTGCTGTTTGTTTAAAATACTTATTTAAAATGAGCTGAATCAACACAATTCTTGAGATTTTTTTGGGGACAAATTAATTGTTTTATGTTCAATCCACATTAATTTGTTAAGTTAACTTAAATGATATAAATAAATTGTGTGGAACCCTGCAGGTTTTACAGTGTATGTGGGTACAGTTACTCTCCTACATTCAAAGAATCATTCAATTTCTTATTCTCATCATTTCATTGCTACTTTACAGGTTGTAACGCACCCTTCCAAAACCCTTGAGCTGCAGATGAAGAAGAAAGGCTTTAAGATGGAGGTGGGCCAATATATTTTCATGATGTGCCCGTCGATCTCTCAGTTAGAATGGCATCCCTTCACCCTCACCTCTGCCCCGGAGGAAGACCACTTCAGCGTGCACATCCGAATCGTAGGGGACTGGACGCAGGCACTTTACTCTGCCTGTGGAGGGGATAAGACTGCGGTGCTGGATGCTTGGACACTACCAAAGTAAGATTGATGAGAACTTACCCTCATGCTGCTGTAAACCTGGTTCATTCTCAATACCGTATTGGACAGCTATCAATTTGAGGGGGGATAGGGTATAGACAATCTTCTACACCAAAACAAAGAAAGTCATACATATTTGGAAATATATGATGGTGATGTTGATAAAACATAAAACATTTTGTTGGACACCATCAAAGTGAGTTATTTCAAGGAACAGTTCACATTTATGATATTATTTTGGACAGTGTTGGGGAAAGTTACTTTTGAAAGTAATACATTACAATATTGAGTACTAATGAACTTCCTGACCCTAGAACTATATATGCCGTATATACAGAATAATGAAAGCTTAAAGCAGGGGTGACCAATACGTCGATCGCAAAGGTATCGTGGGTAGATCGCATGGCATTAAAAAATATAGACGTCAGCCTATCCTCCTTCCTCACTAAAAGTTGTATAACTATAGTTTTGCAGCACTTAGCGAAGTTGGCGTGGTTAAGTCCAAATATCGTTCATTAGCATACATTTCCAGAACAAACATTTGAACGTTGGATTTTTATTTGTTACATTTAATTGAATATATGAACACATCAAAGTATATATTCATTACATGGACATTCTTCAAAATCATCTGAACAACATGAGGAGTGAATAAGTCATGACAAAATGGTCATTTTAGGGTGAATTGCCTCTGTAATGTAAGGTTTCTCAGGTGCAAGTCCAATTCAAATAACACAGCTGTGGGCTTTTTAATAGTACCAGTAAGTCTCTCATGTAAAGTAGGAAAATACGTGTGTGAAAAAGGGGATGTGGGTGAACAATCGCTGTTGAAAAAAGAGAAGTGATGGGAGAGGAGGTTTCTGTGTGAGATGGTTGGCAATGCGTTGATTTCAACATCTGTGAATTTTGGTAGCCATTTCTCCTTATGTGTTTCTTCATTTCTAACTTTTACTGTTGAGGACTTAAAAGTCTACTAATGCAAACAACACAATGCTCAACTGTAGCACTGTTAAATGTTGTATGTTTGTCATCCATTAATGTTGTCTGTTGTCCTCCATGTAGGATGGCAGTGGACGGGCCGTTTGGGACAGCCAGTGAAGATGTCTTTCGTTATGAAGCGGTGATGCTGGTTGGTGCTGGTATTGGTGTGACGCCCTTTGCTTCTGTTCTGAAGTCTGTCTGGTATAAACACGTCCAGGAGAACCAAAACGTCTTCACTAAAAAGGTCATAAATAGTGATACCTTTGGAAAATGCCTTGTTTATAGTGTAGTATTTTAAGTGTAAAACCAACCCAATCTCACGGCAATCTCAAACTTTTTAGATTAGTGGCTAATTCGTATGAATTCACACGATCTAATTCAGTGGTTCCCAACCTTTTTCTTAGGGCCCCCCCCCATGAACATATACAAACATTGGAGCACCCCCACCATATAAATACACACGCACGCACACACATATGTACTGTATATATATATATATATATATATATATATATATATATATATATATATATATACATACATACAGTATGTGTGTGTTTGTGTAATATTAATATATAATATGTATACAAAATATAAAATAATCAGTTTTAACTTGTCTTGGCCTTCAATAAAACCAAAATTTAGGTAGGCTTTGACATACTGTCTAATCTTTTTCTTCACCTCTAAAGAATCATTGCATTTACGTTTCTCTGCCATTTTTGTTTTGATTTTGCCTTTACGAGACGTTGGACAACCACATTGCGCAAGTGAGCAAAATTTAAATAATTATTTAAAGTTATTTATTTTAATTATTTTTACTATTATGTTGGAATTTTAAGCATGTGTTTTGATTTTTTTTTTTGGTACTAAAAAATACATATATAATAGTAGGGCTGCTCGATATTGGGAAAAATCATAATCACAATTATTTTGGTCATAATTGTAATCACGATTATTCAAAACGAGTATCAGAAAAAATACAATAAAATTATTAGCGCTCCTGAGAATTTTTTTTTTATAAATATTTCCCAAATTATGTTTAACAGAACAAGGAATTTTAACAGTATTTCCTCTAATATTTTTCTTCTAGGCTTATTTGTTTTATTTTAGCTAGAATAAAAGCAAGTTTAAATATTTTGAAAGCTATTTTAAGGTCAATATTATTAGCCCCCTTAAGCAATAAATATTTTTGATGACTTGCCTAATTACCCTAATTAAGCCTTTGAACTGCACTTTAATCTGAATGGTTGTATTTTGAAAAATATCTAGTAAAATATTATGTGCTGTCATCACAGCAAAGATAAAATAAATCAGTAATTAGAAATGATATATCAAAACTTTTATGTTCAGAAAAAAAAACTTCTTTCTATGAAACAGAAATTGGGCAGGAAAAGTTAATATTCAGCTAATATTCAGGAGGGCTAATAATTCTGACTTCAAGTGTTAACATACAGTTATTTTCCAGCCTGCAAAGGAAAGAGAAATAAATACAATTAAATAAAAATATTAAACAAACTGCTTTAAGCATCTTCACTGTAAGAAAAACACTTTAGCTACAAAAATCCTTCAGAGAAACATTTTCTCGTTATGTTTGATTAATGATAAAACAGGCGGCAGCAGGAATATTTCGCGCTGTCTCTTTAATGGTTTCTCTTTCACGTCTATTGATTCTCAACTTGTTTGTTTATTACACAAATGGGGGCTAATATAAATAATCACGAAACACCGCGTTTTGACACCTATTTGACCATTAAAGCGCTCACGTTAATGACTTTAGATGTCTGCGCTCCTCTGCTCGTCTCAGTGTGCAAATGAGAGCGAATGCTGACTGGCCGCATGCTTCTGGCTGCGTGTGCGTGCTGCACACACACATTCGCGCTTTAAAGAGCAACGCGTGCACAGCTGGAAAGGTGGCGGTATATGATGCATATAATCGTTTATCTTGATTAATGCTTTTTTATAATCGTTTGAAATCGAAATCGGATTTTCGATTAATTGTACAGCCCTATATAATAGTGGAGCATTTTTATGCCTTTTTCTACCTCAATACTTATCCTCTCCCGCGCCCCCCTTGTGAACTCTGGCGCCCCCCTTAGGGGGGCGCGGACCCCAGGTTGGGAACCACTGATCTAATTCATACAATTTATTAGGATTTGCTCATTACTCAATGACAGTAGGGGTTAGGAGTAGGGTTAGGTGCTACGCCTCCTTTTTAAAATCGTACATTTTCGTACGACTAAACTCGTACAAATTAGCCACTAAATTGACAAAATGTAAAATACTTACGTTTCCTCGTGAGATCAGCATGGTGAATGGGTTGACATGGTAAACATTTAAATAAACTGATATAATAACTGAGCGGTGGATAAAGAGATGTTCAGAATTTATTTTGTTGAATAATCAATGTGTTTTACTGTACATCTTAGACAAGTATTTTAATGTTCTTATAAATATTTTAAATGTATTTGAAGTCATGAAATCACTGTTAGACTTAAGGTGAACAATTCCTTAATTTGCAAGTTAATCCACTGAAAAACAAAAACAAACATTTGTTTTAGTAATCTTTAATAAAGACTGCATCTTAAACTGCCTACTACTCAGTAGGTACTGCATTTCAATTTAAGGGTGCTTTCACACCTAGATTTTTTGTGTCGGAATCTGTCTCGTTTGCCCAGTAAGCATGGTTCGTTTGGCATATGTGAATTCAGCAATCACGCTCGGATCCGCGCCCAGTGTTTTCAGATTAGGCGGTTTCCTGCCCATTTGGGAGGTTTTTAAATTATTTTTGCAGGTAAAAAATGACAGACTGGTAGTGTAAAACTGGGCGGTTTTGTAACGGTGTGCCCGCCAGCCCCGGTCTTCACTTATAAACCTGTTATGATCCCCCTCTTAGTTTATCTGTTATTTCTCTCTATAATATAAAAAACACCCTAAATGTATTACTCTGCTGTTAGAAATGTATGTTCTATACAGTAGGAATGCAAGTAGTATGAATATAACTCAGACATACTACATCTGTCATTTTGTCATTATAACGTGATCAACCCATGTGAAATCATGGGACACTTCAGAATCTTGCTGGAACCAGTCGGACCAGACTTGAGATTCTGCAGATTTTGTGGCATTCAAACATTTTAAAATGAAACTAAAGAAACAGTTGCTGTTGAATTTTATTGGTGATTCCTAAAATGAAATTTATTCATAAGCTTGGCTAGCAATTTTAGAGAATTTGATGTTTCCCCATTTAAACAGAATGCTTGTCTCAAAGAAACTTTGTCTTTAATCAAAACCTAACCATTTGCATCCACTCTGGAATGGCAGAGCTTCTCTGATGACATCAGTGTGACACATGGGCAAAATATGCATAGCCACGCCCCTCTAACTGTTAGTTTGCTGCAAGTGAAAGATAAGAGGAGGAGCAGAAAAATAAAACCCCGCCTCCTTTTCAATATTCTATTTTAGTGGCAAATACATTATCATATTAAAAATAAACGTCGGCAGCAACTTCCTGTTCACGTAGACCTTTCTACCACAATATATCAGGTAAATATTGAATCAACCCCATTGTAAAGATCTTCACAATTAAATTACATCAATTAATATAATGTAATAAATTCTTAAATGTACTGTTAACCCAAAATGTTTACTTGTTGATCATTAACTGACTTCCTGGGATCGAAAATCCATTTATTTTTACAACGTTGACTAATATTCTGTCATGACCTTTGCAGATCTATTTCTATTGGCTGTGTCCGGAGACTCAGGCTTTTGAATGGTTCGCTGACCTGCTGCAGAGTTTGGAAAAGCAAATGTCTGACAAAAACATGAGTGATTTCCTCAGTTACAACATCTATCTAACACGCTGGAAAGATGCTGAGGTGGGTGATCAACATACGCTTGTTTATTGTTAGACACTGTGAACTTTTGATAGCACGCCCCAAAAAACACGCCCCAAAAAACACTGATAGCTCGCCCCAAAAAGAATAACTGCTCACCATTTATTCTGCCTCATTTTGACCCAAACATATTCAAGTTTTTGTTCTCTGTTGAACACAGAAGAAGATATTTGGAAGAATGTGTAAAACTGGCAGCTATTAACTTCCATATTCTTCAAAATATCTTCTTTGGTGTTTAAGAGAAGAAGCTCTTGGTGAGGGTGAATGAAATGGTGATTAGATGTTCATATTTGAGTGAACTATCACTTTAAACCCTTAGCTGTCACAGGTGGGACTTTTTTCAGGACATATTTCATTTATTTTCTATGTGTGTGTCTGTAAACCTGAACTTGTGCTCAACATAAATGAGTACACCTTAATATTTTGTATTTTTATCCATTTCTCAATTTAATATATATATTTATGTCATAGAACAATTTTAGAAATAAAAAAATAATAAATTCAAGCAAAATAATTGCAAATACATAAATAAATAAATTGTAAATATTTTAAACATTTTATAGTTTTTGTTTCTCTTGATTTTTCCTCTTTAAAAAAAAAAATTCCCCTACTGTGTATATTTATTACGTATATAAAAATGCACACACATATTGTACATGAATGCCACAAACATATCACCCCTCAGCCCAAGACCGGTTACTCACTGAAGCTAAACAGGGCCCACATGGGAAAACTAAGTTGCTGTTGGAAGTAGTGTTAGTAACGCCGGCAGTGGGCGCTCAACCTGGGGTCTGTGTGAGTCCTAATGCCCCAGTATATTGAAGGGGACACAATAATGTCAGTGAGCGCCGTCTTTTGGATGAGACGTTAAACCGAGGTCCTGACTTTCTGTGGTCATTAAAAATCCCATTGCACTTCTCGTAAAGATTAGCGGTGTAACCCCGGTGTCCTGACCAAATTCACTCCATTGACCCTTACCCATCATCGTCTTCTAATCATCTCCATCCACTGAATTGACTCTATCACTGTCTCTCCACTCCACCTATAGCCGGTGTGTGGTGAGCGCACTGGCACCGTTGTCCTGTGGCTGCCGTCACATTATCCAAGTGGATGCTGCACACTGGTGGTAGTGTGGAGAGACCCCCCTCTCATGATTATGAAGCGCTTTGGGTGTATGGCCATACACAATAAATGTGCTATATAAATACACATTACATGGCATATACTTTACAAATATTTACATATATAATAATAGTCACATATAATTTTATGTATATATATATATATATATATATATATATATATATATATATATATATATATACACAAACAACAGTTCTGTCTGGTTCTCGAATCAAATTGGCTGATAGCCGTGCAATATTCTGCAATATCAGAACTCCTACAGCCTCTTTACACTTTGTGTATTACTCCACCCACATAAAACCAGCAAAAAGCAGACACTAAAGCTCTAAAGTTTAAAAGATGCGAACTCAACTGTTTAACTGTCAGCTTATGATTTAAATCCGGAAGAAAGTAGTTCCTCATACAAAAGGGTTTTTGAGACTCTCCATGTTTGATTTTGTTTTCATATACACAATTATGCCGTCAAACTGTTGTATAAACGCAATATCACACTCGTAGCATATATCGGCACTGGTGGGGGCACTAAGGCAACGCACGCCTCCCACCAGTGCCGATATACAGCCATATCGCACAGCTACTCGTGTGATATTGCTCATATGTATGCATTTTCTATGCATGGATATACATGGATGTGTATGTATATATAAATGCACACACATATTGCACATGTATATACTTATAAAATAGACAAATATATTAATATTCACATATAATTTTGATATATATGAGTAAGCATTTTCTATACATGCATACTCAGATACATGGATGCATTTATATATACAATACGTAATAAATATACACAGTAAACACAAAATTAACTAAATGCAAACTTTTATTTTGCATGGGATTAGTCACAACAGTTTAAGAGGAGATTAAGTGAAAAAGGAAGTCATTTTATTTTGTTTACTGTTAAAGGCAGCTCATCTCAGAGTTCAATATGAAGCGGAGGACGATCCTATCACTGGGCTTAAGCAGAAAACTCGCTATGGAAAACCCAACTGGGACAATGAGTTCAGTCTCATTGCATCCCAACACCCTGGGTAAGTAGAGTGTGTAAATAAAATGCACAATATTTTTGTCAAGTTACTGTGCATTACTAACTATTTTTTTTTCTCCTAGTACAAAAGTAGGTGTATTTCTGTGTGGTCCTACTGCACTGGGAAAAGCTCTGAGCAAGCAGTGCCTTTCACACACTGAGGGCGGAACTGAGTTTATTTTCAACAAGGAAAACTTCTGATGTGCTGCAAGAAACATCCACTGTTTGGACAAATCATGTTTGTGATAAAATATGGGGAACATTGTTTTATTTTGTTGGTTTGTTCTCTAACAACTATATCTATGCAGTGCTGGATATAAAACTGACGATATAAGAGAAATTTTATTGGCTGTAAACCTTGACACCGGTTTCCGTCCCATGCCTAGTCTGGATTACGCAAACAGATTTCAAAGATGAAGTATTTATAATTTAAAGTTAGAAATCAGATTACAATCACTTTTTATGGATTACATGATTAAATAATATAATCCTAAAGGTAATTTCAATACCATTTTAAGACTTTCTAAAGACCTTCTCAGAATATTTTAAGAGCTCATCTCCACTTGAAGTTCTAATCAGTATCAAACCTTTAACTTAAACATTTGTTAATAAACAGTTGTAGTTAAATAAATCAATGGAGCACAACCATGCAACAGAACTCAGATAAGCTCAGAAGAAACAAAGCTTGAAGGAATAAATTACGTGGTTGTTTTCAGCATTAGGCTTCAGCCACTGTTTAAACTTGTCTTTCTTCAACCAGGCGTACACATTTTCCCATTTTGCCGTCCGTTTCTCTACACTCGGAGTGCATCACATCACCTTCCCACGTTTGGGACCAGGGGCAGCCAAGCTGGAGCATATACTCTGGTCCGGTGGAGCTTGGCCAGACACGCCCAGCCCAAACCAATCGCATGGATCGAGGAAAACGATATATTTATGCTTTTTTGGAGTCAAACACTTTGGACAACGCTTAAACAAAATTTATATTTATGACGAATATAAAAATGCTCACATATATAGTACATGAATGTCACAGCCATATCAGCCCAAGACCGCTTACTCACCGAAGCTAAACAGGGCTGAACCTGGTCATTACCTGGATGGGAGACCACATGGGAAAACTAGGTTGCTGTTGGAAGTGGTGTTAGTGAGGCCAGCAGGGGGCGCTCAACCTGTGTTATGTGTGAGTCCTAATGCCTCAGTATAGTGAAGGGGACACAATAAACCTATTTAACACATTAAACCGAGGTCGTGATTCTCTGTGGTCATTGTAAATCCCATGGCACTTCTCACATTATTTAGATTAGGGGTGTAACCCCAATGTCCTGGCCAAGTTCACTCCATTGGCCCTTACCCATCATTGCCTCCCAATAAATATATTTATGCCGTTTTGGAGTCAAACACTTTGGACAACGCTTGAACAAAATTTAAAACATCGTAAAGACTTTTAAAATACATTTAAGGACCTTGATTTTGTCATATTTGGTTTATCGACTTTTAAAACTTTTAAGAACCCACGGAAACCCACCCATTTCAAACCTAGAGGATCTTGGCTGTGTAATGTCAGTGCTGTTTTAACAAATATTAATATTTTTGTATTTTAGGGATTTCCAAACTTCACTCAAAGTATTTTTTGCTGCTTGTTTAAACTACTTATGAATTTACACAAATCTTGCGGTCTTTGTTTTATGTTCAATCCACTTAAATTTGTAAAAATGTATTTAACTTATCGATTTGTGTTGAGACAATATAACGGAACTGTGTGGAAATCAACATTTTTTGTTTGTTTTGAGTATGTCCAGTTTTTGTTGGATAATTTAATCCAATTATGTGAAGCCCTTCCCCCATCCACTGTTTTAACTAATATTTCAATAGTGTAATACACATTTTGCAAATAAACAATTACATCAGCCCTATTTTACTGCTAAATGTCAAATAAGTGTTTTATTTTGATTGTTATATCTTAAAATGATATATACAGTTGAAGTCAGAATTATTAGCCCCCTTTTGAACTTTTTATTTTGTTAAATATTTCCCAAATGATGTTTAACAGAGCAAGGACATTTTCACAGTATGTCTAAGTTTAGATTTTTTTTAAACTCCATTTTAAGGTCAAACTTATTAGCCCCTTTAGGCTAAATTTAGTTTCGATAGTCTACAGAACAAACCAACATTATACAATAACTTGCCTAATTAACCTAATCTGCCTAGTTAACCTAATTAATGTAGTTAAGCCTTTAAATGTCACTTTAAGCTGTATAGAAGTGTCTTGAAAAATATCTACTTAAATATTTACTTTGATGATGGCAAAGATAAAATAAATCAGTTATTAGAAATGAGTCGATTAGTAAAACGATTATGATTAGAAATGTGGTGAAAACAATATTCTCAGTTAAACAGAAATTGGGGAAAAATAAACAGGTAGGCCAATAATTCTGACTTCAACTGTATCTTAAATATCACAAGACCCTAGTTTGCAAAATCTTTTTAAGAAAAGTATTTTTGCAGTGTACATTTTTCAAGTATATCTTGTATGACATTTTGTTGCTGATCTAGATATGATCGTGATGGAGAAATAACTGAATTTATATACAAATTAAATTTAAATGGTTAGCTGTGAAACCACCCAGCTTCCTCTTTCTTAGGTGGAAGTTAAAGCTTATGAAATCTTGAGTTACAAAATCTGGCGGGACTCAACTGATTAATTCCACAATGGTAAATGATCATGTTACATAAAGCACATCAATGCAGAAACAGTCAAATAGTGAATCAAACAAAGCTTTTAATTCCAGTACTTGTTTTTCATGTTAATAAGATTTGGCAATTCAATTATTTAACATTATTGTAGAGGAAATGTGTGTGTGGTTAATTAACTGAATAAATAAACAAACAAACAAACAAACAAAAAGTCATTTTCTTGTATAAATCTTTCAGCAAAATGATTGTGTTCTGGCTGTTTTTAAACTTAAGAGCCGGGGATAAAACTCATTTTCAATTCCCTAAAATAATGCTGAACAACTATTATGACATGACATGACATTCGTACATCATGTGTGAATAATTTTACATTTCTCTGTCTTTATGTCAAGCTTAAACAAAGTTGCATGCCCTTTGGTGGCTGAAAACTAAAAAAAAAAACATTCAGATGAATTCATAACACTGTATTATTAAACCCAAAACAAACTACTTTAATAATTACCATCAACAAATTTTCATTTCATTCTATACAGAGCAAAGGTGCATGATACCTTTGCAGGTCCAAAAACAGAGAAGCAAATATAGATACATTGTAGTAGATAAGAGCTTACAATTCAGTCTAAACATTGTATCAGGCCAAACAGACAGGAGCTGAACATGGCTGATGTTTAAGCCGATGTGTTGAAGCAAAAAGCTTAATAATAGACATGTGAGTGAAGCTGGCTTTGATCTTCAGTGTGTGTGTGTGTGTGTGTGTGTGTGTGCATGTGTGGGACTCAGCTCATAGTGCAATGGCCACTGCAAACACACTGACGACGCAATACATAGTCCGGTTCTCCCACCTCACTGTGCAACTTCCTGTAAACACACACATTAATAAATAATTATTATGCTAGTACAGTGCAAGTACACCCCTCACAAATCTCTCTTTTAAATTCATATTTTTAATAGAAAGCTATAGAATATTATATTTGTGCATATACATTAGATTAATCCGTACTGAAGACAAATCTGGAGCTTATCTAACAAAATAACTTATGATAATGGTCCAAACACTAGTACACCCATTTTTATGTTATAAAAAAATATAAAATAGTTTTTTTCAAAAAGATGAAAAAAATGAAGAGAAGCAAACAAATAGAAAAATGTACCTGTACATTTTTTAGGTTGTAATTTTATTTTTAGAATATTTTGTTTGAGTTTGTTTGTATTATAATAGTGGTATTATAGTTGTATTATAATATTAAAATATTATTTTAATAAATATATCTGTTTAATAAATCTGTTTTGTTTAAATGCACCAAAATATATTGCCTATTTTCACTGAGAAATGGATACAAATATTTCTTTTCATAATAGGGTGTGCTCAATTATGCTGAGCACTTATGAAATAATGAATAAAATCAGTTGTACATACAGCCTTATGTTGTTTACTATATGAGAATTTTATCTGAAAAATAGATGCTATAGTGCCACCTAGCTCCCATAGTGTTTGGTAACCCTTTAGATCACATACAAGTAATATATTTGTTTTAATGTTTCATAATCTTTGGTAAATGTTTTAAATGAATTTAGATTAATAAAAGCTTATTTATAAATGCTAATTGTTGATTTTTATAATAAAACGTGACCAATATGCTTTTTTTATAAATGCAATGAATTTAAATATATATTTAATTTGAATAATATTATTTATTATTAATTTTATTTTTTAAAGGAAAATGTTTGAGTACTTTTTTATTATTCTTTGATATATGTAGCTCTGGGTTCATACATGTTTTTACTACTAAAATTCCATGAATTTTCCATGAAGTAATTTTTCATGATCTAATGTTTTATGTGATGTCTACATATGCGTGGTAAAAGAAAAACAAAGCATGTTTTTACTGCCTATCATAAAACGCTCAACAATCTATTTACTTTCAATGTATTTTTATATTTATGTAAAATTGATTTAGATAATGGTTACACCACATTAATAATGTGAGGGTTTGTTATTGGCCAAGGACAGAAAAGAAGTAAATAACCTAAAGTATAACCTGTATAATATAACCTATAAGTATACAGATATCTTATTTCTATGACTGTTCAAAAACTTTGTTGGTTTTTCTGTTTTTCCTAAAAAATTTTCCAGGCCTGGAAAAAGCCATGTCAAAATTCCATGACTTTTCCAGGTTTTGATATTTTCTGACTTATAGTTGAACTTATAACCAATAAAGGCAATATAACATATAATTCATAATACATAAATACATTAAGCAAAAAATACATTGTAAATTGTAATAAATAAATAAAAATATTATTTATTTTCACTTTTATATTATTTATACTATTCACTGCAGGTCCATTAAAAGAATCTATGTTTCACGTATAATACCTGCATTATATAATGACATTCATACGTTGAGCTAAACCATAGAAGCTCTACCTTGTTATTACAAACTAAAAGCTTTACCGTCAGTGGTAGTGTCCCAATAACAAGAGTTGGCTGTGTGAAGACCTGCGCCGCTTTTCTGCATCACAGCACAGTTGACTGAAAATTGATCAATTATACACAATCAATATAATGTCAATCACATAACTGTAAATATATGATCAGATGCATGACATCATAAACATTTACATACAAGATAAAACATACCAATGTATTTGAAGGGTTTGCCTTGTTTGACTAACTGAGTGAGAGAGTGCTCGACTATGCTGGCCGTCCACTGGTTGACTTTGTTCTGGCTGTAGTCCACACCACCAATAATCCCCTCGATGCACTGACCCACCGATAAAACACACAGACAGAGTTAATGGAGCGATACTTGATCTCAAATAAATAGGCTAACATTCGCCCTGCAGGCATGGGTTATACAAGAGACTAACAACAATACAATTCATTTATTCAGATACACACCAAAGTAACTAAAGATTGTTTTACTATTTTTACTGTCAGTGTGTGTGTGTGTGTGTGTGTGTGAATATTACCTCCTTTACAACATTACTTGCATCATCTGGGTTGAAAGAAACCTGAAATGAGAAATTTTGAAAGGTTTATAACGTTAGATTATTTTATAACACTTCAGCACAGTAAAAATGATCCATGGATTTATTATAGTAAAAGTTTATGATTTGGGTGCAATAACACTACAGTTTTGATACAGATGTAATGTTTAAATTATGGTTAATGCAGCAAAACCATGGTTAATCTTATAGTTAGCATGGTAACTACAATAACCATGTTTTTTTATTTGTAGTTAAACTATAGCTAATTAGGGGTTTCACAAGCATGTTAAAGATGTGTAAGCTTAAGTATAAAATCTAAAAATGCAAATATGTTCATATTATTATACGTTATTATCGTTATGCTTTGTGATTCAAACTGACGTTGTTTTGGCCACACCCTGAATCATTTTACATCAAATCTTATGACTCAGTAACGTAAAATGCAAGTTAAAATTAACTTTTTGTGATCGTTGTATATATAAAAGACGTAGATACGTGAAAACATCAAGGTTTATAGACGCTAAAGTAATCTTATGTTTCCGGATGAAGCGGTTAGCAGGCTAGCATTAAAAGCACCGGTCTGTTGTTTGCTAGATTTGAAAAGAGTTAGTAATAATAACGGTGTCATCTCTTAAATGACACTTACTTCATCTCCAGAATGATACTCCTCCATCTTTTCAGTTTAAAAAAACACCAAAAATCTGGACGGCAAACTCAGACGACTGTATCTTTTCTTTCACTGACAACAGACTGATGTCAGCAAGTCAGAGACGATTGAGTGCTGCCACCTGCTGGAGCTCCTCCGACTCACCATTACTGTATCTTACGTCTGCGATTATTTTCTATCTATAGATCTAATTCTGTCTAACTGACTTAAGACTGTCTATCGATCTATCTACCTGTATATCGATCTGACCGTCCGCCCATCCATTCATCCATCCGCCCATCCGTCCGTCCGTCCATCCATCCGTCCGTCCGTCCGTCCATCATCTATCTATCTATCTATCTATCTATCTATCTATCTATCTATCTATCTATCTATCTATCTATCTATCTATCTATCTATCTATCTATCTATCTATCTATCTATCTATCTATCTATCTATCTATCTATCTATCTATCTATCTATCTATCTAAAAAAGGGAAACCAAGACAATTTGGAGTTAATATTTACTTCACATCAAATACAAAGATTTTGAGATGTTTACAAAAATGTAATTGAAAAAAAATTACCCTGAAATAATACAAGATTTTAAATATATAAAGTGCACAGGTGCTTCATCAAAAGTCTTTAGTCAAATATAAATAAATAGGTATAAAAAGCACACACACATACATATATAATTATATTTCTAGACATACGGCACATTAGTAAATTCACTCCCACGTAATGACTTTTTTATGTGAATGCATTTGATAAACATTTGCAAAATTCAGACACTGCAAATATACATTGGACATAACATTATACGATGTAGTGCCGAAACAAAAACACACTTAAATGCCAATTAAAGTTGTTTACTGTTAAAGCTAGTTGCTTTCTGTCGTCTGCATTGCAGCACAAAGGCACAGTACTGGTAACACTAACGTAATGTTGCTTCATTAATTCCAGGTTTCCAATTAAGACAGTTTCCTCGCAGCTGAGAGGTGTCAAAGCAGACTGCAAGTGGCTGAGCGTGATCGACTGGATGTTTTTGTTTGGCCTGCTGTCTGTGTTTCACTGCTAGAACTCTCTGGATCTCGAGTCTCTGAGATTTGAGGAGCACCAGATGCTGGTTTGCCTGATGTGCCGCTCTCTGGCTGACTGCCTTTGGTGGAAGACCTTTTGAAAAGAGAAAGCTGAGAAGGTAGGATTGAAAAAACTGATTTAAGTTCAATTTTTGTGTGCAACGCTGTAAACGATAGTTGCTTGCTGGTATTTATTATAATGATTAAAGTGTCAGAGTAGTCAAATACCCTGTTTTTAGAGCCAAAAATGGTTTTTAGTTTGTCGTCCGTAACTTCATTTCTCTCAGACCACGTCTCCTCCTTCTTAAGGGCAGCAGGGTCAGAATCTACAGAATTCACTACAACAAGAAGAGAAATAGGGTAACAGCTACTTCATAATCCATGTGCTTTGCATTATTATATTAATTTATTTTCTTTCAGCTCAGTCCCGTTTATTCATCAGGGGTCACCACAGCGGAATGAACTGCCAATTTATCCAGTATAAGTTTTCCACAGATGATGCCTTCCGGCCAATTTATTTAATTCACCTATACTGCATGTCTTTAGATTGTGGGGAAAAAAGGAGCATCCGCAGAAAACTCACACGAACATGAGGAGAAAATGCAAACGCCACACAGAAATGCCAACTGACCCAGCTGGGACTCAAACCAGCGATCTGAACCAGGGATCTTCTTGCTATGAGGTGACAGTGCTAACCACTGAGCCACCGTGTTGCCCGTGCTTCACATTTATGTTCAATAATTACAATCTAACACTCACTTACTATCCTTTGGCTTAGTCAGCACAGCAGAATGAACCGCCAATTACTCTGGCATATGTTTTATGCGGTGGATGCCCTTTCAGCCATAACCCAGTACTGGGAACATCCACACACTCTCTCATTCACACACACTATAGACAATTATAGATTACCCAATTCACTTTTACTGCAGGTCTTTGGACTGTGTTACAATCCAGCAATGTATTCCAAATCAATCTAACATTAAATAAGATCAATATATTTTGTAGTACAGAATAAGTCATCACTGTTTTGGCTCTGTTTTCAGGAAAGAGACTAAAAATGTATTTCAATTTCAAATAAAGTGATTGATTCTCAACTGAATGAATGAGTAAGGATTAAGCTAAATTCTAATATGAAATAATATAACAAAAAGTAATTTCGTATTTTAGCTATTTTTATAATTTTTTTAGCTATTTTAGTTTTTCTCATAATTCTGCATGCAAACAGTATGTGAGCAGACATCAATAAGCCACAAAAAACACTTTTTTTCTTGTGATTTACACAAAAATAAAACAGTGCTGAAAAGAAAAAAAATACTGTACCTTTCATTGGTCCATCAGGGACAGATTCTTCTTCTATAATCTGCTTTTTCTGTAAGAGTAAGAAAAAAAGCATTAATTAAAGTAATAATTTAAATTCTCTTAATTCTGAATCAGCATGAAAGAAAGTTTTTAGAGCACCTGTACATCTGGATCTGTAGTGTTTTGCTCCTGCTCTTCAGTCTCTTTTCTCATCTTGTCTGCAATATCTTCCCTCTCTTCACACTTTTCCTCCTCTTTTCCCCTTGGGTGCTCTTCCTCTTCTTCTTCCTCCTCTTCATCTTCTTCCTCCTCCTCATCATCTAAATATTCTTCATGTTCTTCTGCTTCTCCATTCCTCATCTCATCTGTCTGGAACTGTAGAGACTGATGGTGATCACACAAACAGTGAGACAATTAGTGATTTAAAAATAATTGCTAAGAAGGCACTAGAAAAAACAGAGAGGGGTCATGTGAGTTGAGTGGTCTTTGTAAAATTAACTAGCAAAGTACACAAAATACGTACAACAAATAGTGGGTAATATTGGGCTCTATAGTGGGATACATTGGGATAATAGTGGGATCTATTTTGGGGCAACTAGTAAATGAGCAGCTCTACAAAGAGAGGAGAATACGAGGCCAGTCTCTCACCTTTGCAATGATGGATTTTCAGTATTCTGCCTGATTGCAACTGCTTTGCAATTTGAAAATAATGTATTTACATAAAGTCAAATGGAAATGCGGAATGAAATCCTCTGATACCTTGTTATATTTGTAAGTGAATTTATCATGCAATAGCTGGTTTAAAAATAACTGTTTCTTTAAAAAAGATCTTTATGTTTGGATAATATGTGCTTTTTGAATCACATTAAGTTAAAAGTAACAAAAATAAAAATGTTAATTAAAGTGGAAAACAAATATAAAACAAACAGCATACAGTTACAGAGAAATGAAAGGTTTTATTGACTATTATATGAACAAACTTTAGTTCACAATACAAGCACAAGTGCAAACTTTTAACTAAATTCTATTAAATGACTAATGTTGGGTGTTTTTGCTAAAAATGTCATAAAGCTGCCATCTTTCCACTTAAACTTGGGAGAGTTTAAATAGTTATTTGTTGAAAGAGTTCTGACCAAAAGGCATCTTTATATGCGTCAACTTTGTGAGACTTGAATAATTATGTCACATCGATTGATTGGACACTGCTATCCATAAGGTATTTCCTAAGGCACATCACAAGTTCATCACTATACTGCATGGGCATACACACGTGTGTATGAAAACATAATGCTGTAAAAAATCAATCAATCAATTACAAGGATACTAATTGTGATTTTAAAAAAAATCCAAAAGCAATAAGTAAGAAAGTACAAAATCAAAATACAGGCCTGTTCACACCAAGTAACAAATTTTCAACAATAACAATAAAGATACAGCTCTAAAATAACAGCTAAGTTTAAACAAACTGTATAAACATCACAAGTAGCATTATGATGGCACAGAGAATGGTACTGGTAAAGCCACTTTAAGAGCAAGTTTTTCCTAGCTCAGCTATCTAGCTAGCTTAAATAAAGTTCACGGCCAATCACAATCCTTCTTGCTTTAAAAAGCCAATCAGAGTGTTCCAGTTGTAAAGAGCCAATCAGAATCCATCCCAAGAGCAAAAAATGTAAAGCAGGTGACTGAACTTAAAATAAAGCAAAGGTTAATCAGAAGAGCTCCTAACCTATAAGTAGTTACTGTTACTGTTACTGTTCTCGTTCTTGGTGTGAGCGGGCGTTATGAAAAGGCATGTACATAATGCTCAGGGTAAAGCTGAAGTTGTTGAGTTATTTTAAATTAAGGTATTGAGGTAAAACATCATCCCAAAACTGCTTAGACTCATGGGACTCGTCATCTGATTGGTCGCTTTGTGCACGGGCTTGTTTGGCTTTTGGTTTGTGAGTTTTCACACTTGGCTTTGGTTTGGCGGCGTCCTTTTGGAGTCTGCTAGAGGCTTTTTCACGTTTTGTTTTGGTCTTTTCTTTTTCTTCCTCCTCCTCCTCCTCCTCCTCTTCATCATCGCCATTTTCTTGCTCTTCTTCTTGTGTGTCCTCCTCTTCTCCCTCCTCATCCTCTGCTTCTTCTGTATCCTCTCCAGGCTCTTCCTCCTCTGCTTCCTCTTCTTCATTTTCTTCCTCCTCATTACTTTCTTCCTCCTCCTCTTCAACTTTGCTCTCCTCCTCTTCTTCCTCTTCATTTTCACTCTCCTCTTCTTCCTCATCTTTATCACTTGTTTCCTCATCACTTTCATCCTCTTGGTCTCCTTCACTCTCCTCTTCTTCCCCCTCAGCTTCACTTTCACTCTTCTCTTCATCTTCAGATGAACTTTCCTGCTCCTCATCGTCTTCTTCACTAGTATTTTCCCCAGTTTCATCTTCCTCTGCTTCACTTTCCACCTCACTTTCTTCCTTCTCCGACTCCTCATCTTCATCATCTTCCTCAGACCTCTCACTTCTGCTCTCTGAGTTTCCTTCAGATTCTTCTCCACTCTCCTCCTCTTGACTTGTTTCGCTTTTGTCCTCATCATCATTGCTCTCATCTTCAGTACTTGCACTTGTCTCACTTTTTTCTTCTTCATTATCTTCATTGTCCTCTTCCTCCTCACTCTCTAAATCATCAGTTGCCTCACTTTTACTTTTCTGCTCCTCTTCCTCACTGTTCACATTAGAGGCGTTAGCAGAATCACCACTTTCTTCCTTGCTAGAAGCTTTGAAAGAATCACCATTCTCCTCCTCTTCTTCTTCATCTTCACTAGAAGCTTTGACAGAACTACCACTTTTCTCCTCCTCTTCTTCATCTTCACTAGAAGCTTTGGCAGAATCACCATTTTTTTCCTCTTCTTCTTCATCCTCACTAGAAGCATTGGAAGAGTCACTACTTTTCTCCTCTTTTTCTTTCTCTTCATCCTCACTAGAATGTTTGGTCATTGTATCATTAACCTCAGAATCGTTACTTTTCTCCTCTTCCTCACGTTCCTCATTCTCACTAGAAGCTTTGGTCACTGTATCATTAACTGTCTTCTCCTCTTCACTTTCCTCTTCCTCACTAGAATCTTTGATCATTGTATCATCATCTTCATCACCCTCAGAATCATCATCATTTTCCCCTACTTTGTCATGTGTCTTGCTATCACTATCTTCTACTTCTTCACTTTTATCCCTTCTGTTCCCCAGTCCATCACTTTCCTCCACATCTTCAGTTTCATCTCTTTCGTTTACTGAACCCTCACTTTCCTCCTCATCTGATTCCTCTTCCTTTCTATTATATGTTCCCATCTCAGAATGAGCGTCGGTTTTGGACTCAGATCTGCTTCTTTCCGTGTCCCTATCTGAAGTATCTGGATCTGCCTTAACGTTGATGGTGACAGCCGTCCTCTCGGCCTCTCTTGCCTCCTCTTGCCCTGAAACGTCATAGGATTCACTCAGGGATGAAACATCAGAAAGGGTTCTCTGTCTTGAAAGGGGTTTTGGCATCTCTTGAGGTGTGGACTGGGAAAGTAACTGACTGGCCACTGCTTCTCCAACTAAAAGAGCAGAGCCTCCCATTCCCATACCTTGGAGTAAAGAAGTCACCTTGGTGAGAGGATTGTCCTTCATTTGATTTTCCTCTGATTCTAATGCAGACTCAGATACAGAAGCTGCCTCTGAGACAACAGTAGGCACCATTTTTGTCTTTTTTAATTTGTCTTCTACTTGGCGTTGTTCTGCTCTCGATTTCTTTGTCTTTGCTGAAGTATCTTTACCGGAAGTTGGATGTGAAGTAGTGGAGATCTCTTTTGTTGTCTTGCTACTTTTTAAGTCTTTTTCAGATCCAGACTTTTTGCTCTGTGGGACAAAACTTTTGTTTTCAGTCTCGGCTATCTTAGTGTCACCTTTCACTTTCTGAACTTTTGGTAAAACCTCTTTTGAGTTCTTACTTGTTAAGTCTTGGTCGATATGTTGTTCAACAATAATTATGGGTTTACTTTTTACTCCTTTTTCTTTCCCTGCAACATTTTGCAGCTGGCTTTTGACTTCCAACTGGTGATCTTTGGCTTTTGCTTTACCTGTTCCCTCTTGGGTTGGTTTTGAGGTTCCTTTGGACCTTTGGACTTCTACTTCTTGATTTTGTTGCGTTTTTTCAGTTGATTGTTTTTTCACTTTATCTGATGACTCCATCAGTTCTGTGTGTTTAAGTTTTAAGGATTTGGATCCAGCTCTGCTTTTGTCCATTCCCTTTCCAGTTTTGCTTCCAGGCTTTCTCCCCTCCAAAGCAATAAGTACATTTTCCTTATCATGACCACGTCTTTTAGGACTCTTGTGGGGTGTCCCTAACCCACGGCTGTCCCCGACTACTGAGCTACCACTCGAGCTTCTAAGTAACTCAGTGGGCAGAGCTTTGCGAGATAAAAGCTCCGCCCTCTTACTATAAGGGGTGGGTTCATCCCTTGGCTTCCCCTTCTCCTTACCGTGTTCTTTCACAACTTTAACCTTCTTCTATCCCAGGAAGCAGAGGACAAAAAGAGGGAAAGTGTTAGAGAAATGAATGAACATGCAGAGCAGGCTGAACGAGAGCAGAATGAGCTTTAAGGCTGCAAAGCAAATGAAAAGAATGAGTCAATGAAAAGAAGAGAGAAATCAAGCATAAAGGGAGGGCTAAAAGAGTGTTTTTCCCCTTGACCTTTGTTCAATTTAAAATATTCAACATGGTGCCACTAATGTCTACCTGGTCAAAAAAGCTCTTCAATTATTTTTCTTTTTTCCTTGTTCTGTGTTAAGTCATTCCCTTACTATCAGGGTTTAAACTATTAAGACTTAATGCAACACACACCAGACATTTTTCTTCCGGTTTTTGATTATTCATACAATTGGTTGGATGTTCTCGTTGGGGGAGCCACAGTCCTACTCAAGAGACTGCTCAGACAGAAATGCTTTAACCCTTCAACAGCATCATAACCACCTGGTTGATTTTTTATCCATAGATTATCATTATTAATTTAATTGCTTATTACTATTTAACACAGTTGTGTCAGTATATCAGTCAATACAAGACGTGGGCCAAAAAATTAGTTTTTAAGGAGTGCACCTGGTTGAGCTCTATCGACGCAGCTTTCGAACAGCACTCCCTAGTATCCTAGTATAAATGCATTTCGTCGGCTGGGCTTCCAGCTGTGCAGAACAGACCGCATTCCAGTGTTTACAAGGAAAACAAGAGGTGGCAGATTATGCATCTACAAAAATGAAGGTTGGTACAACTATGTAACAACTCTGAAGACGGTAATTTTAATTCAGAGGTGCTCTTCATAAACTTCAAACTTTTCTACTCTGCAGGAGTATTTTCAAGAGCAGTTTTTCCTTCAGGCCATTTCCCAACTAAACCATGTTTAAATACCATTTACCACATATGCACATTGCACTCTCTATACGGGAAATCATTTTTGTTTTCTATTTAAAAAAAAAATTATTTATTCATTTTTTTATGTATATCTGTACTATGCTTGTACTTTCTGTACTGAAAGCTCCTATCACCTATGACAATTTTTTGTGTGTGCAAGCACACTTGGCAGTATAGCTCTTTCTGATTCTGAATGAAGCAAATAACTTGAATAGCATCTCTAAAAAGCTCTTACCTTCTCCATGGGAGACAATGTAAGTGTATTATCGCTAGGGTCCATCTTCATTATGTGAGTCTGAAATCAAAAAAGCTAATGTTTCAGTCTTGGAACCGTTATATCTGGAATATCAAAGGTTTTTCTGGATAAATCAGACTTTACATGGCAACCCAACACTGCAAAAAAAAGCTTTTCTTACTTAAAGTTCTTGTCTTTTTTTCTTGTCCAAATATCTAAAGATTATTAAATCAAAAAATTAAAAACATTGTTTTGTTTTCAGAAATAATGAGTTAAAATTGAATGAGTTAAGCGAAATAATCTGCCAATGAGGAGAGCAAAATATTCTGATTTCAAAGTGAATACAGGATTATTTTGCTTACCCCATCTGCAGATTATTTAGCTTGTTTAAATGAAAAACTTATTAATTTCTGATTCATTATTTCTGAAAACAAGACATTATTTATAATTGTCTATAAAAATGTTTCTTGGTTTAAATCTGTTTAGATATTTGAACTAGAAACAAGACAAGTTTTTTATATAAGAAAAACATATTCTTTGCAGTGAACCTAGAACTACATGAAACTATAACATGGATGGTTTTATTATGCACATTTAGAAGTTTTTTTCTCTGCTGTCCATTCTTGTATTTCACACTAGAAGCAATTTCTCATTAACAAATGCCAATAAACCAATCTAACTCTACATACTTTCTATAGACATTATGAAAGCATGTACATTGCTTTAATAAGTGATGTATGATTCTCCTACCAGGTTTAATAAGTCAGTGGTTTCTCCAAGGTCTTTTACACTCTCGCTATCCTCCACACTGCTTCTGTCATCAAAAGACTTCGCTCTAATTCCAGGAGCTTATTGAAAGAGGAGATTTAAAACATGAATAATTAATACAATACTGTTGAAATTTGTCTCCAATGTAATATAGCAAAATATTATTACAATTTTAAATAAATGCTTTGTATTTTAACGGTCGATATCAGCAACCATCTTAATAATTTTCAATACCGAAGTTATAGCTGCATATTATGCATCAATGTAAAGGTCTTTTCAGTCTGTTTTAATCAGTTTGATGTGACTTTTTCTCTCTTAAAAATCATATTGACCCCAAACATTTGAACTACAATGAACACAAATCCATGGAGGATTATTAAAACAGATAATAGTACTTTTAAGGCTATTGTGAGGAATCTTTCCAAGTTGCTTGCTGGAGGGACGTATCTGGCTGGGAACAGATAGAGATGCACTCTGATTCCCACTCAGTGCTGGAAGTGTTCGAAACATCTGTCCAAACTGATCTGGTGAACGTTCCTGAAGTGAAAAAAACGACACAATTTTTTTTTTTATAATATATTATTGAGTTATTGCACTAAACTTAACATTTAAATGTATTTAATTAGTCTAGAAAATGAATTACACTACAACTAGTCAATTAATTATATTATTCTAGAAATACAGCACCATTACTCAAAAAATTCTAACTGGCTACATTTATTTTGATCCTTTATGACTGACTCACCCTTTCTCTGCGTCTGACCCGAGCTGAGAGACTCCTGTTTAGGGTGGTCTGACTGTGTGTGTCCCCCAGTAATTCAGTATAAGACTTCTCAAGGTAGTCTTCAGTGACGTCATCCTCCTCTAAGATTAAGTCATCTGGTCTTTCAGTTCTGGGCTTTGCCAAAACAAGCATGTGACACCCACCACAAGTAACCTGAAAAACACACACCGTTTACAGATTGTTTATAGATGTCATAACATTAATATACAGTTTGCTCTATTATTTAAAAGTCGAAGCTCACCATGACCATTTAACATGGCTTAATATTTAATAAAAATAAATATTGTACATACATGTTTTTGCGTCACATGATCCTTTAAAAGTCATTTTAATATGGTGCTTTGATGCTCATAAACATTTATTATTAATATCATATATGTTGAGAACAGTTGTGCTGTTTATAAGGGTTTTTTGTAACATTACACATACAATGTGCATGTCAGGGTTAATCTCAGGATTTCTGCAGGTTTCATTAAGTCAAATGTGTCAACCCTTTTAAGGCCATTATAAATGAAATTTTAGAATTATACAGGGCTAAACACTAATGATTATTTCTCATGGCCTGGATTGCCAAGAAAAAAATATTATTTCTTAGCGACATATTTTAAAGTGTCAAAACAAAAAAAAAATCTGGTTGTATATGCTATATTCAACATATTTCTTTTTTTAAACTACAAGTTTAACATTGTTCAAAGTAAATTTATTGTGGAGACAATTACATAAATAATCAAAATATATATTTGGTGGCTTTTGGTCTAAATTGATTGAGTTTAACTTCTATTCAACCTAATGTGTTTCCGTTATAGGTTTCATGCCTATTTATAAATATGTCTGCTCCCCCTTACTTCTGTAAATAATGTATGAATAGAAGATAATGTAAAGACATATGTTACTCTGTTATCACCATGAGGAACTGTGTAATTGTTTTTAGTTTACTTTCCCTCATTTTATTAAGATGGATTGTTGGTGATTGGATGGATGTTGGCCTGATTGGGTAGCTTTACTTGAACAGAGGAAAGTTAAGACCTGTTTAAAATGATTTAAGACCTACAACACAATATTTTAGTGAGTTTAACAGTGACATTTTAAGGCCTTTTTATTAATTTGAGTATTGAATTTAAAAAAATCAATTAAGCAAAATTTTTCACACTAAAGAGATTGAAGAAAAAAAAGCCTTAATGTTAAGCAGTAAAATAAAAATCTTTATAAGGAGAAATTAAATTCTTAAGGAATAAAACAAAAAGGTCTAAGGTCCATGTGCCTTGATATTTTCATAACTTAGTTCTTCCTTCAAAAGTTAAAAGGGTGATAAAAATAAATCTGTCAAACCCTTTAATAGGGTTACAAAGTGTACATATCCTTAAATAATACTGTCTAATAAAAGGTAGCTGGCCAGAAATACTAACAGAATGTACGTGGTAGTCAAGAAATCTCGGACACAACGTTGGTTTGAACTGGTTGGTGAAGTTTTCCTCTCCAAGCCCCAGTTTTCCATGCCGACCATCACCAAAAGTGTACAAAAGGCCATTGTCTAAAACCAGAACATCAGATTATAGATTTATACACAAACAACACCTGGTATATATTTTAGAGAAATTCTTTCATAACACATGTTAAGTGTTTTTCTGTGCATGTTATACCTGTAATCAGCGCAGTATGGTTCTCTCCACATGCCGCATGTTTAACTCTGCCCTTCCTGAAATGCTCAACCACTCTGGGCAAGCGAGACTCGAATATGAAGGTGCCGTGACCGAGTTGTCCAAACTGACCCAGGCCAAAAGAATACACCTCATTCTCTGCAATAACAGATATGCAAAACATTTAGTCTATACAGAGAAGAATAACCAAGACAATACAGCAGGATGCTCTCCTACCTGTAAGCGCCACCGTGTGCCCTCCTCCACAGGCCACCTGGACCACCCTATCAGGGATGTCAGTCACCTGTTGAGGCACTTTATGATTGGCCAGCTTCTCTGTCGATAAGCCCAGCTTCCCACTGTCTTTTTCACCAAAAGTGTACAAGGCCCCGTCCACTGCAACACATGAAACAGGTATCACCTAGCAACCAGCCAGCCTTCACAGAAGGTCAAATGATGAACATTTAATAAATTCAACGCCACCATACTGTGCTCTGTGGATCATGGAGAGGAAGCAGGAAGGTCATCATGAATAGTCAACAAGTGGAGATTTAAAATTTGATGGAGATTCTCTAGTGAAAATTAATTTTTAAAACAGTCTTATACATTTATTAAATATAACACATTTGGGTTTTATTTATACAATAATGTAGATTATGCCAGTAAATGTTTTAGAATTCTTCTTATTAAACATAGTTTTATCTAAATTATAACAAAAATGTCTGAGTAATAAATCACAGCAACTGTAAGAGGATATATTAGAGTATAAAAATGTTAAATAACATTTAAACTACAGTAAAAATATCTAGTTAGCTTTTGCGATCTTGATTTTTATTCATTCATTTTTTTTCAGCTTAGTCTCTTTTTTAATCAGGGGTCGCCACAACGGAATGAACCGTCAAGTTATCCAGCATATGCTTTACACCAGGGGTGTCCACACTCGGCCCTGGAGGGCCAGTGTCCTGGAGAGTTTACCTCCAACCCTAATCAAACACACCTGAACCAGCTAATCAAGCTTTTACTATGTATACTAGAAACTTCCAGGCAGGTTTGTTGAAGCAAGTTGTAGCTAAAGTCAGCAGGACATCGGACCTCCAGGACTGACTTTGGACACCCCTGCTTTACACAGTGAATGCAGCTACAACCCATCACTGGGAAACACCCATACACTCTCATTCACACATACACTATGGAAAATTTAGTTTTACCAATTCACATATAGCGCATGCCTTTGGACTTGTGTTTTTGCTGTAAGGCAGGGGTGTCCAACGTCGGTCTTGGAGGGCCGGTGACAGTGCTACCCACTGCGCCACCGCACCACTCGATTTTTGTGAGTATCATTTTATTTATTTTAAAAAGTCATACAAATAAAGAAAATTTCACTTATAGAAAATTCAATATTTGAAGTGGATTTGAAGTTTTCCTAAAACCAGTATGTGTGCTGACCAATACCAACATTTTTACAATATAAACATTTGCTAATTTAATCAATTAATTATGTATTAAGTATAAAATAACACAATTTTTGATCCACCTAAAATGTTGACTATTATATTTAAATCTATTTTAAAATGTAATTTATTCCAATATTAGCAAAGCTAATTTTTAACCAGTTATAATTAATTAGTGTCACATATTAATTCAGATATTTTTATATTGTGACAATTTGATGCTGAGCAAGGATTATTACTTTTATTATTACATTTTTCAATAAAATGATCAGTGTTGCAAACAGTAGCGTTTATTCTCCATTTATTTAGAATTGATGGATTAATTTAAATTAAAAAAACAGAAATTAAATTTTTTTAGGAGCATTGCAATCATCTTTATTGTCATTTTTGATCACTTTTAAGGCTTGCTTTAATAATAAAATTATCAATTCTTTAATTCACACTGTCCTCAAACTTTATTTGGAAATAGTACAGCAACGATTTAATCTTATAAATATAATACAATATGCTAGGATAAATACAACATGTAGATTCTAACGAGATAGTTCACCCAAAAATGAAAATTTACTTACTGTAAACTCACTCTCAAGTTGTTTCAATCCTTTATGAGTTTCTTTATTCTGTTAAACACAAAAGCAGATATCTAAAAGAAAGCTAAAAACCTGTAACCATTGACTTTGATAGTAGGAAAAACAATTATTATGGAAGTCAATGGTTATAGGTTACCAGCTTTCTTTAAAATAACTTCTTTCGCTTTTAACAGAAGGAAATTTATACAGGTCTGAAACAAGTAAAGGATGAGTAAATGACAGAATTTTTATTTTTAACACTTTAAAATAATAGTCCAGTAGTTATTGTATTTAATAACATTAACTAAGTATGAATAATCTTGTAAATTTATTAATCATAGTACAACATTGACTAATGCATAATTAAAATCCAAAGTTTTGCTTGTTAACTTTAATTATTGCACAATAACTTAACATGAACTAACATTATTTAACATAAATAATGTTAACTAACGATAAAAAAGATGAATAAATACCATAATAAATGTATTACTAATTGTTTGTTGAAATACATTAACCAATTAACCCTTATTTTAAAGTGGTACCTTTTAATTTTTGAGAAATTTATTTCTTTAAGTATAGCGTTTAACATGTATTTACCCTTGAAAGGTTACTTTTTTATTTTGTTTCTGGCCATAATGTCAATGCTGTACATACCGGTAACAAAGGCAGAATGATAATATCCACAGGACACCCAGAAGACTCGTTTCCCCACAGAAACCTCCTGAGGAGTCAGTGCATTACTTTCTTTTCCCAATCCAATCTGGCCCTCAGAGTTATCACCCCACATGTAGAGCCTACCGTCCTCTATGATCAGACAGAAATGTTGTTCAATACTGTTATAATATGTTATGTACAGTATGTCCTATGTGAGCAAAAACACTGTTGTTGTTTTGCAGCTAAAACAGAAGTCTTACGTGTCAAGGCAGCAGATGTATTGGAACCAGCAGCGAGCATTTTGATTGGTCCTTGTTTGTTGAAGAATTCGACCAGGTGAAAGGATGTTCTGTCATTACAGTCGCCAAGGCCGAGCTGTCCTTCATTATTCCCTCCACAGGCATACAGGTTACCACGAGCTGCTCAGTCAGGAAAACAAGTCATTTACTTGAGGCTAGCGCTATAATGTTGCTGCTGATATAGCACTTTCAAAAATAATATAAATTTGGGATCATGTTTAAAAATAAATAAAATAAATGATAAAAAAATATGGTATTCTTTCAGACTATAAATATTAAGTAGTAGTGCCACACAATATTGGAAAAATGTAGCAGAATATTTTGTTATATATATATATTGCGATATAAATACAATTTTAACAGATGACTTAAATTTATTGATTAAGAAAAATATATATATAATTTTAGATTGATTGGGATGATTCTGTAAGGGAGAGCATCTGCATTAAATCTTTTCAATTAACAAATTAATACATAAATAAAAAGTTACAAATAAAATAAACAGTGCTTTTGCATTTTCCGTGTTTAACAGTATTCAGGTTCAGTAACTGTATAATAAAAATGTACATAATTCAATAAAAATAATCTTTATTAAAGTCACTAACGTTACCCAGGCCTTAAAAACATGTAAATGATAAATTAGAATACAGACTCAGTATTGCAAATCCTACTATGTGACTATTGCGAATGATCACACTGCGATATCAATGCTGAAACGATATATACTGCAACCCTATTAAGCAGCATAGCAAGAATAATGATAACCTATGTTTTCTAAGCAACAAATGAGCCATCAACAAATGAGTCAGAATAATTTTTTTGAAGGATCATGTGACACTAAAGACTTGAGTAATGATGCTGAAAATTCAGCTTTGCATAACAGGAATAGGTTTATTTTTTTTAAATTAATTAAAATGGAAAACTCTCACTTTTTACTTTAGTTTTGATCATATAAACAGTCAGAATTTTTAAAATACCAATATGTCTTTCTAACCCTAAACTAATTGCCATTTCGATTTAAAAACAATGTTTATTTTTTTTAATGGTAAACATTCTCATACTACAGTTTAATGTGCTGTGAAAATGATAAAATTCCAGAAAGTTCCCCTATGTTGCCCTTTGGCTCTTTCAAAACATTGTTCTGTTAGTTTCAGTGGTTTGCTGTGGCATGTCAACTTCTGGCTTCTCGACTAAACAAGAATTATGTACATTCACAAAAAGCAGGTCAGATTTAGTAAAAAAAAAAAAAAAAACTTTTATATCTTTAGAAACTTACATGTAAAAACAAGTGTGTGAGTTCTTCCACAGGCTGTGAGCTTCACCCTCTCTGACTTCAGAGCTTAAAGAAAGCAAATATGATTATTGAACCATATTGATATGAATTATATATCATATTCATATGATTATTGAATATCAGAAACATTATTATTACAGTTTATTCTAGCTATTTAACTTATACAACCACCAAATATATATAGCTATTTAACACAAATATCTATTCAGCAAATTAAAAGTATCTCAATGCATTTAGGCATGTACATATTGTCAAGATGATCTGTTCTGAAGTTCAAAACAAGCACAAGAATGAGCAATATAGATGATTTAAATAGCTTTGAACATGGAATAGTTTCTGGTGCTGAGATCATGAGAATTTTATAAACTGCTGATGGACTGAATTAATACACAAGAGGTTTACAAAAAATGATCTGAAAAAGTTGAAATATTCGTTGGGCACCAGGCCCGTGTGAAAATATGTTGTTGAGACCAGTGGTGATAGGAAACCAACCAGACCCATTCTAACTGATTAAAAGGCAACAGTAGCAAAAATAACCACCTGATTAAACCAAATTCTTCATAACAGCATCACTGAATTTTTAACACATCAAACCTTAAAGCAGATGAGCTACAGCAGCAGAAATGCACTTCAGTGACACTTCTATCAGCTGAAAATTTACATTTGTTCATTTTCCATGCTATCATGTCAATATGGACCAAAATCTGAGGAATGCTGGAATATCAAGCCAATTCGATGCGTGTTTAATAAGAAAAGGTCTGGAGAGGGTATTCTTCAATGCCAAAAATATTAGTAATTTATTAGATACAAATGAATAATTTGATTACAGAACTCTGGGTTATGTTACCCCATTGCATTACAAGAATTACATTCAAGAGGTTCGCAACTAAAATACATTTCCTGACTCCAGCATATATCCACATCTGATATTAACAGGTGGAGTTAGGTGTAACGTCACTTATCAGTCATTCTGCAATCCTTTGGCTTTTGTACCTCAGACATACTTCCTCTTTCTGCAACCCTTCACTGCATACCAGAACTGAACAATTACGTGCATCTTTAATATATTTCATAACTTCTATAAGCATCACGCTCCTTGTGACATGTCTAGACATTGTATTAAACAGCACTCTGGAACAAGGGCCCCCACACAAATTTTTTTTCTTTTTCTGCTGTTTCCCACTTGTCAGCAGTTCCTTCTAAAAAGTATGCAGCACAGTAAAAAAACAGGAAGTGTTTCTGGTCAATATGTGCTATTATACAAAAGAAAAAGATTGATTATTCTGTTGTTAGTCTAAAAATTTTCTAATAAAAAAATAAAGACACAGAAGTAATAAAAATAAATTATTTTTTCCACAGGAATATGTTCTCTAATGAATTTATACCACTAAATATTAAAGCTGTACTGAAGGCTAATCTAGCTAGATGAACCAAGTATGTGTAAATGGTCACCGTTAATATATAACAGTTAATATACAGTTGAAGTCAGAATTATTAGCCCCCTTTTGATTTTCTTTTCTTTTTTAATATTTTCCAAATTATGTTTAACAGAGCAAGGAAATTTTCACAGTTTGTCTGATAATGTTTTTTCTTCTGGAGAAAGTCTTATTTGTTTCATTTCGGCTAGAATAAAAGCAGTTTTAAATTTTTTTATCACCATTTTTAGGACAAAATATTAGCCCCTTAAAAGGGTCACGAAACATCAAAAAACATTTTTTGAGCTGTTGACAGTCGTATATGTGTCCCACACTGCTAAAAACACTATTAGGACACCTATATTTCACTAAAAAGTGTAAATTGGTTGTTTTTACGTTATTTCAAGCAAATTCGTACTTTCGGTTTGAAACAAATTTTTGAAGCTGCGTCACGGTCATGACATAATAGCATTGTATTCCAGCGTGCAGACTGAACGTCTGTGCCAGAGTGTGTCTTATTACGTCTTACAGTGTGCTGCATTAATGCATGAGTAAAGCTTGGTTCAAACCAATCAGCGCGCTCTATTGTGCAACTTCATTAATATTCATTACTGTCAGAGTGTAGACGGCACGTTGTGTTGGCAAAACAAGCGTGAAGTGTTGCTTTTATAGTTTGCTGCAGTTAAGTTTCGTTTTCATTTTCTCTCTGTAAGAGCGCAGACTCACGCGTGGATTAACAGTGTGCGCGACGCGCGACAACAATAACTTACGTGTCTAAGTAGGATTATTGTTTACCTGAGAGCTGTTCTCATCTGCAAACGCTGAGATCCAGATTCGCTTGTAGTCTCCTCTAAATAAAGACGTGGCTCTAGTTGCTGGTGATTGTCCTGTCTCTACAGATTTGGTAAGTGAGCGACCAGTGCTCTTTGTTTATTCAGTTCGTATTTTATTCGTATCAAACAAACTATTGCACCGAGTGCAATAGTTAGCACTAACAGTTACAACCAAACTATAACCTCGTGTTGGATTTTGTGACCGGAATAACACACGCGGCTTTCTGACGCTACCTGCCGTGTGTATCTAAGTTTCCGGGAAATGCTGAGTTTTTTTTTCTCTCATTCGCTGTGCGGTATCAAACATTGCATGAAAAATACAGGCTTAGAGCAGCGCCTCGAATCAAATATCACGTTTGTCGGGAGGGACATTAATGAATTCCCTGAATGAAAGAGCCAAACTGCAGTTAAAGTCCACCATTTAATAATTTGGCAAATAATTAGACTACAGATGTCCATGTAAACACAGTCACATTGTCCGCTTTGGGTGTGTGTTTTGACTCTGAAATTTAGCGCGCCCAAATAGACACTCCCATACCAAGCCTCTTTTCTTCCTCCGACACTCCCCCCTAAACAGAGCTGGACACGCCCACTTTTCTGACTTTTTCCAAAGTAGAGGTGTGAAAACACACTGCTGAAACGAGGGGGTTTCATGGCCCTTTAAGCTATATATTTTTCTGATAATCTACAGAACAAACCATCAATATGTAATAACTTGCCAAATTATCCTGAATGCCTAGTTAAACTAATTACCTAGTTAAGCCTTTGAATGTCACTTTAAGCTGTATAAAAGTGTCTTGAAAGATATCTAGTCAAATATTATTTATTTATTATTTATATATATATATATATATATATATATATATATATATATATATATATATATATATAATTTTTATACTTATTTAAATTTGTTTTTATATTTAACAATCTTATTTGTAAAAATGCTGAAATATTGTATTCTAAAGGCACACACACTACTTCCCCTGCTCTAACCAGATTAATGCAGATTATGGACCACTCCACACTGGGATTAACAGCAACCTTAAAAAAGACCTCCTTTTTGTCACAGCATTGTCAATGGTATTAGCTGTCATTTATCAGCTGTGAAAGGCAGGGAACACTCAGTGCTCTCACTTTGACAGTCTGTCATGTAGTGTTGTACCTTTTACACAAGTGGGTTTATTCACAGTGGTCTTTGTTCCGAGGCCCAGCTGTCCCCAGTTATTGCTGCCAAACATAAACAGCTTCCCATTCTCTAAAAAAAAACACAACAGGGATAGTGACAAGATAAACACATACAGTAAAATTATGCACCAAGACAAAATATTCACCAGTAAAATCATAAACCATACCTGTGACTAGTGCTGTGTGCTCATCTCCACAGGAAATTCGCAAAGGTACATCATTTTTTAACCAGAATTTACTAGGGGCGTTGTCTGCAAATTTACTCTTTCCAAAAGTGAAGACAGCTCCGGACTCTAAAACAAAAACAGAAATACAGAGCAACAGAGAATGTTATTCAGGTTTGTGATTGTCAAAAAAGCTATGACAATGCAATGTTATGCTATGTTGTAAATGAATAATAATTAGTACAATATTAAGCTGACGTTACCGTACATATGCATAATCAGATAGCTCAAATTAATTGTTTATAAAATATTATACAGTAAACCAGAGGCGTGACCACATGGTGTGGTTGCCTTGACGACAGGTAGCCACAAGCGTCAATGGAATAAAGCGGGACAGAGTGTTCGGCGACAAAATACAACACACAAGCTGCAATTAAAACTTTTAAATCATATAAATGACAATATTTTTATGATATGAACGCAGTTAACCAATGTTTACATCCTAACATATGCTCCTCGCTGTGTAGCACCGTTATAGCTTGACGGCTAATTATAAACAGATAAAGAGACACTCGTAGCAAGCAACAACAACACAACTGTTTACATCGATCATTAATGAAGCACATGGTAAATTACCGGGGATTTCATCTTCTGTTTCTCCAGCCATCTCTGCAGACTAATCTGCTTATTTACGCTGGGTTCTTGGAAGTGTGACCAAGAAGTTTTGGGTATGTTAGAAACCTTCCGCTCTAGATTTTCTTCCGCGTTGAAGTGTCACGTGTTACTAATCCGCTCATTCAATTGGCTACATTTTCTTGTTAGTAGTGTACAGTGAATCATGTAATCTTGCCCCACATTTATTAATTGTTACCTAATTAATTGTTGCATTGTTAACGTACGTAAAATTTAACTGTAAACTAAACGTGGCTTAAAATTGTAAATGCAGTAGAATAAATTTCCACTTTTGTTAACAAATGAAATCATTTTAAAGTAGTTTTTAAATATTAATTTTTGTTGTATATATTATATAAAGAGATAAAATTAGAAACAACCCTGATCAAAAAAAAAACATTTTTAATCAATTGTCATTTTTTTTCTAAGTATTTGACTGCATGAAAGTGTTTTTATTTAACGTTTAATTTAAAATGACGTAATCAAACCTTTGTATAATAAAAATAATGTTAGCATTTAAATTAAACACATGTCTAGAAAATATGTTTTAATTTTTAAATTAGATATGAGTTATAATAAAATAATAATTGAAAGATTTATAAGAGTATGTATTACATTATTTTAAGCAAATAATAAAAAACTATTGTACAAACATAATTTATGAAAACATCCATATTAATAATAATAATAATAATAATAATAATAATAATAATAATAATAATAATAATAATAATAATGATAATAATAATCAGCTAAGTGTAAAATAAGTTATAACACCATAATTCCCTAAAAATTTAAAGGTCCCAAATGATTTTCTATAATCAGTATGTATGTACTTTGTAGTCACGTGTGCTTTTCTTGTTACGGTGGAACTGTTATTATTATTTTTTTTTTATTATTGCTTGAACTGACAATACAAGAACTTCAGAACAAAGTCCAGGAAATTACAGACAGATCTTAAAAAAGGTCAATAGTATATATAGCCATAAGAAAATAATCACGTACACATATAAATAACATCAGAAGACAGAAAGGGAAAAATTAAAATAATAATAATTATTATATTATTATTGCTAATAATAGTATTAATAATAATTGTTATACTAAAATGACTAAATTAAACAAAATAAACAAATGAAATTACAAGGACACTTAAACAAATAACCCTCAGGGAAAAAAATTAAATCCAGGATATTCTTTTAAATACATCTGCTGGGGCGGATTTAGTGGTTTAGGGGACTTAAGCAATTCCAGCCAAGGGGCCCAAACATTCTAAAATGCACTTTTTGTACATTCATTCATAAATTTTCTTTTCGGCTTAGACCCTTTATTAATTTGGGGTCACCACAGCGTAATGAACTGCCAACTTATCTAGCATATGTTTTACGCCACGGATGCCCTTCCAGCTGCAACCCATAACTGGGAAACATCTATACACACTCATTCACACTCATACACTATGGACAATTTAGCTCACTCAATTCATATACCTCATGTCTTTGGACTGTGAGGGAAATCTGAACACCCGGAGGAAACCCACGCCAACATGGGAAGAACATGCAAACTCCACACAGAAACGCCAATTGACCCAGCTGAGGCTCAAACCAGAGACCTTCTTGATGTGAGGCGATCTTGCAGCCCTTTTGTACATTAATTCATCTACATTTTCTTGTTGGCTTAATTCCTTTATTAATCCGGGGTCGCCACAGCAGAATGAACCGCCAACTTATCCAGCAAGTTTTTACGCAGCTGATGCCCTTCCAGCTGCAACCCATCTCTGGGAAACATCCACACACACACATTTACACACACACTCATACCCTATGGACAATTTAGCCCATCCAATTCACCTGTATCGCATGTCTTTGGACTGTGGGGGAAACCGAAGCACCCGGAGGAAACCCACGCGAATGCAGGGAGAACATGCAAACTCCACACAGAAACGCCAACTGAGCCGAGGCTCAAACCAGCGACCCAGCGACCTTCTTGCTGTGAGGTGACAGCACTACTGCACCACTGCTTCGCCCTGTACATCCATTTATTATTATTATTTTGCTGTTTTTTTCTTATTCGATCTCATTTTCTAAATTTGATCTTTATGCAAAATAATAACATGTAAAGCATCTTGTAAAACTTTTGAAACTATTTGTTTTCTTAAGTTGAATTCACATCTAAACAATAAATTAACTGTTATAGAAATTTTGTAGTATCATTTTATTCTAGGTATTTATTTGGTGGCCCTCAGATTTCCTGGGGCGCTAACCGGCTGCTTATCTTGCTTATTTGTTAAATCCGGCACTTTACATCTATATAATATTTTAGGAACCTTACAGCAAGAGGGTCGCTAGTTCGAGCCCCAGCTGGGTCAGTTGGCATTTCTGTGTGGAGTTTGCATGTTCTCCCCATGTTGGTGTGGGTTTCCTTCGGTTTCCCCCACAGTCATGCACAGATATGTGCTATAGGTGAATTAGTGGTGTTTCCAGGAGTTGGGTTGTGGCTGGAAGGGCATCCGCTGGGTAAAAAATATGCTGGATGAGTTGGCGGTTCATTCCACTGTGGCAACCCCAGATTAATAAAGGTACTAAGCCGAAAAAAAAAATGAATGAAGATGGCGTAATTTTAGGAGTGAGTTAAATTCTATTTTAGAATGAGTAAAGGATGGGTAGTTATTTGTGAATTTCTGTTTGTGAATGAAAAGTTTGCTATATAAATTAGAAAAAAAATATTCCAGGGGTTTATCTTTTGGGTTATTATGGTTTAAAAAAAGGATTGTATTGGCAGAATCAAATATAGTAGTCCCAAGCAGTGACCAAAATTGCTTGGAAATTGGACAGTCAAAAAAAACAAACGTACCGATGTCTAGTGGAGCAGCTACACAGCGAAGAATCTCCACGTAAACGCCTCTTCCGGTTGAGGCTGTAAACAGTGATCTCATCCCTAATCTCTCTCCGTCTGTCTGCGTCTGCCATCGGCTGCATCTGCCAGCATGCGCAGATCTTCGTCGCCACAGAAATGACCGTCAAAACTTATATCGTTTTCTCGTTACATTAAGACCCGTTCTTTTGACACAATGCCGAGTAGCTGGGGGATCTTTGAGTTAGCCTGCAGGATGCTAGCATGCTAATTGGCCAGTAAAGGGGGCAAACAAGCAGCAGGCTGGTGCGAGCGCCGTTAAAGCTGCTTTAAGGTGTTTTCACCTGGTTTTCTGCTTGGAGAATAATGGAAGGAGTCCTTTATAAATGGACAAACTATATGACAGGTAAGAGTGACATGTAAAACACTTGAGCTGCTGTCAGACACGACTCTGCAAGTATTCACTCTGTCTTTTTTTCCTGACAGTTTGGCTGATATATGTAGGTTTGCTCTTTTGTGGTTCTTGCATTGCTTCTTTTTAAACCTGCTCTGTGACTTCAAGGTGTTTTTGAATGTTGTCGAATTAAAAATAACCACAAAATGTCATGTGTCAAACTGGTCCTGTCATGTGATGTTATGACACTTTATTATATGGAGTTACAAGACAAGTTGTAGTTACTGAGGCCATACCATCTGGAGTTATTAGGTTATTCCAAGATTGAGGTAAAGTTGGTTAAATGTTTGCACATTTGGACTTACTTCATAATAATACATTTTCATAAAAGTATTATTTGAAGTTTGAACATTCTAAAAAGGTAAATCACATTAGCAGCCAAAGACTATCAAAGTACAACATTGTTCACAGGCAGTTAAATAGTGCCAATGTTGTTTTAAAGTCATAGTTACATGTGATTTCAGACCAAAAATTCAAAGTACCATAGTGAATAATATAGGGATTGTCAGAAATGAGTGAATGTGCGAATATAAAACCAACTTTACCTCAGTTATTCCAAGGCATCTCATATCCGTTTTTCTTCCTTTAGACCCGTCTACTACAATGGTAGGGAAATGTTGTTTTTCACCAACCTCTTCAAACAAATCAATTCACTCTTTATTCCTTAGTGTAACTGTATCAGTTCCAAATGTACATTTTTAGTGGAACTCTTTTGTTCATGATATTGTTTGGCAAAAAAATATGGCAAATCCAAAATAGTTACTTAAATCACAAATAAGATAACAGAAGTTTATTTTAGAATTATACATCTTGCATATCCCGTTAATACTCTCTTAGTAAAATGCAAAACGATTTTGATACAAAATTTTCCCTTTGTAAGCAACTTTCTCTAGTTCACTTAATTTGGCAATGCAGTTTTTCTAATTTGGTGTAGAAAGATTTTTTTCTTTTTGTATTTATGTTGATAAAGATTTTTTCCTGGGAAATGCTTTGATAATTGCAAATAGGCATAGGATGATGAATGTTTTCAAGGTATATCGCGGTTTGGAAAAGTCAAGGTTTTAAAATCACCAACATTTTCTGCAATACCATTCCTAAGGTGTGTGTAAGATTTCTTTTTAAGTTTTTTAAGACAACAGTATCTCTAGCTGAAAAGTCATCCAAAGAAGCAGTTTTAAATTGTAAAGAAATTTGTGTTTTTAAAACAAATAAAGACAGCAGAAGTCAATGATTCATTTGATTTATTTAGCCTGACATGTTTAATTTTCCAAAATATTTTAAATATTTCTCAAAATAAAATAGTTTTTACTCAGACATTTTAAAATATATATATATTTTAGAGCAGTAATCGGTGAAACCATGATATTTTTATCCAAGGTTATCATATCGTCAGAATCTTATACCGGCCCACGCCTAATTGCAAAACAGAACCTTTACATAAAAAGAAAATATATTTCCTTATTGTTCTCATCTTATTAACAAAATGTTTTATACATAAATGTAAATTTACTAACCAAAAACCTTTTTTTTTATTTTGCTTACTGAATTGCAGTATTACTTTGAAGCTATTTCTAACTCTTTTACCCAAAATGCTTTAAAAACAACTGAAATTTGTCAATTATAATGTTTTTTCTTTAATGTGTGATGTATATACCCCTTCTTTTTGTTTTTGTTTCTTTTCATTTTATTTAAAAAGTACTGTGGTTGTAATTTTTCACATTTCACATAATAAAAAAGCACAAAAAAAAAAGTTAAAAAGTAAAAAGAAAAGGTAAAGTTGGTTGTATATTTGCACTTTTAGACATCCTCCTTAATAGTATAATTTCAGAAAAGTATTATTAAAAAATTCTAAATTGGAAAATCATATTAGCAACCAACGACTATCAAAGTACAACATTGTTCACAGTCAAACAAATAGTCTTAATGCTGTTTTGAAGTCATACTTACAGTTGAAGTCAGAATTATAGAAGAGAATATATTTTTTTCAACACATTTCTAAACATAACATTTTTAATAACTGATTTATTTTATCTTTGTCATGATGACAGTAAATAATATTTGACTAGATATTTTTCAAGACACTTCTATACAGCTTAAAGTGACATTTAACGGCTTAACTAGGTTAATTAGGTTAACTAGGCAGGTCAGGGTAATTAGGCAAGTTATTGTATAAGGATAGTTTGTTCTGTAGACTATCAGGAAAAAAAATTAGCTTTAAGGGGCTAATAGTTTTGACCTTAAAATGGGTTTAAAAAAATTTAAAAACAACATTTGTTCTAGCCAAAATAAAACAAATAAGACTTTCTCCAGAAGAAAAAAATATTATCAGACATACTGTTAAACCTTCCTTGCTCTGTTAAACATCATTTAGGAAATATAAAAAAAGAAAAGAAAAAAAATCAAAGGGGGGTAAATAATTCTGACTTCAACTGTACATGTGATTTCAAGCCAAATGTTCAAAGTACCATGGTAAACAATAAAGGGAACATTTAACAAGTAGTCACTGAAAGAATGTGCAAATATAAAATCAACTTTACCTCAATTAATTACATGCAGTTTCAGACCAAATATTCAAACTAGTGTGGTAAACAATATGTGACTGTTAAAATAAACAAATTTGCAAAAATAAAACCAACATTACCTCAGTGTTGCAGTTTAGAAAGTTCCCGAAAGTGCACTTTTTGCTGAATTGAATGTGTTTGCTTTTTTGGATTTTCATTCATTCATTCATTCATTCATTCATTCATTCATTCATTCTCTTTTTGGCTTAGTCCTTTTATTAATCAGGGGTCGCCACGGCGGAATGAAGTGCCAACTATTCCAGCACATGTTTTACACAGCGCATGCCCATCCAGCCGCAACCCAGTACTGGCAAATATCTCAGTTAAACTAAATTCACATAACATCTGTTGCTTTCATTTGTAAGTTGTTCTGGGAAAAAAAAGAAGTATGTGCCAAGTGATTAACGTAAATGTTTTGTGGTGTGTTTTCTGACAGGATGGCAGCCAAGGTGGTTTGTGCTGGACAATGGCATTATTTCCTATTATGATTCACAAGATGACGTGTGCAAAGGAAGCAAAGGCAGTATTAAGATGTCAGTGTGTGAAATTAAAGGTGAGGTTATTAGTTTCCTTCTGTCCTTACAAGAAAGGAAAACTGGTTATTTTTATGTCATCTTGGACTTCCTTGTGTTTTTCCAGTTCACCCGACTGACAACACGCGTCTGGAGCTCATCATACCAGGAGAGCAGCATTTTTATGTGAAGGCTGTAAATGCAGCCGAGAGGCAGAAGTGGCTGGTGGCTCTGGGAAGCTCCAAAGCCGGACTCATTGACACTCGAACCAAAAAAGAAAGGGGTGGGTTTTCGCTTATTATGTGCTCATATTTATATATCTTTGGGCGGTTATTGAAATGCCTTCTGTGCTTAGCTAAAGACTCAAGCAGAGGACAAATATACATAAAATGCCTGTATAGGGCTTATTGATCTGATTTTTGCAACTAAGATGTTTTATTTATATATTTAAAATGTTGATTAAATAATAAAAAATGTTCAATTGCTTAATTAATTAATTCTATTATAATATTAATAATAAATACAATTTAATTTCTAATATGCGCATGGATATTTATATGTATAATTTATTTTATAAAATAATTTGTGCATTATAATTTAAAATGTTTATTTACTTATTTATCCTAATTCACTCATTCATTTTCTTTTTGGCTTAGTTCCTTTATTAATCAGGGGTTGCCACAGTGGAATGAACCGCCAACTTATCCAGCATATGTTTTTTTTTTTACGAAGCGCATGCCCTTTCAGCTGCAACCCATCACTGGGAAACCTCCATACACACTCATTCACACACATACACGATGGACAATTTAGCTTAACCAATTCACCTGTTCCACGGAGTATTTATCCTAATAATAAATATAAGATGACAAATTATATTCTTTTAAAAAAAATGTTAGATCTTACAGACACACAAACAAACAAACAAACAAACACACACACATTGTAATTGTGTATTTAATCATAAGCATGTATAATAAAGGTTAAAATAACAACGAAAATATTTAAAATTGCTATTTTTGGCAATATAAAAAGATGAATAATTATTTAATTGTTAGTAACAAAAATTAAATATTTTTTTTATTTATTCTTAATTAAAATAATACAAAATACCTAGTAGATGACTAAACGCACCAATAAAATGTAAATAAAAAAATTATATTAACCCATAAAATATATACAATTTTTTTTTTATTTATTAATATGACTGAATGTATCAGTGAAATTAAGATAAAAATGTATGTTAACCCACGTAATCGTTTATATGTTAACCCATTTAATCATATACATTTCATTATAATTATATTACATTATATTATATTATATTATATTATATTATATTTTATTTTATTATGTTATGTTATATTAAATTACTATATAATTATGTATTACTAATGTTATCTTTTTAGAATATAGTGATGTTTTGTAATGAAATGTTTTATATATATATATATATATATATATGTCCAGTGCAGTAGGCTGTTCTGTAGTGAATTCATGTTTCTCAGTTGAACGCCAGTAGTCTTGCGTGCCAAGCAATGTGAAGGCCCATTAACAGTTGCATTTCCTCTTTTAATGGTTTTTTGCAGAGTTAACAGAAACCACAGAATCACTGAAAACCAAGATGTCGGAGCTGCGTCTGTACTGTGACTTACTAATGCAGCAAGTACACACTATTCAGGAGTCAGTCGAACAGCACGAAGAGCCGGCGGTGGCCAACACTGAGGTCAGACCACACTCCTCACTGCACTTAATACACACCTGTGTCAATGTCATGTCAAAAAGGTAGCATTTTACAAAATTAGATGTCAATTTCCACCATCAATCACCTTTTAAATGAATGATCAGGTAATGGATTCATTGTTTAATCAAAAAATGCAAGATGTGTGCACATTATTGCTGCCATGACAAGATGTATTTTTTTTAATTGTCCACTTTTAATGAATACAGAATTATACATTTTTAATATGGCGTAAACTCAGAAAAGTTCTAACATTTCTATCATGCATTACATAAAAAAATCTGAATAATTTGGCTCGTGTATATTTGTTTTTAGTTTATTGTATTTATTTTTAGTGAAGTTAAAATCATTGGCATTAAATTAAAATCGTTGGCATTAAAATAGCCATTTATGTTTCTGACAGTATTAAATAAAAATATATGATACAATAACAAGATATGCACATCACACGGGTTTCTACTGTAAATAAAAGGCTTATTATTATAATTATAAAAGAATTATAAAAGGAATTATTTAAATAATTAGGAATTTATTATTTTTTTATAAACTCTGCTGTACATATTTTGCACGTAAGCTGCATGCACCTCAAATATGAGACATTTATATTTAATTATCTGCCAGTAAGGTGTATCAATTTTAAGAGTTGTAGGCAATGAATTGAACCTTGATTAATCACTGGCATCCTTAATGGAGTTATATTTGTTTATCTGTTTGCCCAGACAAGGAACGAGGCGTCCTCATTACTAAGTGCCACCTGTGAAACCTTCATCAAAACACTGGAAGAATGTATGAAGATCGCCAACTCTAAGTTCAAGACTGACATGTTGCAGTCCAGTCCATCTGATTCCATAATGTCTCCTGTGTCCCCATCTCCTGTCCAGATGTCTCGGGTAAAAACAATAGCAGTTTACAAAAAAAAAAAAAATTCTTTATTTAAAATAAAAAAATATAGAAATCTATTGTTATTATTATTATTATTATGCAATTTAAATATGATATTATATTTTAGATATTATTATTATAATATATATATATTTTTAATCTCTATCAATTCTTGTTGCTTTGTGTTTTTAAATAAAATATAAATGACATTTTTGCGAAATTATGTGTGCCTTAGAATTTTCTTGATGATTTTCATGACAATTCAAAACTGAAATTAATAAAAGAAATCTATAAAATTAATCAATCAATTAATTAAAAAAAAATGTATTTGTGGCATTATTGGAATGAAACTTTCTCCTGCTCCACTGTAATGTGAATTAAGGGGAAATATTTATTTGCAATCATAAAAATGTATTGTTATTGTTAATAACATAATTAATAACAATTTATTTATTATTAAGATATAGGTTTAGTATTATTGAAATACTATTGTAGTATTTATTCATATTTCCACTTATCGTTGATTTCAATGTTTACACTTTTTTATATCCTTTTGTTATATAATTTTTATTTTATTTCATTAAGTTGTCAAGGAAAAGCAACTTTTTATTTGCTTAATTCCATATTAATATTATTATCATATTTATATTTAATTTTATTCCAGATTTATTTCAATCAATAACAACAAAAAAATAAATTCACTAAATGCAACAACAACAGCAGTGGTCTGATGTGAATTGCTATTTTTTTACAGTTAAGGTCAGAATTATTAGCCCCCCTTTGAATTTTTTTTCTTTTTTAAATATTTCCCAAATTATGTTTAACAGAGCAAACAAATTTTCAAACTATGTCTGATAATATTTTTTCTTCTGGGGAAAGTCTTATTTGTTTTAATTTGGCTAGATTAAAAGCAGCTTTTAAAACATTTTGGGGACAAAATTATTAGCCACTTTAAGCTTTTTTTTTTTTCTACAGTCTACAGAACTAAACCTAGTTAAGCCTTTAAATGTCACTTTAAGCTGTATAGAAGTGTCTTGAAAAATATTCAGGAAAATAATATTTAGTGTCATCATGGCAAAGATAAAATAAATCAGTTATTAGAAATGAGTTATTAAAACTATTATGTTAAGAAATGTGTTGAAAAAATCTTCGCTCCGTAAACAGAAATTAGGGAAAAAAATAAACGTGGGGCTAATCATTCATGGGGGCTAATAATTCTGACTTCAGCTGTATATATTTTTTATTTATTTCGTTTTTGCTTGATTTTCAGATGAAGCGTTCGATCAGCCATCCTGGCACCTACAATTATGAAAGGTACAGCATGTTTCCACAACACAGAGCTCTTGTTTTGAGTCAAGACAGATTATGCTGTTAAATTGTGAGTTGCCATAAATGCAGGTTCTGTTTTCCTTCAAGGTCGAGTTTGCCAAAAGACTGTGTGGCGTTCCAGAAATCCAGTCAGAGGAGGACGAGGACATGCTCCGATACTGAAGCTCACAGCGACAGAGGACCTGACGACATAGAGCGTGAGTCACACACACCTCCACCTACATGCAGATCAATGAATGAGTCACAAACACTTGGGTTGTGCCAAACTTTGCTGAATCGTGGATGAATGAATATTGTAGTGTCGTATTAGCTCTGCAATATGAAAAATGTTGACTAAATTGTGGCAAAAAATAAGTAAATAAAATAAAACACTACGCTGAACGTGACATCTTGGTGTTTTCAGCATCATGTCAGCAGCTGCTCTCACACTCACTTCCAAAAGAAGCATTTTACTGTATACACAAAAACGTAATTGTCCTCATAATAACCTGTCACAATGAAAGTTTAATTTAAAGGTACTGTTTGCTCAAAAATTATTACTTTTTCATTATTCACTCATTCTTTACCTTTTTCCAAACTTTTTTTAGTTCCTTTTATTTGGAAAAAGGAGATATTTTGAAGAATGTTGAAAACTATTCGTCATTGGCTACTATAGTATTTGTTTTTCCTCCTATGGAAGTCAATGGTTATCAATTTCCAACATTTTTCAAAATACTTATTTTGTGTGAAGAAAGAAGAGTAGAAAGAAGCTCAAACAGGTTTCGAAGAAGTAAAGGGAGAGTAAATAGTGGGTAAATTCAAACCGTCCCTTTAAGAAAGAGATTTTGACAGAAATATAACATTATTATAGAGTAAATTATATTTCTAAAATTAATAATAATAATAATAAGGCACGGTGGTGCAGTGGTTAACACTGTTGCCTCATAGCAAGAAGGTCGCTGGTTTGAGTTCCAGCTGCGTCAGTTGACATTTCTATGTGGAGTTTGCATGGTCTCCCCGTATTCATGTGGGTTTCGTCAGGGTGCTCCGGTTTCCCCCATAGTCCAAAGACATGCACTATAGGTGAATTGAATGAACTAAATTGGCCGTAGTGCATGATTGCGAATGTGTGTATTGCTGTTTCCCAGTACTGGGTTGCAGCTGGAAGAGTATCCGCTGTGTAAGATAAGTTTTCAGTTCATTCCGCTGTGGCGACCCCTGATGAGTAAAGGGACCAAGCCGCAGTAAAATAAATGAATGAATAATAAGTAATAGTAATAATAAATATTATAAAAAAGTTATTTAGGGAACAATTACATGATTGGTCTTGTGTGTTTTAGTTTTAACTGAAATAAAGCTGAATTTGAGTAAATAGTTTTAATATTTTTTTTTGTTAAACTTAATGAGGTTTTTTTAAGTATCCCTGAATACACACTTTTTTAATCTGGCCTATTTGTGAAGTGTATGTGCATTTTTGATCTGTTTTTCTATTTACAATGTTCTGACTTGTATCTTTTAAGTATAAAGCACTTTGAGAAGTAAGTTTTAAAGGCACTATATAAAAATGAATTATCACTATTATTATTTCAGGTAACTGGATATGCCTTTTGATTACTGTCATTTATTTAAGTCATTAAAATATCCAGAAATCCATAAAAAATGTAATGGAAAAAAATAAAAATCACGTTGAGTAATGAAGTTTGCACTGCGCACTTGCGTTTTTCAAAAACTTTTTTTGGTGCATTAATCTTGTCAGTAATATTATTCAGAAGGTCATGATTCGCACTCATTAAATATTTGCTTTGTTTAGTTTTTTTTTTTTTCGGGACAATGCCTTTCTCAGTGTGTGACACAATCCTCTCACTTCACCCTTTTATCCCACAGTCAATCACATTACGTCATTAGTTAGATGGCCATTTAATAATTAAAAACAATCTCATTTTCATTTCAATGTACTATAATAAACCACACAAGAAATATTTACCTTCACCTTTAAGCTCACCTCTAACATTATTTCACAGGAAAATAAGGTCAATTATTATTACTATTATACCCTTATTCATGTCTACGTCAATGCAATGTAATTCTGACAGTACAAAACATTAAAAATACATTTTCATGTCATTACATGCTCAAAATCTATGATTCACAATATTATAGCTAAACAACAAACCTTTAAAGCAATACAGAAAGGTCCAATTCCTCATTCACTCCTCTTGCTGCAAGTTATTTGATTTTATGAATCCGGAACGTTTCTCTTTGTCAATATTTTATTCAGATTACCTCCTCTATGTGACTCAAATACTTCTTCAATTCCTATACATTCTTTTAATAAAAATAATAAATATAAAAATGGGGTTTCCTCTGCGTTCTCTGATTTCCTTTACAGTCTAAAGACATACGCTATAGGTGAATTGAATAAACTATGGCTTTAGCGTATGAGTGTGAATGAGTGTGTATGGATGTTTTCCAGTACTGGGTTGCAGCTGGAAGGACATCCACTGTGTAAACTGGATAAGTTGGTGGTTCATTCCACTGTGGTGACCACTGATAAATAAAGGGACAAAGCCGGAGAAAAAAGAATGGATGAATGAAAAAATAGGGAAATGCAAAGACTTCACTTAACTCTATTATTTATAAAGTCTGGCGGTCACATAATCAAGAATAAAGGGGTATTATTAATTTTAGAATGATAAACATGTGTTAGTATTTTATTGACTGAGTAGATTATGGAGTAAAAATATACTAAAAATGGAGTCTGGCAGTACCATAAAAAGCAATCACCGCACGTCTGTTGTGATTTTTCAGGCTTGATGTTTCACAGAGCAAACATCAACGGTGACTCCACTCCGAGTATCCCAGAAGAGGTTGGAACAAGCACAAAGTTCCTGTCGGAAACTGACACTCCGGAATCTGACCTTTCCCTCTGAACCACGCAGGACGACTTACGAGATGGGGAATAAAAGCGAAACACGTACTGCTGTGCAGTCACAGATTGCAGCATTATAGAGACAGATTTTACATAGTATTTCCTGATGATGATGAAGATGAAGAAGAATTTGGTGGCACTTTATAAAAACAGTAGTCGGATTTGAATGTTTATACTCTTCCAGGTATTTTAAGATATTCGTTTGCCTTGATGCTAAGATGTTTTTCCTTTTTTTGTGATAAATAATTATTGCCGTATCCCTTCAGTGAAGAGTTTGTACTGGATTTCTAATGTGTCGTGCAGATGCCTTTGTTAAATGGGAACCTTGCTGAGAGGTTTTTGTTACTGTGCCAAGGGGATGTGCTTACATGCTGACATTAACGTACATGTTTTTTCTTTTTTTTTTTATTCACTCAGCATGCAATGTTGTTCATTAGTTCATGATGCAGAATACATTTATTTATTTTTGTATATCACTAGAGTTTTCTCCTTCCCCCTAAAATTGTTTTTTTGCCTTAATTAATTCTTCGCATGGAGGAATTTGATCTATTAATTATTGTAATGTTTGGAAAAAAGTTATTAAAAAAGCTATAGCGGGATTATGTCCAAAGTGGGTTTTGTAAGTATGATTTTTAAAATTTATATATATATTATGCTCTGTAATCAGGAGCTTTTCAAAGGCAAAGAGGGAATTCATAATACAAATGTAGTTTGTGATTATTTGCTTTATTATTCACTCGGCATACAGTGTCTGTGCAATCTTTATTTATTCACACCAAAAAAAGTTTTTTTTGCCTTAATTAATTGCATAGAGGAATTTCTGGAAGCCAGTTTCTGCCATGAAAAAATAAATAAAAAGGAAATTGCAACATTTTATTTGAACATTTTTATATTTTACAATTTTCACTTTTTTCAAGTTTATATGTTGCCAACTTTTTGATCATGATTCAGTTTGTATTTTATGTGTGTGTGTGTGTGTGTGTGTGTGTGTGTGTGTGTGTGTGTGTGTGTGTGTGTGTGTGTGTGTGTATATATATATATATATATATATATATATATATATATATATATATATATATATATATATATATATATATATATGTGTATGTATGTATGTAGTTGACAACTTGATCATTTGCAAAAGTGGCAGAAGGTAGTTTTTTTTTTTTTGTAAGATTGGCCTGCCCAGTCACCAGTATGAACATTATTGAGCATGTCCGAGATAAGATGGAGGAGGCATTGATGATGAATTCAAAGAATCTTAATGAACTCTGGGAGTCCTGCAAGAACACTTTCTTTGCCATTCCAGATGACTTTATTAATCAGTTATTTGAGTCATTGCAGAGGTGTATGGATACAGTTCTCTAAGTTCATGGGGTCATACACAATATTTATTCTTTTTCCACTGCACCATAGCTTTTTATTCTACTACGCGGTGCATTATTTCTGTTTAGTGACAATTTTTTGTAAAGTAAAGTCAGACCTTACTGTCCCAAATAAAAAATAAAGGCATGATCATATTTAATTTTGGTAAAATAAGCGTAATCTAAAGGCTTTGCCTTTCATATAAGCCAATTCTAATACCAGATGACCTAGAACTCAAGTTATTAGTTGTTCCTAAACTTGGATAGGCAACAAGACTTTTGTCAGGTAGTATACATTGCAAAATTCACTTTAATCAATTCTTAGCAAATAGGGATTCGTATAATTGGTATTTACAAGCAGGTGTGTTTCATAGAATAGATTTTTATTATTGTTATTACAAGTACGCTGAAATTTAAATTTATTCTATTCATTAATCAGACTTAAACATTCTTTCAAAATTTGAAATCCTCTGTAATCACATTTCCTTCAAACACAGAAGCAGCAAGCAAATTAATAACACACGGCACATTTGCATGCAGTCCTTGTTTTTGAGAGAAAAACATTGCATGGTCTTGAATCACATCGAATAATTAGTTCCCATGTTACCTAACAGAGCGCAGACGATCACAAACAAACATTTGATCGCTGAACAGCAACCATATGTTTGCCTACCTCTGGTCATCTGTGTCTGCCATCAGATTTCCACACAAAAACAGTTCATAATAAGTGTTTAATTTCTCCAGAGGGAAATGAGTTTTCTCAGTGGGGTTGGTGTTTCTGCCGGCCTTCACCAGCAGGAGACCAGCAGGTGCAAATGAAGCCTGGCGCTGGGATTCAGCATGGAGAGACTTGCCTTTCCCACGTGACAAATCTGCATGCACAAAGCTGAAATTCCCTACTGTTTTTTGAGCTGGGAAAACAGTCATTATACACTACAGAGTGTGTCGTGCTGCTGGTTTTAGGTTACAGATGTTGATTTGTGGACTTTTAAATGGTATTTTTGAAATTCAATCTTCTTGAAACTTGCCTTAAATGAGCGTCGTTGGACTAAAGCAGTATTTCTCAATCTCATTCGTGGAGGACCACCAACACTGCATGTTGTGTATGTGTCCTTATTCTGTCAAACCTATTACAGGTCTTTCCGTCTTTGCTGATGATCTAAATCAGGTGTCTTAAGGAGAAATGGAAAATGTGCAGAGCTGGTGGTCCTCCAGCAATATGGTTGAGAAACACAGGACTAAAGTATGGAGCAGAACTTTGTGTTAATGCCATCTGAGTGATGGCCATTGTGTAGATGTTTGAAGTCATTCGGGCTGTCGTACGCTGGCGTGATGTCGAACTGAATCAAATGATCGGAGGAGCTTTTGTCTGAGTGGAGAGATGATGGGGATGGTGGTGATGTGTGATTATTCCCATTCTCAGCCACTTCCTTATGTGCGTCCTCTTCAACTTTCAGCACAGCATTCATGTCTTCGGGACTCACTTCTGTGCAAATGATAGTGTGAACATGGATTGTGAGATAAGAGGTTTCTTGAGCAGCAAATCAGAATATTCTTGAGGGATCACATGATGCTGAAAATTCTCTTTACCATCACTGAAATTAATTACAATTTAAAGTATTGATTTAAAGTGGTAATCATATTTTACAACATTACAGCTTTTTACTGAATTTTGTGATCTCTTTTGTGGCCTTAAGAAAGCTTGAAGACCCCTGTGATGGGTTGATGTATAAGACTAATGGCCTAATAACATGAACAACCAACGATTTTAAACATGTATTTCTTTCTTGCGTTGAACTGAAGAACAGCCATCAGCTTTGTTTCCATCCAAATATGCAAACTAATCTTATGCGCAAAACTGGAATATTCCATAAAGCATTTGCAAATAAAGCATGTTTTCATCCAGTGAGTCAAAGAGAACAAAAAATGCAAGTGGCTGCAGTTGAAGCTTCTGTGGGCCTTGTTTCTTACTTCTAAATTACTTGCACCTCAGAAGATGAAATGGTAAATGTGTTTCCATCATAGCTTCAAGAGTTCACACTTATCTGATGCTTCATTTGGCATGCTGTCCCTGGAGAGAGCCCTGATTTCAAAGGATTCTCAAGCTCTTTTTAAGATGAGAGAGAGAAGAGTCCCGGCTCAGGTCATTCCTGATAACTCCCAGTCTTATTCAGCTTAGGAACAAAGAGGTGGAGGAATTGGGGTGGAGGAGGGATTCTTGAAAAAAAAAATCAAGTTAATAAAAGGCGTAAGTGCGTTTGGAAATCAGCTGATTGGTTGATTATATAATTGTTGATGCAAGACCAGCCATGATCAATCATCTGCAAATGTTTATAAAAACTTCACTTGTGCACATTTTTTCTGATTGGATAAAAAAAAGTTTATCTTGTTCAGTTTTGTGCACACACTTTTTGATGAGAATGTCAATTTTTGTGTAAAAGAAAATTGTAGATGTTTTGCGCATGTTCCTTTAATTGAAGTTTATTTATAAGCTAATTTGGAGATAATCACATGCTTATGATTGCTTGCGGCTTGTCCCACATTATCCAATTTATGATTCACCAATCAGACGATTCCTAAGCCACTTTAAATTCCCTAAGTTCCATATAATAGCCATCTTCATTTTGAAGAATCGCCCTTCCACCCCTACTCCTCCTTCTTTCCTAGATGGTTGGCATGGTGGCCCAGTGGTTAGCACTGTTGCCTCACAGCAAAAATGTCACTGGTTCTGGTCCTTACTAAGCCAGCTGACGTTTCTGTGCGGAGTTTACACGTTCTCCCCGTGCTCACGTGGGTTACCCCCAGGTTTCCTCCCATCGTCCAAAAACATGCGACTTAAGTTAATTGACTAATCCAAATCGGCACCATAGACATGCTCATAGTAAGTAGTTATCTCTTAAGAGCAATCTGTTCATTAGCTACTACAGCAGGGGAGTTCTCGAGATCTACTTGAGCTCAAACTCCCCTCTCGCCTTGCAAATGGGAGGTAGCCCCGAACTCGAGGATCTTATGAGCTCAGGGTTCTCTCCCGGGACCGCATGCCAAACAAGCTTTATCATCAATCAGCAGCTAAGTGTGAACTCTTGAAATGAAAATTAGCTGGTTCTTCCCACCCACTCTTGGTATATTAAGTAAAACGACATGGTAATAAATGCCTGTCAATCCATATCAGTGAGTGGGGAAAACCATACTGCTTAAGATATGTTTATATCACTCAAATATGACTGTGGACATATTATGCCTGCAAACATTTCTATCCAAACAGAAGGTAGGTGCATCACATATACTAGGTAAGTAATTCAAAAACTTTGATTGGATAATGTAAATGCTCATTAACGTCACTAACTACAACTAGATCAATTTGGAATTGTGCTCCAATTGTCAAAATATCACTGGCTACAATTGATCAGGCAATTTTAATGTGACAGAAGACTACTGGTAGCATTAAGCAATAAAGAATTTCTAGGAAAAGTTCATTAAAGAGCCTGGACACTCTACAGAGCTGAAATACAGGACTGAACACAGGACGTCTGGTCACCCTGTAGCCGAATGAATGCATCCAAACAGCCACAGAAGACAGCTACTCTCTGTTTATACTGACTGAACACATTTGTTTTTTGAAAGAGCACCAAAACTTCATTGTTCTGAACCAAAGCAGACAGAATATGTATTGAAATAAGTTCACAACATTGGTTCAGGAAGAGCCTAATCATTCAGTCGTACCATTGTTACATGTGTATATAAGCAGCAGTCATTGCACTGTGTCAGCTGACAATTTTTTCCAGCATCCCACCACCTCCCCTCATTCCCCTACTCGCTCATTCTTTCTCTTCAGAAGTACACTCATAGGGGGGTTTGAATACATATCTCAAGCTGAGCCTCCTTTGAGGACAACAAGCTGAATTCGATGATCATTATCTGTCATGACTAAACGAGCAGTGGAATTTGTGAAATTGTAGTTGACATCAAAATCCTTGCTATGGAAAGAGGTGTAGAACATGGGGATATAAGAGGGAAGGGTCTCAATGAAATGAACACATGTTAATGCCAGGTGGAAACAGTAATACATCGCAGCTGACCAATTGTATTCAGATCATTGAAAACATATGCTAATTCCTGGTGGAAACAGGACCCTAAATCCTAACCCACAGCTAGCAGGACATACATTTTACAGTCCTATAATATATCGTTTATGAAAAACCAAATGGGTCAAAAAGCTGTTACTATGGTGAAACTACTTGAAAAAATTATATTTGGATGTGTTTTGACATGGACAGAGTTTCCTCACCCTTCAGGTCATCCGTCTCCTCCTCCAGGTCTTCCTGGTACACACACATCTCTCCATCAACCAAGCCCATGATCTGTTCGTCGCTCTTCTGGAGGTTCTTCAGCAGGAAGTATGTTCTCATCAGGCCTTTGCCTTTCACCTCGATCTCACCCCTCTCCGCCATCTCAAAGATTCCTTTGTCTTTTATCACACTGCAGACAGGAAGTGATGTGGGTGAGTTCTGGTCAATTCTTTTCTTAGATTTGGTTTGAGATCAAGTATGTCAGTGGATTTAGTGTTATTATGGTGACTGAACTTAGACAAGACCTCATTTGTACTTACATGAAATATAGTAAACACTTCAATACTGTGTAATTACAATTTAAAACTTTAACTTGTATTTTAAGGTATTTTCAAATGTAATCTTGTGATGGAAAGATGTTATTTTATATAATTAATAACCTCATTCTTCAGAAATTATTCTAATTATGATTTGTAAGCTTTGAAAAATGAGCTGCTTAATATTTTTCTGGATGTCACGATAAGTTTTTTCATAATCTTTGATAAATAAAAAGTTTAACAGAAAGATTTATTTGAAATAGAATTGTAGTTTAACACTATACATGTCTTCACTGTTGCTTTTTTATGTTAAATGTTAATATTTACTGACTAAAGTGTGCATTAAGACTGTGTGACAAGATATCAACACTCTAAAAATCAGAATGATGGGTCTTAAATTTCATTCTTATTGGTTTTAGTAAGATCTTCAAAAGTCTTACATTTGAATTGAAAGTCTAAAACCAGTGTTTACCTGAAAGTGAAGGGGCTCACATGTATGTGATCTGGGACCCCGTGGCTCTCCATCCGAGAGGCTGTATTTACCGTGTCTCCAAATAAACAATATCGTGGCATCTTCTCACCTACAACGCCAGCCAAAACTGGACCGGTGTGCAGGCCAACACGAATCTAGATTGACAATAAATCAATTTAATTTGACAAACTATAATGATCCCGCAGAGGTTATATTGTCACACATACACACCTGTATGGGCTGTCCTGTGATAGGGTTGGTTACTTCTCTCGCAGCAATTCTCATACCGAGGGCAAAGTTTGCCACCCGTTCTGCGTGTGTGTTTGTAGGAACAGGCACACCACCAACCACCATGTAAGCATCACCTATTGTCTCCACCTGTTTTGAGAAAATATCTTTCTTTTTTCACATTAATAGCATTAACAATAATAAAATATAATGTGTTTTTAAGAATATAATTTTTTTATTGTTGATGTTTACTTGTTTTTTTATTATTAAAAATTAAGTTGAGATCAAATTAAAAATAAACACTTAAAAGTAATTTGACAAATCTTTGCTTTAAATGTTGCCTTTTCAAATAAACAAAACAAAGTCTAGCACTGGTCTCAGTACTAGTTGCTAAAGCTAAAACAGAAACAACAAAAGCATTCAGTTACTATTTTAATCACTTCATCTAAAAAAATGAACTAAAAAACGAACTCAAAACGTTAATGAACACTATAATTGTGTAAAAAACACTGGATTAACAGATTAAGATATTTTTACTTAAGTAATTTGAAAATCGGTAGATCACAGCATTAAATTGTATATATTTTATATTGTCATTGACATTGTTTAGAGACAGACAGACAGACAGACAGACAGACAGACAGACAGACAGACAGACAGACAGACAGACAGACAGACAGATAGATAGATAGATAGATAGATAGATAGATAGATAGATAGATAGATAGATAGATAGATAGATAGATAGATAGATAGATAGATAGATAGATAGATAGATAGATGAAAACCTAATTTTCTTATCATTTTAAAATAAAAGTACTGTACAAATCTCTGTATTTAGTCTACAACACTGCTTTATTTATTTATTTAATTATGGTTGTTACTCGCATTTTAGTTGTCTTTTATTTATTTTTTTATTTCTAAAATGAACCCTTGTTGTACTTAACTAGTTTACTATAATAGTAAAGCTTAATACCAAGTTTAGAATGATTTATGAAGGAATTATGTTTTGTTTTGTTATTTCATCTTCATTTACAAGTAGCAGTTTTAATTATGTCTACTGTATAATTCTTATGGTATTATGTTATTAATATGGTATTTTTGTCTACTGTATTTTTCTGTCCATTCGGATTTCATTCTTTTGTGCCCCCTGGCGGCAGTGTAAAAGACATTTTACTAATCCCTTTGACCCGTGGCGGCATTACACATGGCGGTAGTGATCATTCTGAACCATCTCTAACTGTAGTAGATAGATAGACAGACAGACAGACAGACAGACAGACAAATAGACAGATAGATAGATAGATAGATAGATAGATAGATAGATAGATAGATAGATAGATAGATAGATAGATAGATAGATAGATAGATAGATAGATAGATAGATAGATAGATAGATAGATAGATAGATAGATAGATAGATAGATAGATAGATAGATAGATAGATAGATACCTTATAGACATTATGGATGCTTGTAAGACGATCAAATCTGGAGTACATGGCGTTGAGCATGTTGACTATCTGAATGGGTTCGCAGGCTGCACAGATGTTAGTGAATGTGACCACATCACTGAAGAGGATGGTGCACACTTTGAACTCACCTGAAAGAAGAACAGAAAGAGCCTGAACTTTGGGAAGCATGAGAAATGAGTCCATCAATGCTCCGTTCAAAGCTTTCATTACCCGCTTCCACTCTTTTGCCCTCTTTAAGCTGGTTGGCAACATGCGTCGGCAGCATGGCATAGAGGAGCTTTTCTGATTTCTGCTTCTCGATCTCCAGGTTGCGCGAGAGGATCCTCAACTCCTCCTTCTTTCTTTCCAGCTGATTGGAAAGCTCAATTTCAGCCAGCCTCTGCTGGTTGAGCAGGATCAGATCTCTTGTGGTGTCATGCTGAGCGATGTCAGCCAGATGAAGACCCCGTTCCTCTAGCTCCTGGAGACTTCGTAGCTTTGGAGAGCACAGATAGATCATGCAGTTCAGCGACTCCATCCACATCATCTGTCCTTAAAAATACAAACAAACAGATATCTAGTTCAGTAAATAAACTCTAGATCAGGGGTGTCCAAACTCGGTTCTGGGCCGGTGGGGGCCGGTGTCCTGCATATTTTAGTTCCAACCCCAATTAAACACACCTGAAGCAGCTAATCAAGCTCTTTCTAAGTTTACTAGAAACTTCCAGGTAGGTGTGTTGTAGGATGTTGGAGCTAAACTATGCAGGACACCAGCCCTCCAGGACCGAGTTTGGACACCCCTGCTCTAGATCAATGGGGACCAACCCTGTTCCTGGAAATCTACCTTCCTGCAGATTTCAGTTGCAACCCATATCAAACACACCTGCCTCTAATTACCAAGTTCATTGCAGGTGTGTTAATTGGTGTGTTTGATCAGAGTTGAAGCTGAACTCTGCAGGAAGGTAGATTCAGGAATAGGGTTGAGCACTCCTGCTTTAGATGGTCCAGTCTGCAAGAAATCACATGATGGAAAGCTGATAGGCCCTGATATTGTGCAGCCAAGGAGACTGCTTGCTTAATATTTAAATACTCAGTGAAACCCTCCACCTTACCCAGCTCCACCTGTCTATTTCTATTTCTAGATTTATATGTATGTACTTATGCAAACCTCCACATCCTCCACTATTGATTTATGTATGCCATCTAATGCGATGTTCCACCTTTTTCAGCTCTAACTCTCTAGATCTACTACTTATGCAATGATTCAGTATTTTTCAAGAATATATGCTTATAGACAGTACATGCTTGCGGAGACCAACTGGAAGGGCTTATGCCACAAGTAGATTGGGTTTCAGATAGAAGGGTTAGAGCTCCTCACTGAAAAAAACAGCTTAAACCAGCCTAGGCTGGTTGGCTGGTTTCATCTGGTCGACCAGGCTGGTTTTAGAGGGGTTTTAGCCATTTCCAGCCTGGTCTTAGCTGGTCAGGCTGGGAGATGACCAGCTAAAACCAACTTGACCAACCTAGCCAGGCTGGGAGCCAAGCCAAAACCAGCTATGTACAGCTAAAACTAGGCTGGCCAAGGTGGTTTTAGCTGGATTTAGCTGGTCATTTTCCAGCCTGACCAGCTAAGACCAGGCTGGAAATGGCTGGAAGCCAGCCTGGAAATGGCCAAAACCCCTCTAAATCCAGCCTGCTCAACCAGCTAAAACCAGCCAACCAGCCAAGGCTGGTTTAAGCTGGATTTTTCAGCAGGGCTGCGCCTATTGAGAAACATAAAGGTTAAGGTTTTGGGTTGGGATAGGTGTAGATGTTAATAATATAAAACATTGGATTATGTACAAGACATTAAATAAATGGAGCAGTCCCAAGTTTCAGAACATTTGTATGGCCCACTTGGAGCTCAAATGCCACCCGTTTGGAGCTGCCTTCAACCTGTTCATACCTAATTTTTTCTGCAACAGTCTAGATCTACTACTACTATGTTGTTCAAATGTTTTGCTCCAAGTGTCTAGATCTACTAGTGGCTTTATGTATTTATAGTCATGCATCCTTCCAACTCCATGGATTTATGTCTACTCATGCAACCTTTCTACCTCACTCAGTTTGTCTAAACATGGGATCAATTTCAATTATACTTTTTTTTAAGGGAATAAACACCTCTCAATTTGAGAGTGGGTTGGTTTTGCTGGACCTCTGGTAACATTTCCCTCCTGGTTTTTAGCACAAATTGGCTGTTAATGAACTTCTTGATGCTCTGGATGTTGAAGATGACCTCTGGGTGAACAATTGTAAAGTACTCATCCAGTCGGATTCCTGCTGTCTGCAGTCCAGGAACAAACTTCTGAATGTTGACACCTGTGTGCTTCACCACCAGCTAGAAAGACAGACAATTTGTAAAAATTTGAAATTGGAAATGTTAAACAATAGAAAAGACAGAATTAAAGTTTCTTACGTCACTATCGAAAACTATGTGAAAGGGAAAAGCATTACAGAAGGCCTGCTCTTCAATCCACAGTGTTTTTGGGTAGCTGGGAGTGAATGACTGCCGCAGATTGCCTACAGAGTAGAAAAAATGTGTAAACTTATTAATTCTAAGAAAAACTATCAAAACAGGTACATTGTTAGAGTGTGATGTAGACTGTTTTAAATATACATGTCTACATACAGTTTTTAATGTCTAATGATCAGTGCATCGACAATAGTGCAACTACGCTAGTTCTAATTCCAACTCAAGAAAATTTCCTGCATGATTTCAACCCTCTCTACTTTTCCTGTTAAAATATACTGTCCTATCATATATATATATATATATATATGTATGTATATATAGAATATATGTATACACTCACCAGCCATTTTATAAGGTACATATTACTTGTACCGGGTTGGACCCCCTTTTGCCTTCAGAACTGCCTTAATCCTTTGCGGTATAGATTCAACAAGGTGCTGGAAATATTCCTCAGTGATTTTAGTCCATATTAACATGATAGCATCATGCAGTTGCTGCAATTTATCAGCTGCACATCCATGATGTGAATCTCCCATTCCACCACACCCTAAAGGTGCTCTATTGGATTGAGATTGGCTGATTAGAAATTTGCATTAATGTGCAGTTGGACAGGTGTACCTAATAAAGTGGCCGGTGAGTGTATGTGTTTAGAAATGTATTTAAAGCACAATAAAAAAAATATATATATATCTCTTATTTTAGAATCATTTGTCAGGCATTCAGATACAGCATGCTGTGTAGTAGCAAAGTCAAAAACAGCAGCGACAGTGTGAATAGATGTCTGTCAAACCTTGGCCCAGCATGACAATGCTTCTCACAAGCTCCCATGGAGATCGTTTCCTTGGACACAGCTGCAGGTTTGCATACCTGGCCTTCATCCTCCTCATTGTCTCCTCCTTGTCCTGTGATACAGCAGTTGTCATGGTTACATATTTTCACACGTTACTTAGGATTTAAAAAACACAAAGACATCAGACAGTCCTGGTGTCTAGACCTATTTAGCCATTCATCATAGTTCTCATATAACCTGCAGCTGATTGAAGTGTCTGATCTTTAAGTAGGTAAGACTACTCGAAATTGTAATACTCCTTTATTATGTGCCAAAGCAAGTAAAAAAGACACTAAACTTTAAAATTACAACAAGATGCTCGTACAGTATTCTTGCAATTTATTCCTGTCAGTCTGGTCTTACATACTTTTTTCACCTCTAGTATTTCCTCCTCACTGTTGTTCTGTCTTGTTTGGGCCTTTCTTTTGGTGACCTTTTCCTTCTGCACCATGTGGAAAACAACATGTTCCTTTTTTCCGGTGCGCTCATCCTCTTCTGATTGATTCAGTATGGTCATCGTAACCTCACTGTCAAAGAAATCCTTTGCCACAGCCTCGATAATACCTGACCGATGGGTTCAAAGACAACAACAATCCATGATGAGCCAGTTAAAATAAGGACAGCAAAATAAATAAATAATATGTGGACAGTGGGGATTTTTTAAATGTAAATTGTGTCTGAAGATGTATTTTGTATGGGTACCTGATACTTTAAATGTCTCACCTGGCACAATGTGATAAAGTCCTTTTCTGTCAGAGTAGTAATGGAGGAGAATTCGGCCATCGTCCATCCGCTCCACCCGAAAGGATGGAGCATTCATGGCCTAAATAACAAGGCGTGACAAGTTACAGACCACAATAAAGTTTATACTTCCTCATTTCATGTGTACTGTGCAAATAAACCACAAAGCCAACATCAAATTCACTGTAAAATCAGCAGCATATTGTAAAATCCAACTGTGTTAATTACACTTGGGCTGAGGTTAATTTGTAATTTAAGTTGCTACTATATTTGACTTCATCATTATAGTATCGATTCACAGAATTTGTTTTGTTCCACTTTGCTGTTTTTATTCTTTATTTATTTTGTGGCATTTGCAAGACAGTATCAATATATTTAATGCATTGAAATCATGTCGGAATTGAAATAAACATGAACTTTAAACAGGTGTAACAAAATAAATATAATATTTGTATTAAATTTATTCAAATAATTAATTCAGAATGAATATTCATGATTAGTAAAAAATATTAATACAGTTATCCGAATGCACCTGACGTCATAACTGTGAATGCCACTTATAAAATAAACTTACTCAGATTGGAATGTATTTAAATATGCCTGTGCCACATTGCACTGTTTTTACAGCATCTCATGCATGTTTATAATATGAAGGACATTTTAAAAATTAAAACGTCCTTTACTTTCCAGAACCTTTACCTTCACTGTTCCTCACCAGTGGAACAACCTTCCCAGTACCACACAAACTAGTATACTGATGCACTGCTAACATACAAACACCTACTGAAAACTCATTTCTTCCACAAGTACTTGACAAAATCCTAATTTTCCTCCTTTTGCTTACCCTAGTTTTGGTTTGTATAAGTAGTACTTTTTATAAGTATTGCCTCATTATGGTGAGTTGCTTAAAGCCTTTCTTATTTGTAAGTGGCTTTGGGCAAAAGCATCTGCTTTATGACTAAATGTTAATGTAAAAATATGGTCCATAAAAGCTGTCAGACTGAATGATCAATATAAAACAGTCCAACAATATAAAATTGTCTTTAGGCTACTCGTTGTAACCACTATTGTATCTTGTCTTTAGGCTACCACTTTCCACTCAACATACCTGTGATCCAGTTTCTAGTAGTTTAACCTCCCAGTTATTTCAAATTATGTTACAAAACATTATTGTCACTTTGATACCGTCTGACCCTAAACGTTCAAAAAAAGCAGTATGTACTTAAATTAAACAAGTCGATCCAGAACTACTCTTAATAGTTATATTTGTGAATTTTAACAAATCATTTTTAAAGCTTCTGGTTTATTGACTTTGGTGTGATAATGTTTGGTGAAATTACCAACCAAATGGCAGCCCAAAATATAAATATGGATGTGTATGCTATTCAGATGTACTTGGCATTACTTTGTTATTGAGTTTGCTCTTTACTATAACGCTGGTTTGTTTATTTATTTACTAACATGAACTTACACTGAACAATACTAGGACCACATTTATTAATTGTAGTTCAAATTATTATTAAATATATGATTAAAATATAAATTTATGCTTGTTAAAATGCACTGATATTTAACATGAACTAACAATGAACAACTTTATTTATTGTAATAATAAATGTATCTTCAGTGGGTTTTTCAAAATTAACTAATACACCCTCATGGTAAAATGTGACCATTATTGCCAACTGAGATCATTTTAATGAAATATGACATGTGATTATCTGTAATTTGTTGTGCTAAACATATGTTTCAGAGGCCAACTAGTGAAGTGCTGTGCAGGTCAATCTCACTCCTCTGACCTCTAAAGGTGCTCTAGTGACACTTGCTAACTGACTCCCATGTGGAGAGCCGCCGGTTCGATTCTAGCTCAGAGCGCGTTGTGTGGTGTAGGACCGATGGGGTTACATTGGGGCCGTGACCCTCATGGGAGTGAGGTTTAGGAAGGTGAGTGTAACAGAGGCCAACTAGTGAAGTCCTGTACGGTAAACCTCACTTCTCTGAACCTGATAAGGTGCTCTAGCGACAGATTGTAGATACTAGAGGCCATCGTCTTTAGCCTCCTTGTTAGAGCAACCGACTTCCATGCGGAGGTTCGATCCTAGCTCGGAGTGGGTTGGGTGGTGTAGGACCGAGGTTACACATATATTGTCATTTAAAGTCACATTTATCAATAAAAATCTGCATCTTTACACTGTAAAAATTATCATTTAGTCATGACAACAAATGTTTTTAGTTAATTGTAACCTATTAAACTAAGCTAATCACCTGCTAACTTAATTTTATAAGTTACACAAGCTGTTTTAAGTCTATTTCTTATAATGACTCATAAGGTTAATATGATTTAGCTGACATGTTTAAGACAACCAGTATTTTTTTTAACATTGTAGTTGTAAGTTAGTGATTGGGGTTAGTCGTCTGATTCACCTCACAGCAAGAAGGCCACTGGTTTGAGTCCCGGCTGGACCTGTTGGTATTTCTGTGTGAGTTTCCTCCGGGTGCTCCAGTTTCCCCCACAGTCCATGAACTAAACTAAACTCCAACTCTGAAATCTGGACTTTACTAGAACTATGTTAAGCTGCTTTGACACAATCCATTTTGTGAAAAGCGCTCTATAAACAAACATGAATTGAATTTAATTAGTATTTGAGTGTGTATGGGAATGTGAGAGTTTATGGGTGTTTCCCAGTATGAGGTTGCAGCTGGAAGAGCATCCGCTGCATAAAACAAATGCTGGAATAGTTGGCAGTTCATTCCGCTGTGGCGACCCCTGATAATTAGGGACTGAGCCGAAGGAAACGAATAAGTTTAAACTCATTTAATTGGAAAACACAAAATTCTGACGTCGCCACTGAAATAAACAATATACAATTTTGTGCAAGTATTCTCACCTCATAAGACAATGCCAAATAGCTGTGCAGAGCATCAAGATTTTCGATGAATTCCACCAGATTTCCTCCAAGCGTTCGCAGCATAGTGTCGTATCCCGACATCTTACAAAAGCTGAAAAAGTACTCTCCAAACAACTTCAGAACCACCTCGGAGGAGACATCTAGAAGAAAAATTAATGTAAAAAACTACATTCAGACTTCAATTCTGTTTCTCAGCTTGATTTGAATTGAAATCAGGTGAGTGGAGTTCAGGTGTTTGACCCGCTCAGAGATTCACACCTGTCCTTGTCCACTGGCTCTCAGGGACAGACTGGAGGACAGGACAAGCGTCTTGATGCCCAGCAACTATTCTCAGCAGGGACATTGTTAGCACTTGCTCAGACACTTTGATCAATGTCTGCAAGTCTCCAAGGACATGGTGAATGTGAGGCAACTGTGAGCCTTTCACAGTCCACTTGCTCTGTCTTTTTTCATAACTCTTTATAAAATAACAGACATTTAAAAGGGGATCTGAACAAAAGAACAGGCCTTTTTAAAGAAGTGAAACATTTCTGATGAATTAGATCATGTCCCTGATCAACCTTTGAAGGAAGTTTCCTTACTTCATGCAAATAGATATTGTGTAAACAAATGCAAATTCACAACTTAAAGGGATAGTACACCCAAAAAATGAACACAAAGGTAGATATACTGAAGAATGCTGAGAAAAAAGCAGCTACTGACTTTCATTGTATTTTTTGTTCCTGGATCTGTTTCAATCTACCTATTATTATATGCATTTGGGAAAATTGCATGGTATTTGCTTAATGGATATACCAAGATGCGCATAAATTTTGAAAATGTGCAGAAAAGTCTTATCAACTTATTAAAATCTTGATAGGATAAACTTTTATCTGTGCATAAACTACAATGGAAACACATTTATTGAATAAAATACAGCATAGTGATAAGATTTTGTTTTAGCAGATCTCGTAATAACAAAAATGGGTGCAATAAGATGGCATTGGTAGACAAAAAGACAGACCAACCAAATTGTAGAATCTGAATTATTTTGTTCATTGTAAAATCCCTCAGCTAAAGTCTGTCATCACAGTGGTTTATTATTATTACCTCCCAGAACTGTTTTGAACACTTCCAAAATGTGGTCTCGCGCCTCCAAAAGCCACCATGTGTTCATTATGTTTCGTCTTCTGAGATACAAGTACTTTATTATATAAGAAAATATACATATGGTGGCTTTTTCTATCGCAGCAAATTTCATTTTTATATTTGGTGTTGGTTTATCCAGCCTGACTATTTTACGTTTTGTCAGTTTAATGGCTAATTCGTGTCGAGTTGTATGAAAATGTGCATGGCACCCAATCCTAAATGGCATAGCACCCAATCCTGCCCCTAATCCCAACCTTCATTGGGTGATAAGTAAATCATACTAAGTTGTATGAATTAGACTGTACAAATATATACGAATTAGCCACTAAATCAAAAAAGTTACGAATTGCTATGAGATTCCGTTGGTTTATCAGGACGTGACAGGTTTTTTTTTTTTTTTACTCATAGGATCAGGTAAGGTAAGGTGATAGTCCAGTTTTGTCCATCCATTGAACAAAAAAGCTGCTACTGACATTCATTGTATTTTTTTTTGTTCCTGGATCTGTTTAAATCTACCTATTATTATATGCATTTTGGAAAATTGCATAGTATTTGCTTAATGGATATGCCAAAATGTGCATACATTTTGTAAAAGTGCACAAAAGTCTTATCAACTTATTAAAATCTTATTAACTAAGAAGGATGAACTTTTTATCTGTTCAAAAACTACGATGGAAACACATTTATTGAATGAAATCTAGCCTAGTGATAAGATTTTGTTTTAGCAGATCACGTAAGAACAAAAATGGATGTGATAGAAAAGCATTAAAAGACAAAATGGCAGACCAACCAAATTGTAAAACATGAATTATTGTTTTGTTCATTGTAAAATCCCTCAGCCAAAATCTGTCATCCCTGTGGTTTGGTATTAACTGTTTTGTGCATCTACGCTTCCAAAATGTGGTCTCACGCCTCCAAAAGCCACCGTGTGTTTATTACGTTTCGCCTTCTAAGGCGCAAGTAATTTATTAAATAAGAAAAAATGCCCATGGTGGCTATTTCTATCATAGCAAATTTCATTTTTGGTTTTTATATTTGGCATCAGTTTATCCAGCCTGATCATCTTTGGATAGAAACAAAGCTAATGGCTGCTTTTCTCCAGCATTCTTCAGAATATCTTGTTTTGTGTTCAACATAAAAATGAAACACATAAATATTTGCAATCACTGTTAATAAATAGTGAGGATATGATTATTTTTGGGTGAACTGTCCTTTTAAACAAAATGCAAATACATTAAGATAAAAAAAAAAATGCTTGCGGTTACACTGCCATCCTTTGTTTATGCTCACCCAGCATTTTGCAAGCCTCTTGGACTAAACGAAGGGTGATGATATCATCGTAGATTTCATATGTCATGAAGGTTTCCTGGACCCCAGCCATTAATCTAGGAGAGATTTTGAGTAGTTGAAGTAAACTTGCAAGACTTTAAATATTATTTGTGAGGTAAACACACCTTAAGTTTTCCCATGTCTCTTCTCCAAACCTTTCAATCACCAGTGACTTCAGACAAGTATTAATAAAGCCGTACTGAGGGAAAGAAAATACATTGGTAATTGGCAAACACTGGAATACATTACCTTATTTATCAGCAAAAGGTATGATAAATAAATAATCTTTAAAGCATTAATATGAAATAATATCTGTATTTTTATACTTTAATACTACAGATATAAATCATATACTGTTTATGGGTCAAAGATGAGATGTCCAACTTGTTTCAGCATCAGCTGAAACTACCAGAAAACATATTCAATGTGAGTGCGTCACATAACGGCACATTGTCATTCAGCATAACAGATATATGCAAAAATTACTTATTCAAATAAATGTTTACTGTTACCAGTTGACTTTTGAAGCATAACTGGTGTTACACTGAGTGACATTTTAGTAGCTGTTTTCTATAAATAAACCATAGTAAAAATGTAAGATATGAAATGAAACGAGACACATTCGAACATACAGTATAGTCGATGTAAACAAACAGAACTTCAAGCTATTTTACTTTTGTTGGTTTGATGCCTGACTTTGACCCACACAAACACACACAAAGTATATCACACATACAAAAATGTTTCCACTTACCATTTTTCCAAACCATCTGCTGTAATTCCAAAGTTGTATTCTGTATACTCTCCCAAACAAAGCAGAAGATATATTAAATTGTGGTGTGCAAATGATGTTGTATCACACAGATCCATCTACATAGACACTCCTACTTATCCGTAATGCCCATATTAACACACACACACACACACACACACACACACACACACACACACACACACACACACACACACACACACACACACACACACACACACACACGCACGCACATACACACACATAGACATAATGGTGTTTTTACATTACTGTACAGACTGTATATTATATACCTAAACCCAACCATCACAGGAAACAATGCATTTTTACATTTTCACTAGACTTCATCCTGTGTGATTTATGAGCTGTTTAGCAAATACCAGTAAACTAAAGTATAGCAATACCAGTAAATTCTGACCTCATGGGGAAGTTTATATATATATATATATTTGTACCGATGAGGTCAAAATTTACTGGTATTGCTTCAGCATACTTGCAAGAAATGTAAGGAGCACAATGTTACAGGAAGGTGCATACACAACTTAATGAATATAAAGTGGAAACACACACACACACACACACACACACACACACACACACACATACACACACACACACTGTAACACATCTCATTGAAGATATAGGGATGCATTTTAGTTTGAAAGTGTGGAAGCTGGAGTTAATCAGTTTCAAATGAACAATGTTCTTGTCTTTCTTGTTGAAAGCATTGATAAAGTATATTTAATGTTTCAAACAGATCTTTTGATGCTTGATTTTCTTGTTTGTTTTGAGAGTAATAATGAACTTTGTTAACCTCAGATGTAGTATCATTTAATACTTTCTCTTTCCCCTCAATCTCCAATGACCAAATATACTGTAAGGAAAGTACAGTGCATAACTGCTTTTATAACCAAGAGTTTAGCAAAACATTAAATGTAGGCAGTTTGATTTATTTGATCTATTTAGCACTGACGTTGGAGTCATGGAGCAACAGATTTAGTGGAAAGAAATCTTTAACTTGTGATTAGCTATTTTCTAATATAAAAGTGACTGACTGACTGAATGAACGTTCTGTCAATTATTTACTTTTGTTTCTCTTACTAATGCCTATATACTAATGCCTTTAGACTAAAATGTCAATGCTTGCGGAATTCTTTGCAAAGATCAACTAGGAGAAAGTATTTTTTTTTCATTAATAATTTTAACTTATTCAATCTTTAATTCATTCATTCATTCATTTATTCATTCATATTCTTTTCAGCTTATTCCCTTCATTAATCATGGGTCGCCACAGCTTAATGAACCACCAACTTATCCAGCATATGTTTTACACAGCAGATGCCCTTCCAGCCGCAACCCAACATGGGGAAACACCCACACACACTTGCAAACACACACATACACAACAGCCAATTTAGCTTATTCAAATGTCCTTAGAATGTGGGGGAAACCGGAGCACACAGAGGAAACTCATGCAAACATGGGGAGAACATGCAACCTCCACACAGAAATGCCAACTGAACCAGCGACCTTCCTGCTGTGAGGCGATTGTGCAACCCACTGCACCACCAGGCTTCCCTATTCATTTCTTTTAATACTACTGTATATATTGCTGTATACTAAGCATATACTGCTTCAAACTTCTGACACCAGGTCAGTTTTATTTTTAAGTAGGCCTATTCCAAGTTTAACTGAAATGTCTTTGGAGCCTATTAACAAACATGTTCCTGCATAAAAATATTATTATTAAGAGTTATCTTCATGTTAAATAGTTGAATATACTGCGGTTCAGGGATCACCAAATATCTGCTATGAAGTACCCAGAAATGTTTCAGGGGAAAAAGCATAAAACGTGCCAGATAAATTACAAATAATTAATAAATAAAAAGAATAATTAATATAAATGATCGACCATTTTAGTATAAATAAATAAATAAATGAACATTAGCATGAACAAAACAAACAAAAAAGGATTCAAACTATCCAATTACTTTAATCATTATAAATTAATTAATACAAAAATTAGATTATAAAAACAAAAACTGCAGTAAGCAATAGTAAAATGTAACAATAAATACAATAACTATATTAAAAATGTTTTTTCACTGTTCAGATTGTACAAGAACCAGTGCTAATGCCTCTAATATTTTAGGATGGGTCTCTTGAACTCGGGGGGTTTGTTGTGTGGCCGGGCAAAAAAGAATCTGAATTATGTGGAAGTTCAGGGAAACTTTCGCGGAAACCCCTCACGCAGGTGGAAGGCTATATAAAAACCTGAAGTCGCCCTGGGTCACTTGCAAGTTTGGGCATATTCTCGAGAAAGTACCTTAGGAAGACATCTTGAGTCACTTTTAAGATTGTATAGAGGACCTTTGCACTCCATAATTTACATTTATTGGTTAACTGTGAAGGGAATCTACCGAGGCGTGCAATAAAATTTCGTTTAAAAGCTGACGCTGGTCGGATTGCTTTACCATTCAACACACTGACGAGCGGAGAACGAGGTGAAATCTGTCAGAAGAAATCAAGGTAAGATTTGATAGTTTTGTAGCCTACCTCATATATGAAAGTGTAGTAAAAGTGTCCAGTTCCACAAAGTGCTTTAAGTAGCTACGTTACAGTAGCCTATACGTAAAACTTATAAGTGGAAATAATAGGCTATGTTTTATATGAAAGTCAATAATAGTCTGCTTCGGTAAAATTATTGTTAAATTAGTATATGTGATGAATAAAGTATGAAAAAGGTGTCAAGTGGTTTCGTTCAAACGTTTTAATAAACAGTATTGCCACCTGTTACTACTAAGACGCAATCAATGTTGGCTAAGGATTTGATTAAATGCTCAATTTCGTAAAGCATTTACCATTCATTTTCTGGTACCAGTCGCTTACACTTATATTAGTAAGCGATTTATTAACTGTAAACATCATTCAGACTGTTTGCCATTCGTCTCAAAGAAACAATACTCTTAATTATTATTAGCTTGCACCGTAGTGCCACCCAGTGGTTATAAGATTACAAAATATTACATTATAAAATTTCATAAAAAATACAAACAGTATAATAATATCAGATTTATAAAAGTTTTCTTGCTTTCTACATAAAATGTTTTACTAATAATAATAATAAATGGTCACACTTTATTTAAAGCCACAATTCTCGCTATAAACAAACATTTAACTTAGACTTTTAGGTCAATACTACCAATTAGCTGCGTATTAATAGTTATTCAAGTAGTAATTGGGTTTAGATAGATTGTAGGATAAGAGATGTAGAAAAAGATCATACTTTATAAGTATGTTTAAATCTTCATAAACAGGTTATAATATGTAGTTAATTGAGGGGATTCGTATTATAATAATAAATGTACTACAACATTGAAGTGTCAATGACTCATTCAGTTTTTTTTTTTTTTAGTATTGAATTTTTTTTAGGTATTGATGAAGTATGATAGTGTCTCTATAGAATGCTGTAGCCTATAATTAATAAAGCATAAACAGCAGTGGGAATAACTTATTCTTTTTTTCCTTAGATGTTTTGTGAAAGTACTCTGTGGAGCATTGAATGCGACAAGACAAATAGGGATCCGATATGCCTGGTGGAAATTGCATCGGGCAGAACCATGTACATTGAGGGCATGAGTGGAGAAGGATGGATATCCGAACATCAGAGGCCATCCAAACAGTATCACAGGATCAGCAGTAAACCACAAACCACAGTCAAGAGCAGAATATTGCAGTTCTGGACATTCCTGCAGTTCAAGACCTCCACGCCAGCATGAAGAGACTCTTTGCTGTGTCAGAAGCACTTTTAAAATGGACTTTTAAACTGATGTGTTCGTTTGCAGTTGTAAAAGAAAAAACAGTTGTTTGTTAAGTTATCTTATGCCAGGTGATTTCTGTTATGTACAGTTCCTTTAAATGTCCACCAGAAAGCAGCAATGAGTCGCTGGTGCTGTAAAGAAGCATGCATGAGGTGTTGACAACAGTTTTTATTTTTATTTTTTGCTCTGTTTGTTTAATATGCTTTTTGTAGCATATTATTGTAGCTTTAGCTGGTCAGAAGTAATTTGTTTGGGAAAATTTAAATGTCACCTTTAGGGCTTAATAATGAATGTTTAATCCAATCTTGACAGTTTCATACAGTATTGAATATGAGGTTTTCTCTATTTTTGGTCCAGCTTGTTTACAGTTCAATTTAAAATGCGCTATAAAAGTGCCTACCAATTGTGTTAGGTAGGTGTATTGATATAAAAAAATATTCATTATTATGGTGACACGGTGGCTCAGTAGTTAGCACTGTCGCCTCATTGCAAGAAGGTCACTGGCTGGCTCAGTCCAAAGACAAAGTGAATTGAATAAACTAAATTGGCCATAGTGTATGTGTGTGTGAATGTAAGAGTATATGGGTGTTTCACAGTACTGGTTTGCAGCTGGAAGGGCATCCTCTGTGTTAAACATATATGCTAAATAAGTTGGCGGTTCATTCCCCTGTGGGAACCCCTGATGAATAATAATAATAATAATACTCGTTATTGTAGTTTGTTCACCATAAAATCAATCCAAATTATAGCTTTTACTCTTTGTATAAAAAACAAACAAGGCCTTCAAATGCTTAATAATGAATGCACAATCCAGTCTTAAAATGCAACACATTTATGCAGTGATGAAATTCTGTAGTTTTCTGTATTTTTACTTTGTCTAAATGTTTACAGCTAAATGTAAGATGCAGGATTTCATTAGTGTTTGATATGCATGTTAAATATTCTGTATTATATTGTATTGTTTTTAATAAAATCTAAACAAAAAGCAGCCTGCTGACTGTTTACTTGTTTAACAATGAAACGTGTTTTATAATAAAAACTAGGGATGCACTGATACCAATACCAGTACTGGGTATCGGGTCGATACTTGGTTAATAATATTAATAATAATAATAATACATTTTATTTATAATACGCTTTTCTCAAACCCAACGTGCTTTAAGAGTATAAAAATGACATAAATAAAAAAAAAAGTAAACTAAAAGACATAAAACAGTAAGCATGCAAAAACTGGTAGAGAGGTGGCAGCCAAACTGCCAGCGTCCTCTCAAACCGGAAGTTATGAGCA